CTTGAGAACGGCGCCGGCGGGACGGGCGGGCCAAGTGCGACTCGCCACCAACGAGTCCAGCTTGGGGAAGTAACCCTCCGGGATCGGCTCGCGCCAATTGTGGAAGCGCTTCACTCGACCCAATCGGTTGCACAGACGTTCGATATTGTATCTGCGAAAAGAGAGATCATGCGGAACGCGAATAATAACACAGGGGCCTCGGAAATTCCCATCGGTCGTGCCTTAGGTAATATCCATGTGTTCAGTTATCCGATATAAATCGATGATATAAAAACTTTTATAATAATGGTGGAGAAAATCGCTCTGGAGAGTAAAAAAGTTTTACCGGTATTCGAAATTACACCTTAGAAGATAATAGTTTTCAATTAAAAAATGTTTTTATTTTTTATAATCAATTTCGAAAATTAGTACTCTGTAATTTGCACATGTTTACTTGTTTTAGCAAGTACAACAAGCATCTAAATATGCATTTATTTCTCGCGCATATCACATAATAACTTTGCACCATTGTTCTACACATAAATGCATTTCGGAATTCGTTAGTAAATGTCGAACATTGTTGGAATGCTATGTAGAATTAGGAATTTCCGCGCGATAATAACGATCGGGATCAGAATTTGATCCGATCGTCCGTAACAGCCACGTGATCTCCAAGAACAGTAGAACAAGGTATCTTGTCGACTTAGCAGCGTTTACTGGCGCGTACCTACCTGGCTTGGATCTGATGATGCATATAGTAGAATAGCTCGCCACGCCGATCCTTGTTAACAATCCTGATGTCGGTCTCAAATGGATAGACCAAATGCCAGTGCCAGTGATGAAGATTGAGCCCGATATCTTCCCGCCAGTAAGCCACGCGATGCTCTTCGTCGAGATCCGATGCTGTGTAATCCCGCGGAATTTCAATAGGCAGCTGCGGATTACGTGGGAAATGAAGCGACAAAGTAATGAAATTTTTCGCATTGCATATTAATGTAAAATAGTTCTCGTCAGCGGCTAAAATGACTGTTTTCCAAATTTGCCGCGTTACAACAATTTACACTATAATTCTCCGGCTTAGAGACTTCAGCGTGAAAGCTGAACATTGTTGGAATACTGGGCAAATTCAATAACACGATCTAAAGTATGGAAATTTCTGAAAATTGCGGTCGTACATCTAAACACGTTTTATCAGCTATATATTACGGTGTAAATTATACGTGAGCTATTCAAATTTTCCGGATGATTTATATTCATCTATAATCTTTCCACCGTCTTGTCTCACGACATTTCTCTCGAATATATGTGCATAAAAAGGATAACATAAGAAAATACTTTTCGCCACGTTTACTGAATTTACGTTCAATCATTTGGTTTATACTCAAAGAATAAGCGAGTTGGTTAATTAAGCCGCATAATCGAGTAACGGGCTTGTTGGTAATTAATACGTCGGCGAGCAAGTACCCTGGAGCCTTCCGGTGCAACGTTGGCTTCCTCCCTTGCTCGGGCAAATACGCCGCTGTCGATATACTTGTCCGGGAAAATTTCCGACAGCGGTGGTATTGGTAGATCCTTGGTATCGGGACGGTGCAGAATCGCCACCGAGAGCGCGTAAACGAACAGCTCAGGATTAACGCGGTCGCGACAGTAAACCGACACCGAAAGGAAGTCATCATAGGTTCGCATACCTGTAATACGGGCAAACACTTAGTTAATCGAGTTTGCAAACGAGACTTCAATATATGTCAATATGTTGTATAATAATCTAATTAATATTAAAAAGTACCGAGAAAATCTTAATCAGAATTATATTCTTATAAAATAAAATTTAATGCCCAAAGGTATATACATTTACATTAATATAGCTTGCAAACAAAAATAATTTGATTCAATTGATTGATTAATTAAAAATAACCGGATAAAACATAATACTATGAATAAAATTGAAACAAACCCAAGAAGATGTCGATGAGTCGCGCGGCTATTTTTCGATGCTTAGGGATAAAAAGAGAGAAGGGTTCTCGACGTCCAAGCTGGAGAGGAATGCTCAAGTCTGGTAGACTGATCTGTTTCACCGGAACTTTCAACTCGGTAGCCCCGGCGAAACGATTGAATACTTCTGGAGCCATTTGTTGTCGATTTTCAGGCTTTACAAAAAAAATTGAAATTTAAGTCCACCAACACAATACACAATACACAAAAGAATCAGGACTACGGAGAAATACTCAGATCTCTTTCTTCATTTAAATAGACTTTTGCATACGTTTGCATATTTTTGCATAGAAATATTGAAATTTAATATTGCACTTTTTTGCGAAATTTCTTTAATTTAAAATAAAGAGAAAGCAATTTAAAAAATTCTTTTATCTTGTAAAAATTTATTGTATTGTAAATTTTAATTTAGAATGACAATTTAAAGCACAACTTGCACGACTTGAAGGATTTCAAGTTAATAGACAAATATATATAGTAATATAAACTGCAGAGTAATTCTTAAAATTACGAGATTCAATATTGATACGTGACAAAAATATCAAGCAAGATTTACTCACCAAATAGTTAGCTGGTACTTGGAAAGCGACTTTGTTTTCTCCCTTGGGCACGTATACCGGCTCCGCGGGTCGATCGAACAGGTAGAGGATATCCGATTTCTTGCTTTCCGACATGTTGACCGTCAACAAGTGCGCGCACTAAATCGACAATTGCTCTAATGGCGATTAGATGACGTATGTACGCTGGAAAGCGGTATGGAAGAAAGTGAGGCTCGCGACGTTGTCGGACAACGTACTGCAAATCTTTCGGATAGTCGATCATCTGAACGCCGGCATTTATAAGAGAATCGTGAAGGAAACAGTGGTCTACTGGATGATAAACGATCATGCCTTCGAGCGACCGCAAGATCCGTACAGGAAGTACAGGATAATCCGCGTGCGAGCAGGAAGTACATGCGACGAAAACACTGCGCGTAAATCAGACCCTGTGCACAGGTTTTCCTGTTTTTAAAGGAATTCGACGGCGATTAAATTTAATCGCGTGAATCCGAAAATATATAGGTCGACGTTATTTTTTTGACAGCTTAATCACATCAAATTTTTTCGACGTTATCAACTTATTGTTGTTTTGCACAAAATATAAAATATTTATTTAAATTGAGAGTTTGATAATATATTACTGGACATCCCGAGTCAATAACACGCAACGTCACGTTTGTAATTGAATCACGACACAAATTATGACACGCTAATTATTTACGTATAAGCATTAAACATTATTATTTATATATGACATAATACAATTAATAATCTGTGATCTACGATTATAATATTTATTGAAATTTGATGTATTTAATTCAATTAAATACATAATAAAAACCTTTAATGTTATTTAAACTCTTAAATGTTTCTATATTTAATAGAAACGACGTATTTTTAAAATTAATATTTATAACGTTAAAAATTAAAAGTTAAAAAAAATTGTTTTTGCAATTTTGCCGTTATGCGAATCGGTGAGGATAAGAGAATCGACCGGAAAGGAAAAAGAGAGGTTTGTCTTGATCTTGAATTTAATTAAATTGTAACCCAGATGTGTGCAAGTGCCCTTTATTGACTGTGCTTTTACATTTTGTTCATCTCACTTCGAGAGCCTCTATCCTCTCAACACGCCGATATGTACTCATGAAGAGAAATGATGATGATATTCCGCGTACTTACAGCCGCAAGTACTAGAAACTAAAACTAATTGTTGTACGGAAATTTTATTATACACGAGATATGTTTGCAACAAGTTCGATACTTCGGGATACCGAAAATTATTTTCAAAATTTGCAGGGTGTCAAAGCTAGCGTCACTATTGAAAGCCGCAAAGATCATAAAATGAAAATTTTGAGAGGACAATTGTTTGTTTCGAAGCTTTAATAATTTTTGAATTATAAATGAGTAACAGTAATTCTGAAACACCTTGTATTTTGCATATAGAAGAACTTTTATAACATCAATGATGAAAAAATGATCAAGAGAAATCGAAGCGGTATTCTGAATATATATATTTTTTTCTCTTATGCAAGATACTGTGATAGTCATGTTATTAATAAAATACAGTTATTTATATGATTATAATAATGATAAAATCCTTTTTATTTTTGCTCGCTACGAATATATATATATATATATTTTATTATATCTATCCGACAACGCATACACAATATATTTGATTGGATGACATTCGAAGAGAAGGAGAGAAGGCGAAGGAAAATAATAAACAAATGCAACATATATACTATCAACACTCGTTCTTCTGACATTATTTCCAGAGCGTCGTGTTGCACAACAATTTATTAAATCTACAACCACAGCGCAAATCATAAACCTAACGTCGCTTCTATCGATTATCTTACGGTTTCCCTCGAAGAGTGTCAAGGGAATAAGAAAATTCACTGTCTCCCGATGAGGGAGACCTGCGACTACCTCACGAGCCTGCGCTAATGATAAAATCGATATGATAATTATCGGGATAATGTAGACAAAATGGATCCGTACGATTACTACATCCAGTTGGAATAGAAGGAAGGGGAGCAGGGAGAAAGAAAATAGAATAGATTTTATTCCGTGTTTTAGAGCTTTTCAATTCTCTCAGAGAACGTAATATAAGAAGAATTTGCATCGAGGATAATTAAACAATGAAAAATAAAAATTAGCGAAAATAAAATAAAAAGAATTAAATATAAATGATAATAAAACCAACTATTTTAAAACGTGGCATTCACTGCAAAGATAATTTCTTTGGTTTTCACCGACCTGGAATCAATTTTTCTTTATTAAATGTTATCTCTTTTTACAAAATGGTTGATATTAAATACTGTGATTTAATTTTCAAATAAATCCCATTAAAGAGAAATTTATTTAAACTTAAATAAAATGTAAAAAAGGTTTTGCTATATATAAAATTTTTAAATTCTACTTGCATTAATTCGAAATACATATTTCGATATTTTTGTTGCGCAAGAATTGATTCTAAATTTCTCAAAGGATTTATCCATGAAGAGATTGTCACGGTTTTACAATACATCCTGTGTAATAATAGACGTAAAGATAGACTGGGGGAGGGGGGGAAGAGAGAGAGAGAGAAAGGGAAGAGATCTTAGTGCGAATGACACTCGCGGGAGCTGCGACACAGCCCCGGAGAACATTCATCGTTCCGCGACGGCGGCATCGCGCCTTCTTCTTTTACTTCGCTTCCGTCGCCTGCCTCTCCGTCGTCTTCTCACGACTTTATCCGCACTGCTGACGGCGGCATTGGTAATCGCACCCCTGCGACTTCGATCTCGGAATAGCTGCGAGGTGTGCGGTGGCATTCGACTCGATTGCGCGCATCGCGGATCGTGACAGTCCACAAGGAGCCGCGAATCGCTGATCCACTTGCCGTGGCAGGTCGAATTCGTTGATCGGCCGCGCCGATTGTCGCCGCCAGTGATGTCGGCCGACAGTTTCCACCTGCCGATCCCCACGTATTTGTCCAGGCTCTCGTTACCGGGACGTTCCACGCAGATCAGCGAACCTGCGACGATTTTAATTACTTACCGCTTTTGCTTTCGCTCGACGGCGTGTAAATATAATAATTGTACGCCATTCTGCTCAACGGTTCGTATATTATAAGGCTGCTTTTACTTCTTCGGATGAATAGAGCGTTCTTAACACAGTTCTTGAATTTTTTTAGTCTCTTTTTAGCAAAAATTTGCACCATTTAATTATTAATAATTCTGACAAATAGTCCATTAGATTTGCAAATAGATATTACACACATAACATTCAACTGTACATGCAGTTATAGGAAAGTGCATCAAACTGTATATCAAGTTTCATATACAATATACTATATGGAGTTGTCGTGAAATCTAGATTTACATGTATTATAAGTGATATTCACGTGGCATTCTAAGTATTAATATTATAAAATTTTAACAAACTTTTAATTTATAATTTTTTAATTATATATTCTGTCGATTTTAATTAAACATTTAATAGCTTCTTTATTAATAATTGATAATTTCTTGAAAAACGTGATGCAATATCAGATAAGTGACAAATATCTCATTATAATTTGTTTTCCGCCTATAATTATAAGAAGCGGAGCGAACTAGATAAAAATACACGAAGTAGGAAAAACAAGGCGATTAATTTAGCAGCGACACAAAGATAGTAAGTAAGTTGTTGTCAAAATAACTTGCTTTCGTCCGCAGATTTCCGTGTTCGTGGCTTATCTACGCAAGATACGTCGCCAGTAGGAAACAACCGTTATCTGCACCACCGCATCCACTCCATCCGGTCGATTCCTTCGCGATAGCAGCCGTCATAGAACATCGTCGCGGCAGCCACGCTCTAATTTACATGACGTTACGTAGCGCAGCCGTGGCGCACGTTAATTGAGACTAGATCGAGTCGCTTCATTTCCACGTTGGCGGCGCGATTCATCATTATACGAATTTAGTATTCAGATTTTGAGGAGTTTAGGTGCATTCCCTGGAAAGCTCTGCCTTATTATGCAATTTTACAGAAAAATACCCGTTTTTTTAATGAAAACACGCGCATGTTCTTTAATAGAGGAAACAATTCTAATTGCAAGAGATTTATTGCTATTTTATGTCATCAAATTAGATGAAATATTCAGCATGGAAACGTTCGTATATGCTGTTCCGCAAAATGTAATTATATCATACGCTCGAGCAAAGGTTTCAAGTTGCATTTCAGTCGGAAGCTTTGAAGGTTATATATTTTTCACAAGGAATTAAGTGCCTTTTTACGGTAATGTACATATTTATCAATTTGCAAATATGAACGTACACTCGCTCGAGTTTCGTGTCTCACGCGATGTAAATGAGAATATCAAAAAGTTGAAATTAATATTGCGAATTTGAAACTCGCGAGGAACGTGGGCTAAGAAATCTTACTTTTATCATGATGTCGGACAGCTCAGGCTTGTAAGAGAGAGCGGACTTACGCGGAGCGATAATTTTTCGCTTGAAGTGTAATCCCAAGTTTTACATCTCACGGATGCGCACCGTTTTTTTGTAAGAAGACAGAAGTCTATTGTCCCTTTGAAGCGTTATGGTCGCAAAAACTTGAACACGCGCGACAAGGACTTAGCTGCGAAAAGAATGACTGGTATGCGGAATATCCGCCATTGTTTTTCCTTCTCCTTGATGCAATATATAGGTACTTTGTTTTTATAAGTTTTATAAGCTCCTCAGTTTTACTTAGCATCTGACATTCATTCTTAACGTGAAGGAGCGGCTCAAAGTTTTTGATTTCTTGCAGCGTTTTAAGGAGAGAAAAAACGAAACGTATGATTTATGTAATATTAAGAATTATGAAGATTTCACGAGTTACAGTTTCTAGCAATGCTTTGTTCTTTAATTAAATTTATATAGATTTTATTCAAGAATTTATAATTTCTGGTTTAATTTAAAAAATGGAAAATTAATATTAAAAATTTCAAATATTTATGACAAATTCTCATCTAATTTTCATTCAAAATAAAATTAATATAAATTCTATTACAAAATCTCAAATCGAGAGAGAAAACGCATGAATTCTAAAATATTCTATATATTTTTTTTTCATATTCTTAATATCTTAATATCAGATTTGCTCTCGATAATAAAAATGGCATTCTTTTAAATGAAACTTCTTTATCCAATTAAGATTAAGATCAGACATCGCAACGCGAGCGCACTTATACAAACCTTCTGAGAGCAAATCCGAAATCCTGCTGCAACCCCGCGAGACGCGCACAATGGTGAAAGCAACGCAGCTGCCGCTGAAACGTGCACAATATCGTTTTTATATTACAGATTGTAAAGCCTCAATCAAAACGGGTTCTCCAACGTGTTTTCTTGTTAGCCATCACAGTGCGCGCATGATATGATAGCCCAAAGGGTTCTATCGGCTGCTCTGTAACTTGCTTTACCCGTTCGACAACATCATAGGGGAATTTCGATACTGCGACACGTTGTTTGCTACGTGTTTTGTAACAGGTTGGAGGATGTGTCAAATTAGATCCTCGGCATATTGGCGATTCCATTTTCGATAAAATAGTTCGAAATGAAAGAAACTTATTTCTTGCGAAGTTGGAAGCAAAAAACCCCTTTTAACGAAATTGAATTCTGATGCTCGATTGCGAAGGTAATGAACTTTGAAAATTAAGGCCGCCAACTAATAAGTTACGCGCGAACGCTCCGCGCCATCAATAATGCACAAAATGCGATTGAAAATTATTAATTATGTCATTCGGATGCACAATATGATGAGTAAAAGAATAAATGCATTATATGTTAAAGTATTAAAAATGTCATATCTCGCAACGAATATTGCAATATTATTTCGTTGTTACGTTTTTAATTGAATGCACAGTCAGAAGAATAAGGAATAATCTCTATTATAATGTAAAACAAATATTTACTTTATCTGCAAGCAAATCCGACACTGTTTCTATTTTTACACTGCACCGCATCAAGAGAACGGGAAAGACATTGTTTTCTATTACGCGAATTGGAAACACGTGCGGCAAATCGCATTTCGCGCGAACCAAGACTAAACGCGGGGGCTTGACCTACCTACCTTTTATCGATGATCCTATCCTTGATCCTTACGTCCGTAGTGTTGCCATCGCCCGGAAAAAGTGCAAGAAGCGTCACACCTGCGGCAAATGAAAGGAAATCGCCTAGGATCGGGGAACAGACGTCAAGAATTTCGCGTCGCGGTAAATACAATCGGGGATAAGTCGTGTGTGGTTCTAAAGTCTCTAGAAGAGAGAAATGCTTGGAAAATGTCGAACAGCACGTTCTATCGGAAATTGTGAGGCGCGAGGAAGAGACTAGAGAAGAAAATAATTTATTTTCTTTCTTTTACTTCGATTTTTTTCTATTGAAATTTAATCTCGAATTTATCTCGTGAAATCTTAGTAACTATTAGAGGAAAAATTCTTAGTTTTTTTTATTTAGTGCAAAAGTAAAATGAAACGTCATAATTTCAACGAATTATTTTATGCGAGTCAAGCGCGTCTGAAGATTAATTCTCACTGTTTTCGAAATGCCGCACTTGAATTGAAAAGCAACTTATCCACCGCCTTATCTCTCGTTCGAGATAAATCGACACTCACTCTTAGCGTGCGGCTGCGAACGAATTCCGGCGTGACATGTCTGGAAACTGCGGCACGTCCTGACCTGGTCCAGGCGGGGACAGTGCTTTCCGCCGTTCTTCTCTGAGATCTCGATCAGCCGGCTGCGCCTTTGAGTGCCACTTCCGCATCCGTTATCGCACGGACTCCATGGACTCCATTCGCTCACTGCACAGTCTACCACTATAAGAAAAGAATGAGACTGGCGTTAAGATCTGACCGTCTGGTCGTTTCTTGCAGAGAAAAGATAAAATGGTCCCGAAGCTGCCACTGGTAGAATGCGATCGACAAATCGATAGTAAGACACTCGGAAAACGTGTCGTTTAAGTTCTCTTCTGATTTCTTTTAATTTTTGTGAATATCTAACTCGAATTTTTTACAACATGCACAAAATGCTATGTGATTGTAATTAATTCTCCCTTTAAATGCAAGAAATTGTAGCTTATATTTAAAGGACATGTGTGTTCCAAAAGGAGTGGAACAGTCAAACGCGTTATTTTGCCGACCTTTTACGCAGCGTACAAAAGGCAGTCCGCAAGAATGGCGATTTACGAACGTCCCTTCGCAACGTTTTGCCGTGCATTGTTCACATCATCGTTATATCGGCAGGAAAACGAAGGGACATTTGAGGTGGGCAAAAATGCGATAAATGTGTCGGCAATCACCGATGCTCTTCGCCATTGAAGAGAACACATGAAATACGGGAGATGAAAATTCATTTAAAGTGTCGTTGTTTCACATTGCACGAAGCACATTGAGAATAAATGTCGTGACATTTAAAAAATGGGACGATCAATGTGTTTATAGTTTGATGTTTAATGGAACATTCCAAATAAAATCGAAACTGTTATTATCGAATTTTTAACGTGAATCTGAAACGAGAACTGAGCAATTAACCAAATAATATTTTGCTTTCTATAACACATAGTAAACTAAATGACGTAATTTAGCTTACGTTTTTAATATGCTCTCCTTTTGTAATAAAACGTTATTGCGCGTAGCTTAAAAAGATAATTAGAGAAAAATATTCAAATTAACATTTTGCTCTTTCATTTCTTCAAAGTAAAGAAAGTAAAAAAATGAAAGCTTTTGAAAGTTGCAATGCGGAATGCATTATAAATGGAGTAAGAATGTGTATTATAATGAAGTACATGATATTGTTACAAACATTAATTTGATGTTAAATATGTTAAAACAGTATTTAAAACTGAATAAAATATTTCGGAGATAATTTTATATTTGCATTTGTGTATCGCAAATTACGTATAATTAGATAGTGAATGGCAATTATGTATTTACCGCTTCTCAATTATGTTATTAACGCAATTACAATATTTATATTTTTCACCTGCGTAAATTGCTGTATTGATATAATTATTAGTATATTTAATTTTAGCATTTTGCATTTTCAATATCTCTCGGTAATAATTTAAAGAGACATATTATACGATCAGTCGCGCGAGAACAGACGGTCGTAAATATGAGAGGAATATTTTATACAGAGTGCTTTAGCAAAGCCGCGCGGTAATATGCGAGCTGCATTTTGCATACCGTCGGCTGAGTGGTACAATAATTTATTTATTGCTTTCTTTTTTATAATTATCCAACGTACTAATTGCGGCCTATCATCGGTCTGGCCCGCCGACCCCGATCTCTGCTGGGACATGGTCACCGATCGATCGCATGCTCGTCAAACTAAATTATTTCGCGTGCCCGTCGGTCGTCGGTTCGCTGAATGCGAATGGTCGAGTGACATACGTGTTGTTCGAGGTTCACCCAGCCGAGCATCGGTGTAATAGGGGAGATAATGCACGGTCACTGGCCCACAACAGTCCATGTAAGATGTCACATGTTACCCATGTACAGAGTCGAACTTCCGCAATACGCCACTCGCCCAAGCTGATACCAAATACGCTTTACATACGCGCAGTCTTCCCTTCTTCGAATTATTTCGAAAGATACAAATAATTCTCAAATATCTCGTTCAGAACATGATAAAATACTTGATATGACAGTTTTTTACGTTTCTCTTCAATGATTCAAGCTTTTAAAGAACAATCCGCGGCACAACTTCTTGTTTTAGAAGTAAAAATGTAGAAACTATTATTAGAAATTCACGTTACGTAAATAGAAATACATAAATGTTCCTTTTGTAATTTTTATATTCTATTTACGTCGTTGCAATCTAATTCGTCGATGATGCTACAAAGCATGTACATTCGCGTCTCATCTCAAGCCTACGATGGGGATAAAAATGAGATTATCCTGCTTCTAGACGAACGGCTTTGAGCCATTCGGAAAACGATTTCAACTGCAAGTACTGTACGTTACATCTCCAAGTCGGAAGGAACGACACTTCTTCTGGCAAGCGTGATAATCGCGTTCCGACATAGCTTTAGCTATACAGAATATCGAATTCCTTGCAGCTTCGCGAATGACAGAAATCAGAACATTGAAGATGAACATTCCTGATGGAAAATGCAGTAAGATGCAAGAAAATCGTTTTTATTTTCTATAAATGCTCTCTTTCCTTTTTCAATCGCTCCGTGATTGCTCTACTAGAAATAACAAGCACAATAAACGTAGATTTTGTCATTGTTATTATTGTTGTTGTTGTTTAGCGAACGATTTAATCGTATGCCAGTCGATTACCTGGCAATTAAATTGGTAAAACATGGCCGTGTTAAATGAACGAGAATGTGCATTGAGTAACATTAATCCTTTTGCTGCTAACAGGCGCGTCGTTCAACGACCCATAAAATTCCAAACAATTTAAAATAACTGTGCACCAAAGTGGAAATAGCTCGACTATTTGTTATGTAAATATTGATGATGAAACCATAAACAGTACTCATTGTGAGTGACACGACTAATTATAATTATATTATCAATGACGGAAAAATATTTAATAAAATTTCTCTTTTCTCCAAGAAAAGAAATCGGAAAATGAAAACATGTTATTACATTCTTAAAATAAAAACAAATTACTTTTTGGTAATTTAGTTTTTAATTTAGTTTTAATTTAGTTTTTAATATTTAGCGCAATAAATTAGTAAACCGTATATTGTTGCAAAGTTTGAATCGTACAAGCGATCACTCGCATGTGATATTGCAAAAACAAAAATTCGAATAAATCATTAATTTATTGGCAATCCTAAATCTTTCTCGATTTATCTTATATTTATAGAATATGAAAAGATATGGTCTATAAATCGCAATGTACATCTACAAAGATATTCTTCATTTTTATGCTTTGTCGGAGCTGACCTTATGCTTTGTCGGTCAGCGTTATCAGCTTTACTTAGGGTATATAGCAGCGATATTTCTTCCGACTTCTGTGTAGGATGGTTCCCAATGGGCCATTTCTTCTAAATATTTCTTCTAAATACGATTTACACGCACATATCAATATTTACGTGCATTCTTTTTTATTTGCCTGAAGTCATTTTTGATATCCGATTCCATTCAAGTTCGAATAAATTTCTGACAAATATTTTAGTCAATTTTACTAATGATTTCTGCGAGGATTTGGTTTTTTAAAATAAAATTTTAGATTTCGAGGTTTCGAAGCTCGGTATATTACGTTGATAGATTTACGCAATCTGCATAATAAGGAGCATCAAACACACACAATACAATTGTCTGAGGCATTTATCATTTCTAGCGCTTTGGCCATGCGTGTCAGTTTCCATTACATGCAATACATCAATATACCAGGTCGATAGTCAACTAAATTTTCGTTAAATGTTGTTGATATTGCTAAAATGCAATATCAATATCAGCAGTATTTTGAGAGTCATCACGCAATTGCTTTCGCAGAAAATGGAAAATAGATATTTTAAAGACTTCATAGAGAAAAATAAATCTTATTGCGTGTTTTTTATATGAATATTTGAAATATTTATACCAAGTACATAGCAGACGAGAGAACAAAATAACTAATTCTCTATCAACAAAAGTTTTTATTGACGAAATGAATAAAATTATCCATTAACAAAACTCTAGCGCGTCCAATAACGTAGTTGCTAATATTAATTAGAAACTTCAGAGTTGACGGTAAATTACTTGGCGATTCAAAGTGACCGCAATTCGCTCGCGCTAAGATGTTAAAGCAAGTACATACGTAGGTACGTCCTTAAGATGCAATATAATCCTACTAAATCTGAGACATCTAAGCGCGTGCTTAACGCAAATTGCGCCATAAGAGAAACCATGTGCACTCGATTAATTAACATTCTATGCTATTTTCCTGTAAAAACTGTTTATTTCCTCGACGTTTTTAAATTTGATTAATTGATAGATCAAGATCTTTTATTTCACACTTTAATTTTACTGAATTTCATCGTAAAGAGTTATTGATATTTTATAAAAGACAGTCGGCAATAATTTATTATCATGAGATAATATTTTTCTTATCTGTGATCAATCTTATAGACAATTTATCTTCAATTTGTACACCTGTGTACGACACTTATACAATTTATTTTACTTTTTGCAAGAAATGTGTCAGCTTTTATTCCACAAATAAATAAGAAGTCAATAGAGACTCAACGACTAAAAAAAAAGAGTTTAGACCGCGATTAAATCTTCATAAAAAAATTAATTATTTATAAGTATTTTGATTCTCGAAAAAAGTAATTATCTGCAAGATCAAGTAGTACAATTTTTCAAAATAGATCATCTAATTGTTGATTTTTTTTATATCGCCCATTGCTACCCATAAGTTTTGCGTGCAAAATCGCCGAATACGTACCACCGCAAGTCTCCTTGAAGTCGTCGCAGCAGTCGGCGAGCTTGAGACAAGCGTGGTCGCAGTAGCACGGCTTATCGCGCGGGCTTTCGATAATCGCGTTCGGCGACTCTTTCTGTATGACGCAGCCGGAATCCCTGCCTTGACAGCAAAGCTTCGCGGAGCTGCAGCTTCCGGCGGCGGTCCCATCAACGGTCAGGGAAATTAGCGTGGCGATGACGGTCAGCCTGGCCAGCGTCGCGTCCTTCCTCCACATTCTCCTCCGAATTCCGCGATCCTGACGACCTTGCTCCGACCGCCACCAGCCACTACGACCTTGGTTGGTCCCACCAGTCGTGGAAACGCACACACGTGCCGTTAGAACTCCCGCTCGCCACTTTACAGCAACTCTTCACGCCTGCGATCAGTCGTCGACATATCGATCTATGCACTTCGTTTAATATCGTTTTTAGTTTCTGGAGGAGAATGTCTTTTCAATTTTAATGAAGTTCATGTTCGAGACTTGTTCCTATATTGTACCATTAGATTCTCGTTGCCGACGTTCACCAATCACTGACCAAAATCACGTCTCTGCAAGAAGATACTCGAATAATTAACTTTTTTTTACATCACGGACTTTTCAACAAAGTTGCAAAATAACTATTGTCTCTTAATTCATGAAGAATCATCAATATTTTTACATACAAGAATTTATAATTAATCAAAATGCTTTATAATAATTTTATTTTGAACTGTCACATTATATTTACTTTTAAATATCAGGAAAATAAAAATACAGGGAATGCTTACGAGCACCTTACGACACGCATCGGTCGGATATTCGCGACTTCAACTGCCAAGAGAAGCGAGCGGCAGGAAACAAACCCTATTCGCGCTCGACCCTTCGATGGAGGGTGTCGCGATCCAACTGAGCGTTTCAACCCCGCGAGCGCGAGAAGAGCGTAACGAGGCGCGCGCGCTACGTTGCGCCTTCGCCGACTCGTCGTCCTTGCTTTTCGTACTCGGCGCACCTCCCACGGGAACTGCAGCAGCCGGCATCTGTCCGAGCGCATGCCCGAACGAATCTCACGAGACACCACGATTTAGTGCTTGCAGCTTTTAATGGAATTTAAAGCGTAACAATTCGTACCGGATGTAACGGTAACATATATGGAGCATTAGATATCGCCTTAGACTAGTTTTTATTCTTACTCTCAGACATAACGTGGAGGAAGACCACATTATTCGCCGCAATGCACTAAATTACAACATTCTGTCTTAGAACCGTGTCCATCGGTTACAAGTGCTTTGGCAATTTTTTTTTTTTTTTCGGCGATATACAAGAGAATTAATTTTCCACGCCTGTGCTTGTTAGCATCGTGATATATGTTAAATAAACATTGAAAAGTTTTTATGCATTTATACGAAACTGGAACGACTTTTCTCATCGTAAACCCGTGTGCCTAAGGTCGGATAATGGGAAGCAAGAAACAACAGGGAATGAGGAGATTATGCTCTTGGCAATGGCGCGCAATTATAGAACACGCGGCAAACTTTCGCAATATCTGTACCCAACTTACATTGCTTAATACAGACTGCATTCTAGGCGTGAGTAGCTTTTTAACCTTAGTCCGCTCGCGTATATATTTCTTTCCTCTTTTGCGTATATATATTAGCTATTATAGATACCGTCCAATCTTCATTACAAATGCATCTTGCTACGAAATCTGCTTTGTACGGATTTAACCAACGACTTGTTATTAATAATAAACAGTAATAAGATTCTTCATTGTGTGCTCCTTTGTACACGATGAGAGTAGGATCTCGAGAAATGAATATTCTAGCATTTTCATTCTGTTTTTAATATAAAATCATAATAGAGAGAGAGAGAAAGAGAGAGAGAGAGAGAGAGAGAGAGAGAGAAAGAGAGAGAGAACCAGTTAATAAATAAAAAATATATAATTTACTATATATAAAATGCAATTGTACGTATTAATTTTTCTGTAGATATAAATTAATTCATATGTATAATTTTTCATCAATTTTAAATTGCAAACTAGTGAACGCAGAACATCTCATAAGCTTTATGAATTTACAATTAAATAAAAATCCAATTTGTTTTCGAATATGAAAGATTAACCTTCTCTTTCGCATAACAACGTTGATCTGTAATAAAGACATGTGCACGCGCGCATAGTTCCCACACTCGCCGCTACGCTGCGCAAGCGTGAATAACCTTACTCGTATTTAACATTTCATCGGCGGCTTATAAGACTGGGCTTGAGAAGGCTGAAAGCATACTTACCTGGCGCAGAGGTTACCGTGATCATGAAGGCGGTTCCTCCAGGGCGAGGCTCTTCCATTGCACTACGGTTGAGCTGACCCTTGCGAATATCCCTAATGTGGATATCTCGGGCGTACAATTTTTGATAGTCGGGACTGCGTTCGCGCTATCCCGGAGAATAGAACTCAAACAGAAAAAACACTGCATAAAATTTGCACCTTCTAACTCTTAATAGAACAAGGAAAAAAAAACTTTTTTCTTCTCTCGAGAAAAGACATTAACGTAATTTGGAATTTAGCTTTGCAAGTTTTGACCTATTTTCGAGATACATATTTAATTGAACAATCAGTCGAGTTGTAACCTGATGATGAATTCTTTTGACTGTGTCTCCTGCTTTTTAGAAAAAACTTATAATATTCCATACTTTTCAAACTTGAAACCGTAGTGACTACGACGTGTAGTCTCTTTTCAGCTTTAACTCACAATATTTTATTAACACATACCGTGCCGCATGAGTCACTGATGACCCCCGCTGAACTTTCCGATCACGCTGTTTGAAATACAATATTTCATACTTCTTATTAATGATACTTTTTGTTTTATAAAGCATTTTTATAATTCTAATTTTATATATAACAAATAATAGATACGAAAAAATGATTTAAAAAAATAAGTAACAGTAATTAAGTAATCAATTAGCGCATTTTTCTTTCTATAGTGTAATGCTACTTTCAATAAAATGCTAGGCACATTTAACGAAATTACTGATGAAAAAAAATGGAATAAATATTTCAAATGCTTTTTTTTTTTTATTTGGAGTGTATTGAATCTTTAGATGCAAACTCCATTTTGTAACATCCTGCAACCGAATGAATAATAGTGAACGTGAAAGAGTTTATCAATTTTTCACATTCATTGACAACAATAGTGTATATACGTGATCGGACTTTACTGGAATCACACGCTGAACGGATACGTCGATAACGGTCGAATATTATCGCACTCGCATACAGGGTATTCTTCCGAAATCGATTTCGACTCTGAATAGCGGAAATGCAGTTTATCGTGACAATATGTAAATGTATAACAAGGAGCTCCAAGAGTTTTCGGAGTTTTCAGACGTGGAGTTTTTGCGTTAGCGCTCAACAAGTAACGAAGGGCAAAAAGTTTTTTGCGAAACGAATAAAAGTCCCAGGTGAACGTCGACCGATCCGAATTGAATCCCCGATACTCGGAGCAGCCGAGAACGTTGATTAATCGCACGTGCAAACAACATGTAACGCTGCTCGATATCCGCAGTCCCTTTTCCCGGAGATGGAGCGCGCTCCTGGAAGACGACAATTAATTTCCCCAATTCTGTCGACCGTTCTACGATGTTCGCGCCAGCTGCGCCGACATTAATAAGAGAAGACATACGTATCGTTGTAGATAGTGGAAAGTCGATATACTTTGCGGCTTCCTTTTATTTGTGACCTCAAATGAGAACACTAAAAAGACAATGCGTTTCAACGCAGACGCATAATTATTTTTTTATCTCGTAGAGATCTAAGAAAAAATTTTTTAGATTAAACAATTATTTGAAAATGCTTATGTGCTCTTCTGTTCTCTAATCATGTAGTTATTTCAAGACTATTTTTCTTTAATAGTTTAATGATTTTTTAATAATCTAATTTTTTATTATTCTGTTATTGCATTATACAGAAATTTTATTAATTTATAGAAATTGAATATAATGATATATATATTCAGACAAACTATATCAAATAAATTTTTAATGTAAAATTTATATTCTATTTATCGTTTTAAAATTTTTATTATTGAATATGAAAAGAGAAAGAGTTATAAAATATGATATAATAATTATATATATATAGCATTTAGATTTGTTTTATATTTATTATTATTATATTTTATAGCTTTTTATATTTAATAAAACTTAAAATAATAAATGGAATATAAATTTTATTGCTAGTGCACTAATTTTTTAATAGCATGGTTATTAAATTTTGTGAGATATTTTTAAACCAAATTTTGCAAGAGCCATAATTTTATTTAAAAAACGCAATTTTATGCTAGATTGAGTCAGTTTTATGGTTAGTGATAAAAAAATCCATTTAGGTCGTGGGTAAATTGACAGGTCGAGAGTGCGATTGCACTTCAAAAGTCACACGCAAAACTCGATTCATGTAAAGAGAATAGACCATGATAGCGCTAATATAACGAGAAAATCTAATTTGCTCGCTGTCGAAGTTATCGGTTGGCGAAACACAGTTTTTAGATATTAGCATTATTGTGCAAACGGAGAAAACTTTGAAATAGAGTTACCCGCATTTCACAATTATCGACGCAATAATCGGGTTTTTTTTGCTTCTACTTTGTGCTTTTGATGCTGATATTGTACGCTAACTTAATTTTTCAAAATAAATTAGAAATCTGTATATTACATAACATGCTGAAATAATTTCTTCAGCAAGACGCTATTGCTGATAAACTTGAAAATGTAGTATAAACGATAAGACTTATCGCATCTGAATTGCTTAAGATTATTATAGTCAGTAAATATTACAAAATTAGCCGCGCGCTGGAAAATTTTCGTATTTATTTAATAATTGTGGAAATAATTAAAGAAGACTGGTGATGACATTGAGAGGCTGTACATGAATTGTTTCAGATTTTTAACAAAACATATAATTATAATAAACATTATCAGTTAGAATTAAAACAATCACAATATATTATTTGATAAAAACGATAAAAGAAATTAATAGAAAACAAATTTTAATTTTTTACTTTAACTCTGTTGTATTATTTAATTTATTTTTTATATTAGGAAATATGCATATAACAAATATGATTTTTTATAAGAAATTTTGATAAATAATTTCTTCCTAGACACAAATTTCTTCTTAGATCAAGTCATGATTTGCATACCATGATTTGCATACAATGATTTGCATATTATTGTGCTATTTCGGTCAGAGGTTATTGATGACAGCTATTGTTTGAATTATTTGTGAATAATTGATTATAATCAATCCACTAAATTAATCTTACAAGAAAATTCTTTCATGCAGGTCTTTTGCGCGTGCGTGAGTACGTCATCGACTAATGTAACCTCGACAGGCTTGTGCTGTGCAGAATGTTTTTTGGAACCTATATTATTTGTTTCTAATATTACACTAATAATGTACAAAATACATTTAATTTTATATGAACTATTAATTAGTAAAATTGCACACAAACAGAATTTATTAATTTTGTGGAATAAATTTATTGCAGCCAACGATCGTCTGTAGACGATAAACTAAAAAATTCTAATGACCCTGTCTTTTATCGAATAGATATAGAAACTTTTATTTATAGTTTAACATTTTCTATTTGCTTTTTATAACGGGCTTAACAGTATTCTTCATTTTATAACAAATAGATACGTGACTGTGTGAGGTATAGCGTCTGCTAGCGCTGTGTCACTACGCAGACGTGAGATGTGGTCTCTGCTCTTGTCTCACAACATTACTCGATCTGTCATACACGTATTTCGTTGTTAATTTAATTTAGCAACAACGATATTCCAAGTGCCGAGCATTCGTTTTGTTTACACTTCGACGTTTCAAAATGGGCTGTTGCGGATCTTGCTTCAAAGAATCGTCATCGTATGAGGATCTCACTCCCGATCGGGTAAGTATTCTCGCAAAGGTTATAAACACGCACTTTAATATTAATCTTTTGCATCTGTATGATTAAATGTCTTTAAATTGCTATAACATGCTTGGTGAAACAATATTTTCTTACTTTTTTGTATTTTTTGAAAGACAAACTTCTATCACTTGTTGTTTGAGTTCTAGTTTTTAATTGTTTTTCTATTTTTTTAATAGCATAATAAATAAATAACCATGAAATACTATCTGATATTTTATGTAAACTACCCTGGTTATTCTTTTAGGAGACTATGCGTAGAAAACAGGCGGAAGCAGCTGAGAAAAGAATAGCTGAGCAACAACAACACGGTATAAAAAATATAGAGTCGGTTAAAAGACAGCAGCAGCGGGCATTGGAACTTGAAAGACGAGAGCAAGAAGCTGCTACTAGCAATAGAAATCCTTCGTTAAGGGTAAAAATATAAGCAATTGCAATTTTGCTATTACGTTAAATTATTTGTGTGATCAGACATTGAACTAAAACTTTACTAAGTTGAATATCTTTATTTCAGTGGCAAGTAAGCTAAATCAAGAACAGATGCATGTTACTAATTGAGAAGATTGAATCGCACGTTCATTTACAAGATATTGAAGGTTCTATAATATCTGATAGTTCCAACGACACTAATATGGCAAGTGCAATCTTTGTACCATTTAAACAGAATTAAGTTAAGTTGTGATTAAGCTTTGAGTATTTTAATTTAATTAGAATATTTCATCAGCTGAATCCAAACCATTAATGTTAAAGTTTGCTCTTAGCTGATGTATGTTTCATCGTATTTTATACATCTACTTACACGATAATGTGCTCTAAAATGCTGCTCTAAAATATTGATACTGCTACAAACGTTACAAGTTTTATGTCAACATATAAAGCTTGATTGCTTTTTGCTTCAATCTATTAAATAAATCTCTATTTTCTTATTCGTGATATTATATATATAAATATGTTTAAGTAAAATATTTACATATCTTTATATATGTGTATTTGCAGTTACACGCAATTATAAATATAAATTGTAAATGAATAGGACAGTAAAACAAAATGATTGAAGAATATCTTTAACAGGATATTCTTACATGCATAATTAACTCTTCTTTTAATGAATATGCATTATTATGATTGCAAAGATTTTAAATTACTTAATATCTATGCCTATACTGGAAAAAAATGTGTATCGAGAAACAAGACTAACGATTTGTCACTTGTAATAACATAACCACTTATATAAAAAAGTTTATATATATATAAAATATAAATTTGATATCTATAGTATTCAATATTTGTGATATAAAAGAAGCAATTTCAATTAAACTCTTATAATATATATATTTATCTATAATATATATAATATATATTTAAGATAATACAAAATATACACTTATTATTATTAGTATTATATTATTATTACATTATTTGTTATAATATATATTTTGTTATTGAATAATAATGCGTGTAAATGTACAAATGTAATATATCAGAAATTATAAATATATGAGAAAACGAAATGGCATTTCAATCTATTTTTCAGCGATTTTAACATGTGTGATTTTTGTATTAAATTCTGTAAATATTAGAAAAATCTTAATATACATAAATATTAGGACTTAACATACATATATATAATTCATCTTTTACAACTTCGTTTAAAATTATATACTGAAGTATAATTATTCATTAACACAATCGTACAAAACGCTGAACGTCGTATGGAATGCTTATTGAAGTTTTGATACACATCGTGACACGAAATGGCGTTAAAAATTTTTCTATACAGCTTTTAAAATGATATATATAATTGCAGTTGTTTGTAAAAATAATTTTTTTATTCATTTCTTATACGAAAAATTTTGACAGTTTTCTAATCTTGATTATCCCGAGAAATAAATTTTAAAAAGTCCCACGATTTGTATCAATGCGTGTTAGTTAGACGTACAACAGCAGTATCTGGTTTTCTTTAAATCTCATATTTTTCCTATCCGATGAACCGACCAAGAGCGAAACAGTTTTTTCGCCGATTTACTTTTAAACTCCCTTCCGTGTGCGATTTGTACTTCCAGCGAAGCGCCGTTATTTAGCGCCAACCATGTGTGAACTTCATCACTAGCTGCGGAGACCCCTATACATATTTAAAAAGTAGATCTCATATAATATGTTAACAAACAACAAAAGCATTATGAATTACAGGATATATATAACACACTATAAAATTTTATTATAATAAAAATAAAATTCAGATCTTATTTTACTAGATTTAGATATAAATTATATGTTTACGATCATATTTTAATATATGCATACATTTTATGTTAAGAAAAAAAAATAATTAAAATATTATACCTAGTAGTTCGTGTAGGGTTACACGCCGACTGGCCAACAACTCCTTGCTGGCGCTCCTGATTTCAAATATCAGTAACGCTTGTCTCGGTACACCGTCACCGTCTATATGGAAATCTATACTGAACTGAGGATTAGGCATAGCCGGCAGGAGACGCGATTTGGCAATGGTTTTTCCACCATTAGGTGACATAACCTTTTCCGGACTGGTGCATCTAAAAATCTTTAATTTAATTACCTGTGAACTCATTATGATCAATATTTAAGATACTTACGTTTGAAGCTTTACTCGGCAGTACAATTGAGCGATGTGCGCTACATGAAGACCTTGCGCCTGAAGAACTTTCCCTTCCACTCCAGAGTACTTTTCTCTAGTGCCGTTGACGATTTTTAAATCTACAGCATCAAACATTAATTTTATTTTATTTATTTCAGATTTTAGCATTACATTTTAAAAAACTAATTTTTTTTTTTTCTAGAAAAAGAGAGACTTACTACTTGCATGAAGTAGAAACTAATATTTTTATTTTATGAAACGGAATAAGAACGGCAAAAATCCGTAATGAAAATATTCACATAATGATGCGATGTTAATTTTCGACGCTACTAACCATTCGGCCTCAATCTTAACCGTGGACTGGGCTGTCTTATCCTGCCTAACATGTCTGGTTGCGATACCGCGTGAGCCAAACCGGATTCCGACAAGAGTTCCGTCGCGTCAGCTTCCCCGCCGCCTCTGGGCTCCAGACTCAAGGTGATGCCCTTGCTGTCGTTCTTGTCTTCTATAGTTACTTCCGAACGAAATCTACGAAGTTTTAAACCCCTCTTCACCTACAATTACATAACGTGCCTTTTAAACTGATGTTTCGATCACGATAAGACTCGACGCGCTTACCTTCTGCTTCATCATGCGGAAGCTGTTGTACTGTGGTAACTTTTTGCCGAAGCTCTGTTCAGGACTCGGAGTCAAGCTGTGATGGGAGGACCGCCTCTCCGCGATTACTTTCGCCGTATCGGACTCATCGACGGAAGTATCCACAGCCGATTCCGCGATAACTTTCGGAATCCAGAAGGTCGATGAACCATTCATATCAGAATCCTTGCTGGTGATGCTAGCTTTATCTGTACCAAATGATAAAAAAATATGTCGATATAGCGTCGGATAAAAACATTAAATATGTAGCAGATACTTCATAACGCGATATTACCTGATTGATTCGATGTAGTCGGCTTTAAGAGAGTGACAGTGCGCGGTGGAGGCGGTGGCGGTATGACTGGATCCAGATGCAGGCGTATTTTAGATTTCTCCATGGAAGGCCTTCGCACGATGCTCGACAAGGAGTCAGGCTCGGTGTTTAGACGAGAAGAATTGTCGCTGATATTGCTGGTTGCATACGTACTTTGCGTCTAGAAAAATCGTGATTTTTAGAATAAAACAGCAGCATATTATTATTTTAATGTAATTTTACTAACAAAATATTATGCATGTTAAAGATATTGTGTGAATGTTACCTCGCATTCTTCCGACAAAACCTTAATTTTCAGCTCCACAGATCCCGTTTTGGTTCCCCTGAGCGGGAACCAATGGGACTGATCGCTGTTCGATAGCTTTCTGATATCGTCGAGAGTCAGTGATACTTTCCCGAGGTAGTCCTTCATGCCGAAAGTATCGTGATCCCATAATACCTGTAAAAATTCATAAAAACTAATTAATTTCTTTATTCTTTCAATCTAGCAATTAAATCTCGACAGAAAAATATGTATGAAATTACAATATCTAAAGCTTCTCCGGTCTTTGGCAAGCCCATGATGGAACTCTCGTCCCAGCAAGGATTCAGCGTCTTCTTCTTTATACTGCTCTTATACTTCGTTTCGTTATTCAATTTCAGTTCGCAGAAAGGATCACTAAAGCCATTTAGGTCCTTTGCGACGAGATCTTTCGCGCGCAACAACGTTACCTCCATCAAACCGCTTCCGGTGGACAATAGACTGGATATGTCAGAGGAAGCGGGATCGATGTCCTTGTGTGTTAATAGCAGTTTCTGAAAATATTTTTAAAACTTGCGTTACATTTGTAATTCTATTATAATTTGTACAAATTTTCTATATTTGTAGAAATCTTTTTCTTTCAGATAAATGTAGGATAACTAACAGCTTGTTGCATCCATGGTAAACTGTTCCGTTTGATTCTCGGCTCGTCGTCCAACGTAGTTGGAACTAAACTGCTTCTGCGACTGCTAACCACTTGTTGTATACTTTTAACAGGATAAAATAGAACGGAGACCGTCATGTTGGAGGCGACGTTCGAGCCACTGAGTGTAAGATCCTTTCTGACCATCCACGTCGTGTCCTTCGATAAAACATATTATTTTTTCATAATATTTCATAGAATGTGTGCGGCGTTATATAAAATTTTAAGAATGCAAAATGTATAAGAATGAGATAAGTCTATATAATTTTTGTGAAATCTATTTTAAATAAATTAAAAATTATAAACTTATCTTGTTCTTATATTAAATCGTTTTATAGAGGATTAAATTACTTGAGATAGAGATAGCATGGCTAGTCCAAGCATATCTGTGTCCACCGATTTTGCAATATTCCACGAATAAATAACGAAGCTCAGCGAAACTTGAGTATAATCCTGCACCAGAAATTGCGCTCTACAGTCCCAGACCGGGGACGTAGTCGAGCGGACGTAATGCGTCGTTTTGACCTGAAAACCCATAGAGAATACATCAATAGTTAATATACATAGGTATAATAATCAACATTCTAAAAATAATCGACGATATTGCAAGTCGTTTTTACCTTTTTCCGATTGTTGAACAGCATGCAATAGGGATTGCACTGTGTAGTATCGCCGTTGAGATTGTCAGCGGAGTGAATATAAACCACTAATACCCCTGAAAGTTACGATATGTTAAACCATGAATAAATTCTCGTTTGTCGTCATCACAAAAACAAATGTATCTAAAGACTCTACGAATTCTCACGAAAAAGCAAACGATGAAGTACAAGACTTGTGTTATAAAAAATTCGGTAAATTTACACAAATAAGATATAAAAATTACATGAATAATAACAGAAATATAATAAATAAATTTTGTAACTTTTATAAAAACATGTAGTTTTACAAAATTTCTTCAGTATATTTCCGTTATTAATCATATAACTTTTACTTCTTATTTGTGTAACTATCTGACCAAGCGTCTCGATAATAAAACTATGAAGCGTAAATCTAATCAAACAACGCATTCATTGCAAAACAAAGACTAGAGAAACAGTCATGCTCACAACGCGCATTCATCACTCGATACTTCAATCAAGTTTACCTGCTCTGTGCGCTCTGTGACTAGAGTCTCGCGACACTGAAAATATTTTATACGATAATACCGATCGCACGAGAAAGATATACTTTACAGAGACACGTTCATTGTGACTTAATCTCATCTGGTTTTTCTCTTTCATATTTTTAGTTACGTATTTCTTCATATCTTTTTATATTACCTGCAAGATGCAAATTATCGGCTGTGAATTCTGGCTGCGGTAAATCGGGATCCAAGTGTGGGAGAGCGGTGTATTCTAATCGCGCGTTGATATTCGGGATGTTAGCGCTACTGCGGGATGGCTTTTTCTGTTGTAACACAGTTTCAACGCTGTGAAACCAAGAGGAACAGATTAATAAGAATGTGAAGTTCGATACGAAACTTAATAATCGCACTAATGACATTAAATTGAAGAAATTAGCGGTTGAAGTGCACCGCTGGGCAATTAAGTGCTTAAAAGCGTAGCTTGTAGTTAAACGCCACTTACATTTGCGAGTTCTCCCAATCGTAAACTCCTAATGCCAACTCGAACTGCGCCAAAGTGATGGTACTAACGAGCCGTTTCGCTTTCAACTTAATAGTGATTCTCTCGTTGTCCAATGACCCGACCAAGAATGAAACGTCCTCGGACCACGCGGAGCTCAGATTCGAAGTGATTCGTCTCTGATCGCTTACCGTTACCACGAGCCATCTCACCTCATCGGCGACACTCGCTAACAATAGAGAAAGGCTTGTTAGCAACTTTCCAACAAATTCATAATAATTCACAACAATAACTTACGCGTCAATTATAACAATTGCGTGTTTAATAATAATGTAGCAAATAAGATGCACCATTTAACTGATTATACTAAACAAAATTTTAAATTCGTTAACTATTTCTTTCTAAGTTTTAATTCTAGCGTACAGTAAAATCGATCAAATATCTAACAAATTTTATAAAAGAGCATGTGACAAATTTTTATAACTTATATGTTACTAGAAGAACATAAATCATCTACTTTTTATATAAAATAATTTTTGAAACATTTGCGATTAATTTCGTGATTCTTTATAGCCAGAAAGGAAAAATTTAACACTTTAACGAGCTAAAAATATAACATGACTAATGCGCAATTGATTGGCCGAAAATGACCCTTTATTATCTATCATAAAGTAAACGATATCCATTTAACGAACGCTTACAAGGACAACCGTTCTGGCACAACACGACGGTGAGCACTCCTTGCGGCATGGAATTGGTCACGGAATCCAGTCCAGGACCCGGTCGCTCTCGCGCCCTCAAGTCCATCTCCAGGTGACCCGGATCGACCAGCCAGCTGGCCAGAGCATCCGTGACCACCGCGTGAATCCAGGTCTTGATCAGTGGCATCTCCATCATCTGCACCGCTCGCAGGATCCTCACGCTAAACCAGACGTCCGGCTTCTCCAGGAAACTTACGCTGAGCCCGGTCGCGTGCGGAAATGGCGCCGACGAGTTTAACGTTAGATTGACGATAATCGTGCCCGATAACGACAGCTTCTCCACCGCCAAGTCGATGTCCATCCCCATGCTATCGAGACATTTTCAAAAGATATTCACAAAATTGTCTCCACGTAAAAAATGCTTTCAGAAATTGAGAGAACTAATCAGAATTTTAATATAAAAATACAGAAATTTCTGAGATGGGCAGAAAATTTTAGATGGAATTATCTACATTTAATTTGGATCAAATAAATTACAGTTGCAAAGGTAAAATAATATTTGCGTGAGGTGACGATGATATCCGCAAATCTCGAAATGTCTTCGAACGATTTTTGTTAACATAGTAAACGGCTTTCTTTCTCACCCTTTGCCAAACAACCGAGTGGTGATGAGCATGCGGAATTGCTCGCAGTCCAGCCGCACATCCGCTTCGACGGACAGTACAGTTCGGCCGGAATGGTGTGCATGGGGAAGGTCATCGTCGCTGCAGCAATCGAGTGTTCTCACGCGGGTGATGCATGGTGTCTGTTCGCCGAGAGTGAGTTCGCGTAATTCTAATGGACCTGAAAAAAAAAACAAGGACCTTTCATGATGAAGCCGCTAAACGAAGTAATGCGGAATCCTTCGAACGATCGACGATTTATTTTTTCAGCGGACGTCAGAAATCCACCATTTCTCTCGTCGCTCGGATATTACCAAAGAATGTCCTTACCCAGTATACCAGGTTTGGCTTCATTAAGGAGAGGCTCCAGTCGTTCCTTCGCCAAGGAAAATATACTGGCGGCGCTGAACCTCCACCTAAAAAAATAACGTTTAATATACACAAGAGTCATCAACAATCTGCATTCTTTTGCACATTTCATCAATTTAATTAAGTTTTCGTTTCAGTTTATTTGCAAAAAGCTTTTTTAATCTCAGCTAAATTACATAGATTTTCACGGTCGCGTTAAATCTCTGCGAATAGATATCTCGCGGAGCGATGCGATGAGACATGATTCATTAAACATTCAGTTTAATTAAGCGAATGGTTAGATTTAATACGATAAAACGCTGTTTGAGATAAAACGCGTGAAAGATGCGTACTGACATTTTGTTGTCACGAGTGAGCTATTTTCAGAGTTTATCGCAAATGACATCTCAGTTTCGCCATCGATAACAAGTCGATTTGAGTAATACTCGGTGACCCCCACGTGGTTTCGTGAATAGATTAAAAGGTAAAACCACAGATAGACGAATTAATACGTGTCTATCATTTTTTAGGACATATTGATAACATCTTGTTGTCCCCAATTGTCCCCGTTTTTTATCGTGAATTTCATCGTTAAAAAGTTTGCTTGTACAATACGTTAAATACAATTATCATTCGCGTTCGCATCGTCAAATTTAATTCTCCAAATTTTCTATCAATTTAGTTATTATTGATAGACTACATTTTGAATCTTATTGTTAGAATTTTGCAGAAAATTATTTTTTATACTTTTATATTATATCGTCCACAGGTGAAGACGCTAAATAGAATTTTATTGTTATCAGTCACGTCTGTGTTGCGCCGCACGTATACGGAAATAGAATCTATCTGCAAGTTATTATCCAGACTTTCTGGATTTTACGGAATTCTATGGAGTGTGCGCTCTATTCTATAGAAACTCTTTCGAAGTCATTGTACGTCTCTGCGTTCGCACATGATCAAATAAACGCCGATGCGATCGCGCCGTCTGTTTCCTTTATGCGCATGTAGCGTATATAGCGTGTCGCTGAATTCACCGTTTTTTCCCACATGTAAATGTTCTCGCCAGTCGGCGAGAAGCCGCAGCCGGCTGTTCAGGAATGCTCGAACAGGTCTATCAACTATCCAAATAAGTAACACTTTTTTTACGCTTACTCCTGTCGCACTAGCAATTTTTAGCCAATGACAAGACGTTAAAAGGATCACGTGTGACGTGCGTCACTTGTATTATCGCATGCTGTGCCAAAAATTGATTTTAAAACTCTTAGAGAGATTCCCCGCTATCATTATTTCCCCAACAAATAGAGAAAGAAATCTTTAATACGTTATGGTTATAAGTAAGGGACTTATCTTTATGATTATTAATTCTTCTCTATATCTGCAAATGCCGCATTAAAATTCAACGAGCTCATACGCGGCGACTTTTGCAAGCCGATGGCGTTTTACAGCTTATTTAATCGCGCCAATTTCAACGTCGACGGTTCGTTCCGTACGACATATGTCAGCAGCTACGACGGGCAAGGATTTTATCGGCGGCACGAACGGCAGAAACGTGAAAGGCTACATCTATACACCACGTGTGCAGGAATGTGGTGTGTTTACAAATGCGTATATAGTACTCGTTCTCGAACGAGGAGTTCATTCACCCATCCGTTGCGAGGACAATCACGGTGTATACTCATCGACATTATAATAGCATTATTACAAGCGAATTGCGGCCACACGAAAGAGCGGCTCGTGAATCCACGGAAAATATAACAATTACGGTCTCATCGCTATACTAAAACTCTCCAGGAATATTTCTCTTTTTATAATTTCTCTCGATTCGATCGACGATAACGTGATACGAGCAATTCTATCTAAATAACCTTCTTTTTAATTTTGTATTAAGAAATATAGAGACGTTAATCAAATTTATTTATTACAATTGATTTCTTCCACTTTTGCAGGCGACTTGTTGTTAAAATGTCAAGAAATTTTTCAACTTCTTATTTGTTTTAATTTAATCACAGAGTGACGTATATTAGCGCATTAGCATATATTTCTTTCTCAAGATCAAATTCTTCGATAATAGTTAAAAACTTACCACTTATTAAGGAGTAAACTGAGCCACTCGGCGGTCTCATCTTTGTACAGGGCTCGTCTTCTGCGTAACCTGGCCAATTCGTGTTGCAATTCCGTTTGAAGGAGCCGGGACACTCTCGCCTTAATGACCGTCGCTGCCAGTGCCAAGACCAGAACCAGCCACGCCAACGACAGTCCCGCCGCTCCTATTATCCAGGTGATCGCGAGTGCCGCTCCGAGATACAGAGCGGTGCGGATTGCCTCTGCATCTCTCTGCAAGGAGATATTTCATTCGGTATATTCATACGCATGCATTTGCATGTATCAAATAAATATGAAGGCGCACACCGACCGTATCCGTTTCATCTTCCTGCCGCGCGCATCGTTTAATCCGCCGATAATCGAGCCGCATAATGCACTCAGAGTGTTGTATTAACATCGATGTTAATGACAAGACTAGATCAATGCTAATTATCCATCATCCATTGTGAGGTAATTAATTCCCGACATATTGTGCGTGAGATAAAAGCGCTGATTGATATAATATTTAATTAGGATACGCTAAAATCGATCCCTTTTACCCACTAGTATTACTATTAATATTTAATTATTCAAAGTTGTTTTAATTGTGCTCGATGCTTAATTAAAATTACATTATTTTTTTAAACTATTTTAACTCTGATATTCTCTTCGTATAGATGCATATTTAACAATACGTTCTTAATTACTTGAATCAAATCAAATTTAAATATACAAAAATAGCAGAGCAAGTGCAAAAAAATGTTAAGATATTTAAGAAATCGTTATAAAGTTTATTGTTATATTTTACAAAAAAAATATGGATAACGTAGGACCAAATAGAATTTTTTTTTTTAGTTTATTCAATTTATATTACTTTCTATATTTATTTATGTTTTGTTAATTAATCCGTGGGAACAATTTATATGCAAAATTTTGAAATATAATCCTTTTACGTTCCATTTTCTCGATATTCATTTCACGTGAAGCAAGCAGACGGCGTACTGGATCCATTATACGCAATCTTGCCGTATTCAATACAACGTAAAGGGACATTAGCGATACAAAACAACTCCGCAATGACAGTCCGCCCATTTATCGCAGCGTATCATTAACAGCAATTACCTCGAGACGTTAAGACCGTGCGTACGTACGTAGGTATCGCAATTTCAGAATATTCTCGGAAAATATTTTCGTCCCAGGACCCGTGAAGTGAAAGCGACGTCACGCGACACGTTCAAGACGTCGTATCTTTGTCTGGCTAGGATGTAGGACATGACTCCTGCGTGCTTACACGCGACGTCGCGTGCAACGCCGAAGAAGTTTCTCTGACGTCATCGAAGAGCGTCATTAACCTCGCGGTTGAATAATAAACCGCATGCGTAAAAAAAAAACGAGTGGTTTTACGAGTTTATATTTTATAGATTTTGTCTAAAGATAAAGAAAGCATAAGTCGAATAAAAACGACTTCTTATAAATGCGAAGATATTTCAAAAGTGGATATTTCAGTTAAGAAGGATTTTATCAAGTTGTTCTTTAAATATGCTTCGATAATTTTTGAATATGAGACATGTCGAATTTTTCCTACATTATATTAAAATTCTTGAATTGAATTTTAAAGGGACACAATTTTTCTCACGGATTTTATTTTACATTTCTCGAAGTAACGCGTGCATCGCTCTTAAAATTAAATGGAGCGACATTAATGCGATGAAGTCTCAACGCTGCCTCTCGATCTCATCTCGAGGACGAAAAGTACATGTTCTCGTTCGCCCTTGCGCAATAGTAATTCAACCTGTTCCGTCAAGAACGTAACGTTTCATTAATTGGAAAGTTGTCCAAGTTAAGAGAGGCGTACCAACGTGTCATAAAATACGGTGGTCCTCGAACGAGTCTCGACGAAGCCGTTCGTCGAAAGTTGTATTTTCTCATTTGTGAAATTACAGCGAGACAAACATCGTTATAGATGAGATTATTTATTAGTCCGTCGTAAATTATGCAGACTTCGTACGCAGAAGCGCCGGTCTTAGTTTTAGAGAGGATTCCATAGCGAGAGTAATTCGGTGAAAAGGAATATAAAATGCAATACGTATGTATCGATTTCTTTTAAATAGAATGCTTTTAAATATCTTATCTAGTAAAAACATACTTTCTATAAATTATTTTATCATTAATTAAATTATAATGAGATAAACGCCGCGATATAGTAAGATCGTATATTCGTATAAGATTGTAATCAAACTTGTCTGAATCTCTATGAAGGAAAAAAAGAGCTTCTTCAAATGCGACCGGCTTCTTACGAATACAGCACGTGTTCGAAATTTATCTCGAAGAATTCCGCTTTTTAAGGGGAGCGCTAATTACTCTCGGTAGCGTAGCTAGAAAAGAGTACGTGATAAAGATCGCTCGAGAAATCCCACGAGTTCCGTGCCGGAAAGTATTACTTCAGTGACTTCCCACGCAGATGATAATTTCAGTTCTGTATCCATAAATTTAAATCTTGAATAATAAGATAATGCTCTTATATACGAGGTGTTTCAGAAGTTTTGATTTTAATTACGCATTGTCGAATTTAGGATCGATACCAAAACACAAAAGTGTTCTCTAAGCTGCGAAATTTTAGATTGCAATAACATTTCATTATTCATTTAATTTTCAATCAATTTTTCTTTCAAAACTAATGTAATTTTTTGAGAGAAAGCTGCATTTTGAATTTATCAAAATATACGTCACTAAAATTAAAATCAATTCCGGTTTATATATTCTGGATGATATTCATCGTGTGACAAGAAGTTATGTGAACAGCTTTAAACATAGTCTAACTATAGCTTCTTCCTCTCAAAATTCAATTTCTTCGACACGAAATATCAAAGAGCAGCAAAGCAGAACTACAAAGTTCACGAATGACTGTAACGCTGAGATACATTTCATATTATTGCAGTTACAATTCCTATTATTTGTTTAATTAATTGAACTATTCTTTTATCAAAAATACGCAATTTTTTGTCTCTTTTCATTGTCTAATTATATTTGTTCAATTACTCAATATTTTCTTGCAATATTTTTATCATTATAAGGTGAAACTTTATTAACAGATGTTGCAATAAAAATAAAACTACAAGTAAAAGAATTAAAATCAAGAAACAGTTTAATTCTCGAGTAAAATGCAACAAGCTGAATAAATGCTTTTACATTTTGTATCACAGCGTCGTTCACGTAGCCGTTCACGTAGCCGTTCATGTAGTCGTTCACGTAGCCATTCGAAGCTTAAATGGGTCGACTTCAAGGCTTAAAACCACAGGAGCGAACGTAAAAAATCGTTGAGTTCTATGACAATACCCATAACGCGGCCAACGACGTCAGCGAACGTTCAGCGATGCGTACGACGTATGCATCGCGAACACGTCGCCGGGACGTTCTTCTCTTCTTCACGGGGCATTGTGCCCGGTCGCTTTTACGGAATTGACGATTCAACTCGCGTGGGTTCCTTTGAAAAAAATGCCCGCCGCGCACGGAGACACCGGCCATTGAAATTACATACGTACCTGCGCTCGAGGGGCATTCCACGCGAGAAATAGTATCTGAGCCTTGTTCCATACGTATTCAAGCCGTAGGCTCGCACGATTCTACGACACGATTGTAACGTTTGTAGTGCGAGAAACACGCGCTCTAATTTTTTTTTTCGCGACGCGCGCGAGCTGCACGGATTTCAACATTTTAAATGATCTCTGCGCTTTGCGCAACGATCGAAAGTTTATCGATCTAATTCAGTCTTTTCGCAATTTTCAGTTCGACAATTCTGTTTAATTGTGCCTCGACGGCACATAATATACACATAGTAAAGTTTCTTCAAGTGCCATTTACATATGCAACGAGTTGATAATAAGTCTCGATTTCAGGTATGCGTGTGCGAGAAGGAGCGAGGAACATTCATCGTGGCCTATTTCCTGGTCGGCGACTCGGCACGAGAGAACGGCGCACGCGGCGCCGGCTGTTGCGCTATCAAGAATTTATTATTCGACTCGACCGAGCACAAAAAGCCGTGTTGCATCAAATGATAAGCGGCCATACCTGTGATTTTTGTGCGATGGCGAGGGCGAACTCTTCGTCGGGCGCGGGATCGTCGGGTGTCATGTTGGCGCCCCCCGCCGCACCGCCGCCAACGGTATTGTTAAGGGGTCTGAACGGACCCCCCGTTGAAGACGGCCAATTACCAACAGGATTCCCGCCTCCGATGGATTCGCGCTTTCCTAAGGCAGAGGAAGATACACGTTAGAGATGCGCACAAGGTAAGGTCAACCGTAGAAAACAGAATTTAAGCTCGTTGCGGGATGCAGTTGAGGTTGCACGTAAAGTGCGAATTAAACGGCCGCGTTCGGCGCGAAGTACGTGGAGAAAACGTGGATCTTAATCTCCAGCGATGTCTGAATTCCTACTAATGATCACTAATTATGTAAAGGATGTTGCTTAATTAAATGGGGAATTTCGAGCACAGGTAAAGTATATTTATCTCATTTGTGAATTTTACTTTAAAACATAATCTATCATTAGTAAGGCTTATCTTAAATTATAGACTGAGTTTACTTGTGCCTAAAACCCCTCATTAAATGTACAACTTATAATTAGACAATTGTACGTATTCAATGCAGAACGAACGTTTGGTTGCAGAGTGTGCTAAATAAACGTTCATAAAAATAATTTATCAAAATTACGAAATTTAAAGGACTATTTTTGATCATATTTAAAGCTTTGTGTTTTTTTTATATTTTGCTATTAACCACAGCGAAGTACAGTTCTATGTTTTTTTTTTGTTACGTCTTTTTTTAGATTACGGTATCTATTTTTTTTTTAGATAATAATAGAGTTAATTGAAGTTTTAATTAATATAGCATTCAAGTATAGCGTGTGTGACCTATGATCTATAATAAACGTGTAACTCTCCGGGTTGCAGTGCATATCAATCAGCGTGCCGGTAAAGGAGCGAGGACAAGTGTCACGTGTAAGAATTATTGTAGCGGAGAAATGCATGCACTCTAATGCATTCACGCGGCGTTTCCCGCGGAAATCTTCCAGCCATTTATTAAAGCTAACTGTCTAACTTAATGGACGTTTTTCCTCGGTCTTATGAATTTTATTCCTATTGGTTTATTCTACAGAGATACTTCACACGTAACGTTACAAATGTATCTTCGCAACGTTAACTACCTCGCCGTACTCTTTATTTAATCATTTCTCAAAGAAAGCTTTAGATTTCTCTTGGCTTTTCTTGGAAGAATTTCTCGTGGCTTTTGATATTTCAAAACAATTGATCATATTTCAGTTATTGTGAAATTGATTGTGATTATTTGTGAAATGTCAAGTTTCTTTTATGGTTATAATACGCATTGGCTGATTCTATGGCGAATCAAGCTTGAAGATACGAAGGATAATTCAGGATGTGACCTTGACATTATGGAGGCGCATGGAATTAACGTTGCAACCTTTCACATCGTCGACGTCGCCGTACAGTTGTGCCAAGAGTAATTACTTCCGCAGATTGAATTTGGCGAATCACGCTTCGTATTTCGAATGCGATATAGCACGCGGAGTATTCGTTAGCGTGTCAGTAAGAGCGTATGATAAGAGAACACGTGGAGTAAAAACTCTACTGACGAAAAAAAGAAACAGGAAAATCGATAATCTAACGCGCGAGTCCCCGCGATTGCCGATAAAATTTGCATTTAGAAACTCGTGCAGAAATTCATCACATACGTTTTTCTTCGGACATTAATCGCGACGTGATGCTCGCGGGAAATCGAAATCAAGTGTTAACTATGCGCGATCTCGAAGGGTTACACGAAAAGCAGCCTCGATGCTCTCGATGATCGCCGTACCGTATAAAACTGGTCACGGAGCATCAACATCGCGTGAGCGTAGCGTTGCTTCACGCTAAAAGCTATATAGACATTTCCGAGGTTATCGATCAAATAAGTTATTAGATCATGCGCTTATATTGCCTCTATATTTTATCGGTGCGTTCCACATTGCTCGCGGAAAAACGCAACAAATTTGAAATCTCGCGACCGTGGATATCGATATTATCATGCCACATGGAAGCTAATATTAGATGACATTTACATCATGTCGTCCGTGAAAGAAGTGACATCGAAAGTTATATCAAGAAAATTAATTTCTTATATTAAGAAGTTCCGGTGTTATTTTTATCAAGTATTATGTGACGTGATTAAATTAATTATAGCACACAAGATATTCCAAAATTGTCGAAGAAGGTATCGTTATAAGTTACTAGTGATAAAAGTAGAGAGTCATGTATATGTAGAACACGATCCCTTCCTGTTTACTATGGGATGAGAGAGCGTGGTTAATAATAAAGCGTGGTTATGTGAATCCGTGCATGTGTGGATCTGTCCTTCTACGCATTTAAAATTATATTCATGCATCAGAGATAAAATTTGAAGTCAATTCTTTCGGTGAAATTTCCCAGGAAAGTCATTTTGCATTCAGCGTGACGTCGATCTCAATTATTCTAGTTTGTGTTTATTGCTTTTTATTTATCTCATAATGCAATTTAATCTCATAAATTTTTCAAATATCTTTCACTTTCCTTGTTCAATGCTGAACTAATTATTAATTAATAAACTAGTAATTGATGCCACGTGCAGCCAGCGAGCGCGCTCATCTGCGATGTTGCGTACCTTTTTTCAAGGAAGCTCCTCGCTTCGTGTGGCGGCCCATGAAGCTGGAAAGTAACTGCATACTTTTTTCAACACTTTCCTCCTTAAACCGGTCGTGGCGATACCGATAAAGCTATCGATCGCGGGTCCCGGAAATATGCACCGCAAAATAATCGCTATCGCTACTATGGGATTCCCTTTTTAGTCGCATTACTATGTCTAAAATATCGCAAACTGTTATAGATATCTGCATTTAATGACTTTCTCGTTGCATGCTGACGAGCAATTCGTTCCATTCCAGTTTATATGCAAATGCCAGAGAGAAAAAACCTTTGCGTTTTGCTATTAATCGCTGCATTAAATTGGCATCTTCTTTGAGTGCAACTCGAGAAATCTGCACGCATCGTTTTACACTCTCGGCAAGAGTGAGCACGCTTTATGAGGAATGACTGCAATATCTTGCCCTATAAACCGACTTTTTTTATTAACTAATGAAATATACGAAGATATTTTCACGAGGCATAAAATGTTAGAAGATTAATAAAATTAATTTTTTTTTCTTTAAATGCAATGTTACATCATTGAAATATCAAGAACAAGTGAAATGTTCGCAAATATTTCTCGGGACAGAAATTTATATTGAACTGTGTATAAACTACAGAAATATTTCGCAAACACGAAATCTGGAAGCACTTAACGCGGTATTGCCAAAACCAGCGGTGGAACGGTTCATACATTGTTTATATTGCACACATGCCGGACTACGTAACTTTCGCTTCTACGAATGGAAATATCGAACACGCTCGATGCACCGGCTTCATAATTCATCGTTGATTCGTTCGTGAATTAATAATATCCAACCGATGAAGCCTAAAGCGACATTAGCCGACCCGTTGTGGACCATAATTGCAAATAAATTGCATCTTTCTCTGCACGTCGATAATTATAAACAGATTAAGCGAGCGCGGTACTCAACTCTTATCTTATTGATCGTGCACCGTAATTAATATCCCGCTGTTAGATTGAGTAGTTTTTGTTGCGCCGTTTAACATCCTCGGGACAATTTGTCGATTCCTTCAAGTCCCGCATATGTACATACATTTCGCGACGATTCGCGACGACCGCGAGTGCTCGGCGTGCGCGGAAGCACTGAGGAAACTTCGGTCTTTCCTCCTGGAAATTGCCGTCGAACCGCGCCAGTTTCCCTCTCGAAGGGATTGCGAAAGTCTCGCGCCTGCGCCACCCTTCTGATCGTCGCCAGAAAGCACCCCTGAAATCACGCCCCCTCCGCGCAATTTACTTGGCGAATGTCGTGAAAGCTGCAGATAAAAGCTTCTACGTTTATCGCGTGCTTGCTAAAGTAATCGTTTCATTGCGATTGCATCTCTTTTGTATCGAGCGCGAATCGATTAATGCTCAAATTGAATGTTATGTTATACGATTTAACATTATATGTATATACAGACATATTACTCCATATAATATATTGCTTACAGTGATAAATTAATTATTAATGTAACTATATATAAAATATAAAAATGTCTAGATTAAACAGAGTTCAAGTTTATGTGGTGTGTCGCACCTTTATTGCAACGATAATAATAAAAGTGACGACAAGAGACTTTGAAACTTTATTTTATATTCACACACATACGTACAAAGTAAACGAAATGATATCTTTGTGTGGAACGATAAAAAATTAAAAGAGCAATTGCTCGATTGATCTGAAGCTCGATCGATAGAATACGCTCCTCGATTAATTGGAGAACGATGCCACTAGCGCATCGCGCCCGATTGCAGTGGTGCATATCTCTCTCATGTGGCTAATAGCAACGGCAAGTAATTTGAGTAATGAGCCAACGATTACAGCGGCATTAAAGATCGCGCAGTTAACATCCGCGTGTAACCGTTACTGTACCGTTAACTTAACATATAAAACCGTCGCTTCGCAGCTGTAAGCGTGCCGCGCACTCTTGATCCACTGGCCGTTAATAAATATCTTTTCGAAGACGCGGTGAAAAAGAATGGCCGATCGGCTTTACGAGCGGCAGATGATCCTCCGTAACGTCTAAATAAATTAATCCGTCGCTGATCGTCGCGTAAATCTTTCTCGGGGAAAGAATAATCGATTATTTTTACGACCGCTGGATTATTTTTAACAGCATCTAAGTGAATTACTATCTTGATTAATGGTCTCTGAACTATAAAGACGCGCGATCGGCGACCGCTGGTGAGTGCAGTGACTCCGAATGCATTGACCAGGAGTGCATCGAGTGAAATCATATGCATCGAAAGGATGCGCGACCACGCGAACTCAACGCAACATGGCCTTCTGTCGCCAAGGAATTATTATTCTGTTAAATCGATACGACTCGGCGCTCACGGTTGATGATTATTTACGACGATTCGCGCGCATCGCTGCACGATAATTCCGTCGCTGTGCAGCGCGATGCGGCGGCGGAGCAAGGATGCACCGTTGCTTAACGGCACCGTGAGTGCCGCCGCGGCTCGAAAATTTCAATCCCCGAGTTCATTTCGTCAACGCGACGCGGATTTTCGGTCGATTGATCTCCCTTTGCGAATATCTCGCAACGCGCGGTAGAAGCGAGAGCTGATGCGAGAGACGAGCCGACGTTGACAAGAACGAAGTCACTGGATGGAACATTGTTGAATTTCGTTTTAATTTCACAGAGAGAAATGCCAGAAATGAGTTCGTTTACATTCAGTTTGCGTCTTCATTTCGAAGGCATTTCTTGCAAAAAGAATTTATCATGCTCTCTTGGCCGGGTTTTACTTCGGCGAGGCAAATGGCAATGAACGTGAAACAGAACGGAGGACGGTAGCTCCTCGTCGTCGTCGTCGTCGTCATCGTCATCGTCTCGCTTCCTTTTCCCTCAGTTTTATTTGCTCCTCGAGACAACATCTGTCTTACGCGCCATGCCTCAGCGTGCGCCGCCACGTTACATTGCCACAAGCCCGTACATAACGCTGCCCGACGAGTCGGACTTTATGGTGCAAGGTGCATCGCCGGAGAAAGAGAAAGAAAGAGGGAGAAAGAAGAAACGTGAAAGAAAGAGAAAGAGATTCAGAGAATCACCCGGAGAAAAACGAACTAGAGAGAGAGACGACCGGGAAATACCGGGTGTCCGAGGACGCCGTGTCTTGCCATTCGACTATCTAGAGATACACAGAGAGATCCTAGAATTCACAGAAACTAAAAACTGGAATGGGGCCATGTAAACATGTGTATTTGGACCAGAAAAATCTGGATATTGCGGTTGAGAGATAAAATGATCCTTGAATACATTGGAGTTGAAAATATATGATTTTCTACCACTACAGTCGTTAAAATTTAAATTTCATGGCTTTGCAGATGCTTTCGACTTTGGATTTCATAAGACTTCAAAAATAACGAAAGAAGAAAATCCAAGGCTGATAGACAAATAAAAAATATAAGATTTTCTGATGTTATTGATTTTGAAAATGTAAATAATAATAACATAAGAAATGTTATTTAAAGTTCAGAATTTTACATGTCAAAAATGAAAGAAACTAAAAGGATTCGCAGATCGTCAGATTTAAGAATCCAAAAACACAAGCTTGAAGAATGACGGAAAAAAGTGCACTTCGATAATTAAAACGACATCACTTCTCGTAACATTTTACATTCTTTATATCGGCGATCTAAAAAAATCTAAGAGATAATACGCGAGAGAGACTCGTAGAAGGTATCGTAATTAATTCTCGTTCTGTCATTAATGGCTTCCCCGTAATTATCGCGCGTAGGCAAATCCTAAATCAACTACCTGCGGATAGAAAGGTCTATCCGAAGGCGGTACATTCCGGAGGTTTAGAAAAGTTGCCGGAAACCTGTTCTCGTTTTGCCGAAAGAGCCGGGAGAGGGTTCCGACAGTTTCCCGCCTCGGTTTACGTATTTACATATTTACATAGACGTATGCGTCTGGTCCGGGCTCGGTATTCTCATATGCTCAACGCTCAAAGCAGCAGGATTATCTGACTCTAAAAATACGTTGCGCAATATACGTAGTTTGTGTAATTATTAATATTTTTTAACATAATATTCGTGTACACACGGAACATGAACTTTTCAGCAATAAACTTGGACGAATTAACATTTGTTGCAGATAGAAATAACGTTACATATGTATTGTGACGATTTTAATCATTTTCACTATGCTTGGAAAAATAATAGTAAATAGTTCTCGCGTTGCATAAAGTCTCAAATTTTAATATAAATATAAAAATCAAAGTCGAAATAATTTACGTAACAGACGTTTGAGAATTATCAGTGCGTTTGAAAAGTATCAAGCTGATTGTATAATCATTGTTTATCTGTTCGTCATAGAGTTAATATATCCGCGTTGCTTTGAAAATCTTCGTGTGGGGAAGTTCAAGATCAGCGTTAAACAGGCGTGTGAGGTATCAGAGCGAGAAGCGAAGCACGATTCACACGGCGTGACGCGGCCGCGACCTCTTAAAACAAAAAGAAAAAAAAAAGAAAAAGATATCGCGAGGAAGACGAGATCTCTAATCCTTTCTGTCTTGCGGTGAAGCGACTCTGCGTTATAACACTTCAAAAATCAGACTGTGCAAAAATCGACGGTGTAACAATCAAAATTTAGATATTTCTGCTGTTGTTTGTAACGCTAATTAGCTCTACGGTGATTAATGGAACCCGTAAATTTTTAAATACATTTTTTATTTCTAGAATATCATTCTTTTAATCAAGAATTTGCACAACAATGGGGATTCTAATGTTTTGCAAAACGTTGGTACTTCAGTTTGGTATCTTTCAAACATTGAAAAGTTATAGAATAATTGTATCTAACTATAGAATATGGCGCGCATTCAAGGCAAATGCTATCCTAACCGTCAGATGAGCACGTGGAGTCTTTAAAATACGAAGATATTTTCCTGTCAGTTTTCGATTTATTTATATGTAGACATTACTGTGTTTATTGTTCAGTGCGCGATGTGCGAAATCTCACATCTCTGAATAATGCTGAATGGAACCTTGTTTTATTCTTCACCACGTTGTTTTGTTGAATTATGAATGATTGTTCGTTATCACTATTGATAAATAATTAATTTTCTTCCAGATTTATCAGATTTCCATCAACTTTCTTTTCTATAATCGAATACAATCTTGTAATTTCATACACTTCATAAACGCAACGCATATATGAAATATTAAACTACAAGAACTCGTTTCACTTGACAAATAAACGCAAAAATTTCAAAAATGAACGTGGATCCAAGAAATTTCAACAATAGATGCGTTCAACGAGGTGGAATGAACGGAGATTCCACCGCAACAGAAAGGGTCTTAGTTCCAGCGCGATAACTCCTTCGCGATGTGCCGACGAACGCGAACGGAAGCGGGTCTCGGACCCTCTCGTAGCACCTGGGTATATGGCGCATACCTGGTCGCAGTGGCGTCGCTTCGCGGCGGCGGTGTTACTCCCGGGGTCGCGTCACGCATCGTCCGGGTCGCCTGCCGCCGCCGCCGCCGCCGCCGGCGGGCGCGCTCTTCTCGCTCGTGGAGGGCACGCGACGCGCTCTCGTGCTGCTGCACTCGCGCGAAGAGATGATGGAGAGAAGAAACGTCTCCGGCGAGGTAGCGGCCGTCCTCGGCCGCGAGCGCGGCAACACTGACCTGCCACCACCGCGAGGGAGAGGAGAGAGGACCGCGACCGGATAACAGAACCTCTCTCCTCCGGGTTCCTCCGGCTATGTCGCTCCCTACTCTTCACGCGCCTCTGCTCTTCCTCTTCGCCGTTTTCACCTCTCTCCTCGCTCCACCGGGAGCCCTCGAAGAGTAAGAGCGACGAGGAGCGGCCCCTACGGCACACGTGTCCGTTCAGAAAGGACGGAAGTCTGTGGAGAGAACTAAAAAAAGAGTTTTTGCTTTTTGTAATTACTCGTCGATCACGTTAATCCTTCCGAGAGGATAATCATTCGTCAACTTCAATCCCTAATTAAACACACGGGTTTCTTTACATTTAATTTTTATGCACGAGGAGAGCTGAAAAGCGGACTTTCCCGTCTTGCAGGAAAATCGGAAATCCGTGGAGAGGATTAGAAAGATCACGTTCTGGCGATTTCGCTGAGGGAAACATGATAGCGACCGAAGGAGGGTACTTATCTTTTACTTTTAATTTATACAAGTTTCGCTCCTCGAATTTTTCTATTTGTGTTCATGAAGAGAAGCGGAAAGTAGATTTCTTCGATTGGCGGAAGAGAGGAGAGAAGTCGAGTAGCATCGACAGAAGGAGGGCACGTTCTTTTTACTTTTAATTGTAGCACGTTCTCTCCTTCATTTTGAGTCTGTAAAGAGCAACGGGAGAGAAGTTCTTTTCGAGTCGCCTTTGATCAATTGCGGGGAAGACAAGGTATCGACAGAAAGGGGCATGATTTTTCTTACTTTTAATTGCACCCTTTGTGTTTCCGCCTCATTTTAAGCCCATAAACAGAAATCGAAGAGAGTAACTTCTTCGCGGGTCGAGATCGCCAATTAGGGAAAGACGAAGCGTTGACGGAGAGAGAGCGCCGCATCCTTTTTTTCAAATTATAATCGAAATCTTCAAGGTTTCTCTTTATTTCCGACCCATAAATAAAATCGAAAGAGAAAAAAGCGTCGATGGAAAAGAAATGTACTTTTAATTCGCAATTACGTTCTGCGATTCTCTTCATTATGTGTACGTTCTGCGATTCTCTTGAAGAAATAAATCGTTCTATGTATCGTTGATTCTAAACGCTTACTAAATTCTTATCGATTAATAAACTTTCAATTCGTTTCTAATGCACTTGTGGTGCTGACGGAAATATATATTTAACGAACGTGATCGACGAGATAACAGATAACCGACAAGGAAGTATCCGATGAGACACCTCGCTTGTCGTCAGTGAAGCCTGAGAAGGGAGGAATGCCTGCGTGCGGATCATTGACTCCTGGTAAAGCCCTAATCCCCTTTTCCTCTTTTTCCACAACGACGTGTTACGATACACGCACAGGGACGCATCTACGTGAAACCCGGAATGAGATTTAGCTTGAGGCAATGGGACTTTATTCAATCCTTTAAATATTATTATATAACTATTGTAAATATCAATAATGTTAAATTATATTAAGTTTAATAATATTTGAATATTTGATGCTATAAATTATCTTCAAAAAAAAGTAATTCCGTCCTCAATGAATTAAATTTTAAATCTCCAGTTGTGTCAAAACACTTTGTGTAAAATATATGATATATTCTCCAAAATTATTTTATACTCAATGTATATATTTGAGAAAATGTGTGCATATCGTGGACAAATATTCTTCAGTCTTCTAAAACTAGACCAGATTGTTTCTGAACACGCCATAGCACATTTCAGTAATGCAACTATGATGAGATCTTCCTCATGAATTCTTCACTGGAGCGTCCGCGTAATTTCGGGCTAGTTCATTAAAATCTAAAGCGTAATTCGTAATTAGCAGCGACAATACATCGTCAGCTTGACGTGCGCTGATACACTTTTACGTCGCTGACGTTGTTATATAACAAATTTAACAGTATGTACAGTAACATCTGCAATATTGTACGTTTTATCGTATGTGCACGCTACAAGCGTGCACGACAAGTTTTGACCACGAGTTTTCACGCGATTAGTTGACGCGTTAGTGTTCGTGCAAATGGACGAGCGATCGATCAATAATGCTGCGCGTTCTAAGTTCTAAAGACACAGCGAGCGCTACGGCGTCATGTAAACGCTTTGCCGATCGAATATCACTATGTGTTACAGAAGTAACAACCGAGAAGAGAACCGCTTGCAATTTATATGAAAATACTGTTTCTTATTCGAATGCATTTCGCTAGGTGCACTAAGCGCATTCCATTAAGCCGGCAGATAACTGTCTGCATGTATTTCCCGGCGCACCAAGAGCCGGCGGAAAATGCTACGCGGCGGCTCATATTTTTCAATTAACCAACACACAATCGCGTCGATGTTCCCGCTATATTTTTGTGCCTTTAACATTTACGATATTTATACATTGCTCTCACAGATGAGATCAATTCACAAATCTTCTTTTACTGTTCGATATACTCTCGATATTTATATTTAAAATTTCTAAAAAACATTTTTTGATTGTGGTCAAATTAATTAATGAATCCGCTCGTTGCGCAATTTACGCTTTTATATATCTGACCCATTTATTTTGCCACATTTATATTTCTACAAAATTGAGAATAATTATTTTTAGTTAGCCCGACTGCTACACTACTCGCAATCAGCATTCCAAGAATGGATCCGCAGCATCAAAGGGTCTTAAATTGTTAATACACATTCCCTCCGCGAAATTTCTATTTTCACCGGAATCACAATCGCACAAGTGTCGATTGATCTTATCACTCCGCGTCATTTCACATCTCACACAAATGTCAAATTTTATTTCACTTAAGAGAAAAACGTTACGCGATCGCATCTTCACACAATTTTTTTTCTTTTCTGTTTCTTCGCTAGGTAGCAGATTGAAATAACGAGATCGATCTCCCCCGATCGCGTGCGATTCTTACCTGGTGCGTGCTGCAACGCCGGGGGCTCACATCGTCCCGTCTAACGGCTGGAAGCGCCGACGCTCTATATCGGAGATGACGCTTTATCGTGGTGGTTCTCTTCTGGTCGCGCGGGACATAGCGCTACCGTGCACCGGGAACAACGCATTGTTACGTCCGTCAGCTGCTGCTCCGCTCCGAACCGGCACGCTCACCGGGGGGGCAGGAGGGGTTACGAAGCCGGCTCTAGCGTGGAGAAGGGCACGGGGCAAACGACAGGGGCAACCGTCGACGAGAGAGACAAAACCTGGAAAAACGAGAGGCGGAGAGAGAAAAAAAATTAGGGGATAGTTTGTTGGTGACGCACATACAAAACCGGACCCCGCCGTGTCCCTCATTTGAATTCTTACAAATGAACGAGGTAATTAACTGCTAACACGCAAATGCGGTTTATTTTTTGCGCTATTAAAAAAGAAAAATTAAAGAAATAGGCGGAAGTAAAAATAAATAACAAATTAGCTGAGAATAAAAAGAAGAAGGCACATAAAAAAAGAAGATGCTTGTACGAAGGTGGATCATTGTTCTCGTTGTAAATTAGTATTATTTCTCACCTTGCGTAATGAGAAAGGTAATTAATTATTAGAAGAAGTAATTAATTATTACTAGATGTAAATAACCCAGAAGACAAAAGATGGAAAGCAGACAAAGAGAAGAAAATAAATAGAAAAAGAATCGGGGTGAAAGATAGACAAAAGAAGGAAGAGAGACGAAAGAGTGAAGGAAAATACTTGAATAAAGTAGAACCATCGCTCGCTGAATAAGATTACTTTGAATAAAATAATTAATTATCAGATTGTTTGTTTTTTATTAAACATTGAAAAGGTAAAAGAAAGGACATTTAGATAAAAGAAGAAACAAAAATATAAAACAGAGAAAATAGAGGGAAGAAAATGAAAATTATGTTAATTAATAGACTATATATATCACGATTGACTCTTAAATGGATCTATTAATCTTGTGATAATACACGCCGTTCCGCCTGAGACTTTCGTCGATAGAAAGTGTGTGTTTACACATTCATTATGCGTGTACGATCTTTTCTCATGATTTTTGCACGCGCATTTTCCTGTCGCGGATGAAGCGCTTATTGTATCGGTTGCTTAATTACAGTTTAAATTGCACAGTACAAGTGCAAATTCCGCGAAAGCTGCGGAACTATCGCGCGATGTTACACTGCTGGAGTCTGTTGCACAGGATATCTCAATTTTAATTCGTATAAACTGATTAATAATTAGAAATTTTGATGAAATTCAAGTTATTTCTTAGCAAACATATCAAGATAAATTACTATTTATTATAATCTTTTACTCTTCACAATTATATATCTTTCTAATAGCATTTCTATAATTGTTTAGATTTTATAAAATAAAACACAAATGCCTTTCACGCTCTTCAAAATTAGATATCTTTATAATATTTTTTTTTAGATTCTATAAAATATAAAACAAATGCGTAAAAATAAACACAGTGTAAAATTGTGTAGTATCTATTTGCATTTCGATAACTCGTGAAATGTCGGTGCTATGATTTTGAAATTGAAATTCTCGTGTCTGATTTATTTAAGCAATCTGCCGTCGATGGGTGATATATAATAGAAACGGGATATTCTGTGGCAACAACGGTAATCTCTTCATATGTCATTACCCAGAAATGATTTGCTGACTGTGCTCCGTTGAATCAAATCTCCTAGCGAGTTAATTACGAAGACGAGTACGTCGATGATGGTGCAATATGGCTTGAATGAGAAATGTTGAATTATTTTTAGGAAGCAGTTATTTGATCCATGTTTTTTTTTCAGACTTAGACGCGAAGAGTTCGTTATTGAAAAAGTTAACAAGTAAAATTTAAGCTCTGCCTTGCAGACGCCGCTATTGAAAACGATTTAATTTAATTCTAAAGATGTGCTATTACTAACACAATCAATAACAACTAGATTACATTCAAGTTAATTATTATATAACAATAACTTGAAATAAAACTGTTTGCTGCTGTTCAAATTATTGAACCACTCAATTTATCGAATTGCTCCAATATAAAAAGAAAAGCACTAGCGCTTTTGCGTCTGTAAACCGTATCACTTAGACTTATTTTTAAATTGGCAGTAGATATAGTTTGCTAATATTGTTACCAAAAGAGTCACTTATTAACAGAGTTCACTATGTGATTACTTGTGCGAGAAAAGGTAGCGCTGTGCAACACGCGCAGGCCGCAAGCATTGATCCATTTGTTTATGGAGGTCGTCTGCTAGTTCGACATTTCTTGACGTGTCTTTACACATCATGCTGTGAGAAAAGCGTGCATTTATGTAACTTCTGCGGATAAACGAATCCGCGATGCCGGGGACCGAAGTTAGTATTATATTCTGCACAACGAATATACGCACTATCAGAACAATGAGAGAGAGAGTAATGTAATTTGTTTGACATTTCTAACGTCAAACTCCGTGAGTCTGTAGCCGAGACTGGGCTTCGATTATTTAACATTATTTATTATTTATTAACAATTTATTTTAGAATTACTATATCATTTGTCAACATTAAATTTATGTGTACACTGATATATGTAGTAGATCTTAACATTTGCCTTGTGAAATTTCTCACATCTCAGTACATTCCTATTTATTGTATCAGTAATCACAGATTTACAGAATTGTGTAACATCAAAATTTTTTTAAATAGAAGATCTGTTCTCATGCAATGAATGATGTTTGCTCAGGACAGTACGACGGAGCTGGGAGAGATAGAGAATGTCAGAGTGGTGGTGCGAGTTCGACCGTTGAACAGCAAGGAGCTGGATGGCCACTGCAAGAACATAATAGAGGTGGATACTCTGAACAGCGAGATCATCATAGAGAATCCAAATGCGGCACAAGGAGAGCCACCCAAACTCTTCTCCTTCGACGCAGTGTTTGACACAGACTCGACTCAGGTGGATATCTACAATGAGACTGCCAGGCCTATAGTGGACAAGGTGTTGCAGGGCTACAATGGAACAATCTTCGCCTATGGACAAACCGGCACCGGCAAGACTTACACCATGTCCGGTGCCAAAACCTCTCCACAAGCCAGAGGAGTCATTCCGAATACGTTTGCACACATTTTCGGGCACATAGCTAAAGCTGACGAAAACCAAAAGTAAGGATTTATTAGAAATAAAATATATTTTGTTATACATAACGATTTTTTTATGAAGCAATATGCTGTCAATTATGTGAAATGAATATTTTGAAGCGACATTAGAATTAACATAACATAATTAAGATATTTATATTATCTGAATGAATAGAATTACACATTGAATATTTAGTAATTGAGTAAATAATTATTGCTGTTATAGATTTCTCGTGCGCGCCACGTACTTGGAAATCTACAATGAGGAAGTTCGGGATCTGCTTGGCAAAGATCAGAATACTCGGCTTGAGGTAAAGGAAAGACCAGACATCGGAGTGTTCGTGAAAGATCTGAGCGGATATGTGGTGAACAATGCCGACGATTTGGATCGCATAATGTCGCTCGGCAATAAAAATCGTGAGTGACAACGAATATTATAAATAATAAATCAATGCACGATATCTGTATATGTAAAAAGTAATCTTCTAAACAAACGCAGGTGTTGTCGGAGCTACTGCCATGAATGTGTCCAGCTCTAGATCCCATGCGATATTTACAATTACAGTCGAATCTAGTCAGATTGGTGAAGATGGAGAGCAACATGTAAAAATGGGAAAGCTTCATTTGGTGGATTTGGCTGTACGTACAATACGACAGAATTATTATTTTTTAAACGCAAGTGAATTTCCTTAACCGTATATCCTTACGCTTGTCTCAACATCTAGGGATCGGAAAGACAAAGTAAGACAAAGGCAACGGGTCAGCGACTCCGTGAAGCAACTAAAATCAACTTGTCATTGTCGACATTGGGAAACGTAATATCCGCGCTGGTTGACGGACAAAGTTCTCACGTGCCTTACAGGAATTCCAAACTGACTAGGCTGCTCCAAGACTCGTTAGGTGGAAATTCGAAAACATTAATGGTAGGCAACATATTTTACACATTACTTATTCCACACGTAATTGATACATTATTGTTAATTTAGTAATTAATGTTATGTAATTATGCAAATCTAGTTTCCAAATAATCAACAAGTTAATATTACAATATATTTGCAGTGTGCAAACATCAGTCCAGCAGATATGAACTATGACGAGACCATAAGCACTTTGCGTTATGCAAATCGTGCGAAAAACATCAGGAATCGCGCGAGGATTAACGAGGACCCGAAGGATGCTCTACTTCGTCAATTCCAAGTCGAGATCGAGCAATTGCGCAAGCAATTGGAGGAGAATGGCGCAGAACTTTCGGAATCTGAGGAAGAGTCCGAAGATTCAGAGGAATCCAAAGAAACGAAGCGAGACAAGAAGGTTCGGCGTAGAAGGAGCCAAATATTGTCGATGGAAGAATTGGAAGACAGAGACGCAGACTCAACAGAAAAAGTTGATAAAGCCGAAAGAGACGATAAGAGTCCCGTGGACAAAGATGTCATCGAACTAAAGAGAACTCAGTAAGTTTTCGTCTAAATAAAATAGTATAACAAATAATAAAATCTACAAAATTATTTAAGTAAACGACGAATGATAATGTAATGTTTAAATGTGTATATTTTTAGTATATTAAATGATTTAATTTCAGGAGCGAGAAGGAAGCGCTACGGGAAAAAATGCAAAATTTGCAGAATAAGATATTAGTAGGTGGTGAAAATCTGTTGGAGAAAGCGGAAGCTCAGGAGCAATTGTTAGCGGCCGCGGCGGTCGAACTCGACCAGCGGAAGAGCAGAGAAGAACAATTGAAGAAGGCTATTAAGGCAAAGGAGGCGGAACGTATCGACATCGAGGAGAAATACTCGTCTCTGCAGGAGGAAGCGGCTGGAAAAACGAAAAAATTAGCGCGGGTGTACACAATGTTGATGTCCGTCAAGGCGGAGTTGTCGGATTTGCAGCAGGAGCACCAAAGAGAAATGGAGGGTCTTCTGGAAGGTGTGCGGGGAATCGGCAGAGAATTGCAGCTGCAGAATCTGATCGTGAATCATTACATTCCTGTTCAGTACCAGGTGTGTGTTGCATTAGCCGTTTATATTAAAAATGAAAATATATCCTTTGCATATATTTTTTTTTCTTTGCCAAATGTTAGACAATGATCAAGAGATACGTTCATTGGAACGAGGACATCGGCGAGTGGCAGCTGAAATGTGTGGCATATACGGGAAACAACATGCGCAAAGCGCAGACGATATCGCCGGCAGGAAGTAACAAAGATGTAAGGCTACAATATTTCATACTATTAATTCTAGAAAAGATTTTTCTTGATATCATGGAAGATATCTTCCTTCCAGCCAAACATTTCACAAAATGTTAATTACATAAAATTTTCTTCCGTTCGCAGACGATGCCACCAGACATGTCGAACATAGTATCTCTCTTACAACAACGGAATAGACAATACATTCGTGCAACCGAAGAAAGTGCGAAGTCGTTCCGGCGTCCCCAGGCCAACCACAGCACATCGACGTACACCGCATTGAAGACAGAAGGGACTCTGTCGTCGAATTACAGAGGTTTATTTTGTTTCTCATACTTTTGTAGATCTATTTTTTGAGATTTGCGTATCCACGTTCGCTTACGTAATCGTGCAGTGTATCTCAATACTCGTATCGGTGACTCATATAATTGGATACATCCTTTTTAACCTTTTTCTCGCGATACCTTTCTGTCACGATACTCCATATTATTTTTAAGATCTTGAATTTTTTTATATAGATATGACACTTGAGAGACAAGTATAAAAATATACGAATCTAGTTGATTGAAAATATAGTTTGACACTAATCAACATAAAAGTATAATTGATACACACATATTGATTGAGATATTTGTTAATTACGAAATCTAGGCACAGTAGATGAATGTAAAACTATTTATTTAAACACATTCCTTTCGAGTTCATTTTAGAACACGCCACAAAAAAGACAAGTATTTCATCTAAAAATATTCATTTTTTTATTTTATATTTTTTAATTATTAGAAATACATTTTTATGTTAGTGTGAGAGAGAGATCACTGTTAATGTGAAAAACAATACAAATCCGTCAGAAAAAAAATGGAAACAATGCTGTACCTGCAGAAAGAAAAGAATTCGAGAGTTTGAGAAAATTAACGTATCATGGAATCACAATATACTTATATTTATTTGTGGATTCGATTTAAACTTCGAATTTTCTTGTAAGAAAAGTACCTAATATTTAGAAATTCCTATATCTTCGGTGACTTTATTCGCTTACACATAATCTCTTTGGATAAACTTCGCATAAAAAATTATGAAGTGATAAAGAGGTAAACTAAAATTAATACAACGCATATTTATAATTAATGTCGAGTATTAGTGTCAAATAATTTCGATGGCGTTATGAGTTTATTTGATAATGTAGTCATTTTTATGTACTCTAGTGATATTAGATTTGTGACAAGAAATTTTAGACAACACAAATGTCTGCAAGCTATTGTGAAAATGTCTGAAAAGGCGCTCTATTCTTTCAGACATGCTTTAGACTTTTGCGTTGTTTGAGAACATTTTATATCCTCTCGTGAAACTTTTAGAATACCCGACGAAACATGTGCATTTATTATTTACTGTGATACCGAAATTCTTTCGCATACGTTTTTGATTAAGTTTTTATCAACGCTTTGTTTTGCGTTATAAGTAGTCAATCCATGGCAACGCTGAGTATTTATTGTTGTCGCGGCGTGCATGTCCTGTTTTTGTATTTATAATTTAGAAATAAAGAAAAACAAGAAAAGAAAAATTATGAATAAGCAAGTTATCCCTAGGAATTCGGTAATTTACATTTTTATTGCACTAATATTTAAGTCTTTCATTTTTCTGATACTCCGTGATCCACTTTCTGATGAAGTACCGATGATATTTGCGCGTCAGAATAACGCTGAATGGGTCGTTGACGTTACTTTCTCGCAAATCAAGATGATGCGCGGCGTCCGGGATCAGTATAGCAGTCGCCGACGAGGATAAGTTACGCAATACGCCTCCACTTGTCCACGGATCCAGCAATCCGTTGCTGAAAAAAATAAGAAAATAAGACAAAGAAAACAGAATATAAAAATTAAGAATAAGATCGATAAAATGCGATAAACTATTTTTTTTGTATACCTGAAAATAATGTTGGTTACGGTGGAAAGATTTTTACAGCCGTATCGCTGACAAACTAGATAAGGTTGCGGTGAAACGGAATATTTCTTAAAACAGGTATTATTATAATCTTTCAAATCCCATTCTGCCGGCTCGAACATATCGTTGACACCATCGGTGCACATCGGCATCACCATTTCTGTGCAGGCCTGATAATCCCATCCTTTATCGGCGTCCAGGCCTGGCTCCGCATCCTTCGTCGAAATGCATTTCGTTTGACCGGTGTAATTCGTGTAAACACTAACTGCTTGATGGAGCGCTGATAATAGCGGTTTTCCGGTCAACGAAGAATTTGTCAGGTATCGACAAAAAACCTGAGTAAAAATTCCAAATCAGCAGTTTTAAAATACTTAATTTAGACTTTGAATTATTTCCTATAAATATAGCATAAATAAAAAAATTTTTTTCATAAAGAAAAACGGATATAAATTTGTCAGGGAATTTACACTCGAAAGAAAATTTACAATTGTAGAATTCAGAATACTCACGTTAATCGGATTGCCTGGCAACGGCGCTAAGAAATTAGTCTCGTATGGATAATTAACCATAGCCAAGTTTATATAAACATTCTGCAAAAAATCTTTCAGCGTTTTGATGTCCTTCGTAGTATTTAGCGGTTCACATAGTTTCCAATTATCCGACAGCCACTTTTTACCTTCGTCTAAAATAAGAAATCGGGAAAGATAAAGAAAATTTATCATTACATTAGAATTATCAGAAAAGCTATCTTCTTACCTTTTGAAGTCACGTTACTTATTGTGCTCCATGCTTGTCGGATAAGGTGTGCGCACGTTGGATTCGAGGCACGATAATCCGACGTTGCTATCCGAGCAAACACTTCGCATGCCACATTATCAGTAAATTGTAGAAGTGGCGCGGAGGCTGCAATCGCACTACAACGAATTGATAATATTATTTAAAGTTTTGCGCGATAAATTATTGATTAAACGAGTCTGCTGTATTGTGCTACTATATTTACGTTCTTAACAAATTTTATTCTACATATTTTATTTTAGATAATTTTATTACGTAAATTTCTCACATTTTTGAGTGCAGGTTTTATTAACGTTTAATTCTAAAAATAATAACTGAGCTATGATTAATTCATTTCACATTGATGAAACCGATCTTCAGATACTATCATGATTTTTCACATCTGATTTAAATTATTGTCACATCCAGAACTAAATATAGTGCAAAAATAATTATATTTTACACATTTCCTACATGTATTTTTAGCTATATAAATCAGATATCGCTAGCTAGCGATAAAACGTACCCCTGAACGATGTGAGGGTATTTCATACGCATCCAAGCGCTGAGCATACCACCGTACGAGCCGCCGAAAACTATAACTGGGCTGCGATTATATCCCGGCTTCGACTTCAGATGTTCAATAAGATCCACATAGTCGGCCAGAGCTTGTTGAGATGTCAGATATCCAAGATGTTGCGGGTCCGCGAAGGACTTGTTCCCATAAGGTAACGATTCGCCGTAGTAACGGTGCTCAGCAAAAACTACCATTGCACCAAATTTTGGTGCAGTTTCCCACAGAAAACCCTGCCAAATATTTTGAATTGGCAAAGAGTACATTAATCATAATGCAATAATAATCAATTCATACATTAATATAAAATTAAAAATCAAATTAAAAAAGAACTTTTTTAAAAGAGTTCGATTCCTTAAATTTCTCTTTACTTTTTGATGTTCTTTTGTAGTAATTTAAATGCATGATAAACGAGTCTGAAACGTAATCAACATTTCTTTGTTAATTAAATTTGCAGTGGTTCCTTACACAAATCGCGATCGGATATTATTAGTGCATATAAATAAATTGTTCCTCTCTTACGGTATTTTCCGCAAAAACTTCGATGTCGCCTTCATTTCCAGTGTAGAAGAATATAGGAGCATTTTCTGCTTTTCCCCAAGTATCGTTTATGAGGTATCTCAGTTTAAAGGTGTCCTGTACAGCGAAACTAAAGTGATCCACCTTAAAAATTAACAATAATTAATAATTATTAGTCTTATTAATATAAATAACAATTGTTTAATGATTAATAACAGCCGTATCACAATCTACAGTTAATATATAATGATGAAATATACAAAATAACTCACTCGCACATCCAACGTTTTATTCTCGTATTTGTATCTGGCGCTGTTTGGCAGTGCGCTGTGCTTGACCCTCAGTCGCCGGCTCTCGCTGAATGTGTTTCGAAACCTCGAAGACTGAACTGTCGGCTGGCACAGCGTGGCCACGAGCAGCAGCAGTATCTTCAACGGTAGATTCATAGTGCAGCCTCAAGGAACTCCGCGTTCTCGCGGAAAAACGTTCACTTCCTGAGTCGTTACAATACTGATCACTCCGGCACACCAACACTCTGTTCCACTCCTCACCATTTTACATATATATAGGGTGTCGCAGAACAAATGAACAAAACTTTAACTCCGCATTGCTCACGTGCCTGTTTACTTCTATTGCTTCCTTTTACGTAATTTTACGTAATTACGCGATGGAAATCTTTGCATATGTACTTCAGATGCTATTTACAAACATTACTAAAAAAATAATATATTTGATAATGAGATATTTACAGGAAAAGGAAAAATGCAGAGCTTTATCCACTCTTAAAAATTACCAAAACGCTTCTCCAGTGCAGTATTCAGCAAAATTGCGGCCACTGGATACTGCACTGTGTGAGACGAAATGGGAACGCAACCATAGTTTGATAGCTTGATAGCGAAGGTTATTTTGACGGTTATTTAAAATTAAAAAAATTTATCTAAATATTTAGATTTCCTAATTATTAAATTACTATAATAAGTGCGCGCGCGCAGCGCGCGCTTGTATTGTTCTAGTTAGATTTAAAAAAGCTGAAAGCTTGCTATTTGTAGCTTGTTTGAATCAGTTATCGATATGAACTGAGATCATTTTTAACACACTTATTTATCACAGCATTTTTCAATACAGCAGACGTTCATTAGCCGATTGCGATTTTATTTATTTTATCTTTTATAAGATATCTACTTTAAAAATACATCTGAAAACATGATAGAGATTTTATATATATGTATGTGTGTATCTAATTATTATTGTGTAGAACATATAATAATGATAACATGTTTTTTGACAGCGACATAAATTCTTTATTACAAAAAATAAATTAATTCATTCTACATACAAAAATACATAACTAATTAATTAATATTAATAATACTTCTCTATATCCAGTGGACACACTGGAAAATAATATTCCTATTTAAATCGCACGGTGTATCGATGTCGAACAATCTTACCAAGATCTTCACACTTACAGAGAGATATACAGGTATTTATTTGATTTATATAATACTCCGCGACTCTTATAAGCCGATACGATATACAATTGGCCATATTTTCAGATTGCACACATTTGTATAATAAAATAAGCAAATTATATAATAAAAATTGAGAGAGACGTTTGATGGAATTATGGCGTCTTGTTCAATCGATTAGATATATTTCGTTAAATTTTCTGTAAAAAAGAAGAGAGACGATACCGAATGCCTCTGATACTCTCAAGAAGCTATCGCGTTACTTAAATATACATTTTAAATCATTTAAGATTAAGAATATAACGTAGATCTTTGTTACTCAGTCCTGCTGTCTAACGCGTCAAAAAAATCTTTTAATATAATTTGAGTTTTGTCTAGTTAGAATACTTATATATAAAGCAAATTTCTCTATTGTAGAAGTCACACTTTGTACAATCTTGATAGAGATTATCTGTATTCCTCCTCGCGCGACATGCGTATAAAATGTGAACAGATCTAACACTCAAAAGTAAACCTTTAAAGCAATGTATTAAATGAGAATATTATTTTAATTCGCTATGGGAGGCAAAAGTTAATGTTTACCTTAAAGACTATATATATATTTTGATTTTCTCTTTTTATCGCTTACTCACGTAAGGGAGAAAAAGAGGGAAAAATCCAATAGAGATCCAGTCTTGCGTGTATTATGTCATAATAAATGCTCGGCGGAAACACATGACTAAAGCTTTTCCTTTTGTTCGTGATCTTACATGTATATGATTTCATCTTAAATTACAGACGAGTTACAAAATTACAATATTAGTTAATGTAAATACGGTTTCTTCCTATTTTTACAGCATTGCATTCTCTCGTCGTATCGATTAATACCTAATATGTATAAACGTTACTATCGAGTTGGAGTACTCAGACGATTAATCAGATAATTGTACTTCAGATTTCTCATTTCTATCATATGAATTTTTACTTATATTGGTCCCTAACATAAAACTCCGTTAATGAAGTGTTGTACAATAATGTGCTTTTTAAATTAAAAGAAGAAGGTATCTAGCCTCTGTAACTACACTTTAGCTCTTAACCGGGGGAGAAAGCTATTATTGCATATTACTTAGAGAATACTTACTACGTATTTCAGCATTTATCTTTGTACTTCATAAGTCGCATTTGTTCCTCTTTCTCGGAATACAGAGTTTCAAGCGCCTTGACTTTCGCGGCGTACTGCTCGTTAAAAACTCCACAGTTTTGTTGTACTTCGTCCATGGCCTTTTTGTATCCCTCCTCGATACGTTTGCATTCACTTAACAAATGCTTTTCCTTCGCCTTCGCATAGCTCTACAATACAAACGTACGATATATTTTTCATAAAAAAAGTAATCAGCAGATTTCCGCGTATACTAACCTTATAATTAATCGCGGTTTCTTTCGCCTTTTCATATTTGCGTTTCAACTGATCCATATTGCTCTTTATGTGTTTCTCCTTATCCTTCAACGCCTTGATCTCGCTGCTCAGTTTCTCCCCGTTGGATTTCAACTTCTGTATCTCCACGTCTTTCTCCGTCTCCTTAGCTTGACACTCTTTAAGCTCAGCGACCCATATCGTCATCATCTGAGCCATCCAGTTTCTGTCCTCGTCAATTTCGTTTTCCTTCTTCTTCAAGTCCGCCTCCAGTTTCTCGATCTGCAACCTTCGCGTTTGTAGCTCTTGGTTGCAGATTTCCAGTTTTTTCCCTACGATCTGACTGATCTGACTGACTCTCATTTTCTCCGCCATTATTCCAGCCCGCAGCGTCGTCACCTCTTGATCTCTCTCGTTGCATTTCGTTTGCCACTCTAATATAACAGTTTTGTACTTTTCCTCTAACTCCTTCCTCTTCTCGAGATTCTGCTCTTCGATCCCTTTAAGCTCTTTCGCTACCTTCGGCTCCATCTCTTCCCGCACTTCCTTCGTTATGATCTCCTTCATCTTCTGAAAGTCCGTGCTGTCATTTGTACTGCGAGGAGACAGATTCAATTCCGCGGAAACTTTATTCTGGCTCTTGACATACTGCTCGAACTGCTTGGCTTGATTTCGCAACTTCACCACCAGCTGGTCTCTCTCGTCCTTGATCTTCTCAAAATCTTTCACCAGTCTGTTCAGTTTCTCGTCTTTGTTTCGTAAATCCTGCTCGAGCTGTTGTATCCTCTGTTCCAGCATTATTGATTCATTCGCATGTTCTCCCTTCGAATTGTTTAGCCTGGATAATTGTGTAACTAAATCTTTATAACGCGAGAGTTCTTTCTCCAATTCGCTCTTTGAATTCAACGTAACTTCGCCACTCTTCCGTCTTCCCGATAATCTTCCCTCGAAACCGCTAATCTTCTTCCTCGTGTCGAACAGCTCTGTTTCCAATTCGGAGATCTTCTCCTTACAAGTGTCCCGCTCGCTAAGCAGATTGTCGCACCGACTCTTCAGCGTCTCGTTCTCCGCTTGAAACCGAATCATCTTCAGCTTTACATCGTCCGAGTCATCGAGCTTTGTGATGCGCTTTAAATTCGATAGCTCTGAATCTAATTTGGAAATTTTCGCAAGAAGATCTTTCCTTTCACTGGCAACTTTTTCGTATTTCTTTTTCCACGACTCCTTCGATATATCTTTCTGCGCGATTGTCAATTTGGCATTGTCTAATTCGGTTTGGTAATCGGATAACTTTTCCTGCTCTTGTAACGCGATTTGAAGTTTCTCTTCCAAACGTTTGCAATCTTCTTCCAGCTGTAATAGAAGCATATTACTCGATACATTATACGAAGAAAAAGTCTGAAAATATATAAATAAAATCTAATTAAATTTAAAATGTAACATAGTTTCTATTAAACTTCTGATACAGCTTTATGTTTAAAGATTTAGAATTAATAAAGATTATACCTGACTAATTTTTTCTAGGTGTTTGGAACAATGGTCGGGTAAAAGAAAACTTATTTCTTGATTCGGGTGTGCATTTCTTAGCTCATGCAACGCTTCTTCTTTTGCTAGAAACATAGTATTGATTAAATTAAAACAAAATTCCTTCACAATGTTTTATCATGTTTCCCATAAATAATATTTTGCCTCTTGCTTTGTATCATTCAATACTTACCCTTTTCTATTTCAGAATGTATCTTTCTCATGTGATCCTCCTTTTTTCTTCTTTCATACGTCAAATCTTTCTCTAATTCAATTATTTTGCTTTTGAACTCTTCGCTTTCCTTGGTCAGCTTATTACGCAGTTTAACTTGTGTTTGCAATTCATTCTCCAATTTTTCCATATCCTTTTGATGAGATTCCATCGCGGCATATTTGTTTTTCAGCATTTTAATTTCATTTTTATGTTCGTCTATTAATTGCTCCTTCGTTCCACAGACATTTATGTATAATTCTTTTACATGATCTAATTCTTTTTGCGTTTGCTCTAATTGTACGCTAAAAATAAAAATTCTACTTGTGTACATATAGTATTACGTAGATTTATTAATAATATTTTTCTTAAAATTATTTAAAGTGATTTAAAAAAAAACGCAGATACTTACGATAATTGTACTATTTCCATTTGTGCTTCTTGCTTTACTCTTTCTACAGCTTTAGCATGTATCTCTAAGTACTCCTTATTGTACTCATCGATAGCTTCTTTCTCTTGTTGCTCCATAGTCTCCTGATGCATCTTTTTAAGCTTCTCTTGATTAACAGCTAAAGTTTCCTCTAATTGTTGTTCTATATTACTTTTCTCATCGCGTAACAGTTTGTATTGTTTTCTTACGTCATTCAAATGATTCGACAGTTCCTGTATTTTAGCATCCGCTTTCATGGCTTCGTCAGTTAATACAGAATTCAATTCTTGTTCTAACTCGTTGATTCGCTTAGCGTATCGCGCCGCCTCTTGCTGACACGTTTCAGCTACTGTCCGAGCTTTGCTCAACTCTTTTTCTGTCTGCGATAAAGTATTCTCCAAACGGTTTATTTCTTTTCTCTTCACAGCTTGACCAGCCAAACATCTGAACAGTCACAAAAGTAACATTGCATTATATGATCAAATGATCAAAAAACTTCAATGAAAAATCTGGAAACAAGAGAAATGCATTTAAATAGGTATTACCTGTTCAATTCTATTCTCAATTTGTTCGTGATGTCGTCAACAGGTTTCGATTTCGATTTATTAAGCTCTCCTAATTTCATCTGTCTAATTGAGTCAGATTCTTCCTCCAAAGTTGTAGCTAATAATGAATCGTACTGCGCTATGTCGCTCTTGGCTAGCTGCAGTTTGTTCTAAAAATATAATTACGCAATGAAGATTGTGTTACTTTGAATTTTTCAAAATTTATATAAAATTTTAATTACCTGCAGTTCTTGTTCATTTTTATGCAGCTCCTCCTTTTCCTGAGACAATATTTTCACTTGCGCCTGCAATTGCACTACCTGCTGAGCGGTATTTGTGGTCATGAGATTTCGGCATTGGGCTTGACTCTTTTCCAACGCTTGTGCCAATTGATTCATCGTGTGGCCTTTCTCCACCATGAGACTCTCTTGCGCTCTTCGTGCTTCGACCAATTTATCTTCGAGAGCGACATATGATGTTTCCTGTTAAAAATTAAACAATATAACAACTTAAATTTGTAAGTTATATTAACATTACATGAATGTATAAAACAATATAAAATAATCAAGTTTATTATAAAATCAAAAATTTACTTTTAGACATATGCATATATTAACAATTCTTTTTTTATGTATTTATATCAATAAAATATTAAAAACGTGATTCTGCGAACACAAAAATAACTAATAGAAACTTGCCCAAATATTGTTGCTGGTGTCCATATTGAGCAGCTATGGCAAACATGATTACAAACAGAGTTATTGAAAATTTGATGGGTAACAAGAAATTTTTTAGCGTACCTTGTCATTTAATTTGTCCGTAAGAAGATCTATCTGCGTCTGCATATTATGCATCTCCACTGCATGTTTTTCTTGCGCTTGCTTTAAAAATTTCTCGTGTATCTTATCATTCGTCTGCAATGCCTGTGCTCTTTCCAGTATGGCGATTTTCTGTTGCAGATCCATGACAGAGCCTCTGGCGACGTTTAGTTCTTCCGTTATCTGTAAAAACAATATTGTTGGTAATACGAGTCTTAACATTAATTATAGTGAAATTCAAATATATATTATTTTACATTTTGATTTGTCTTCTCTAGAACCGCATTTTTCTCTTTCAAAGACTCCATTTGCATTTGTAGATCAGCTATCTCAGTTTTAGCGTCAACTAAAAGAATTAAAGACTCAAAATAAATGGATGAAGTAATCATTTTGACTTTATATTGTTAAACATCCATAATACTTCATTAAAATTATTTTAATTATTTGATAAAATTAATATTCTTAAATAATGGTATTTTCTTGAAAGGCTTATATGATTTATTTCTTTAAGTTTTACCAAGTGCATTTTGTGCTTGAGTCCTTGAAATGTTAATTCTGTCAACTTCTGCCTGAAGCAGCATCAATTTTCTGTTCATTTTATCCTTTTCATCTTCTTTCTCCAACTGCAGCTGTTGCAGCTCCTCCGTCAAGCGATTGATCTCTCGCATTCTAACCGAATATAATACTTCCAGTTGCTCTTTACTGTTATATTCCGCCGTTTTGTAACCTGTATCGTCGTCTATTGGCCTGCCATTCGGACTAGTCTTATAGCAATGATTCATGTGCTCCGAGGTAACGTTGTCGCCTCCACCGAACTCGTGAATCTGCTTATTTTGTACATTATTCTCGTACGCATCGGTAAAACCGTTATTAGAGTATTTCTTAGTAATGTGAGTATTGTAATGATTGGATGGCGTTTCATAATTATAGGGATAATTTTCGCCAAATGTGTATTCTTCGGCCGACTTTGGCGGATGCATCTTGCGATGATATCCAGCAGGCGGTTTTGTTAATTCATACGGCGTCTCCAGCACAGTGCTGTTGCTGTCACTGAGTCTATTATTACCGTACGGCGTCCCCGTTTGCCTGTATAGATCAAAGTCGATTTGCATCCCACTGACCTCGGTGTCAGGCTTGCAATTCGTTTTCACATCGTGATCGTAATTGTTCAGATTTTCCACACGATCACAGACATCGAATTCCTTCTGCAGTTGCACTACCTGACCTTTGCCAGGCATAACCGATTCCAAATCATAATTAACCACTGTATCAGTGCAGTCAATGTCTCTGGTATTGTCATCGTGATAGTGACTACTATCAACCGAACTGACATCATCATTGTTTTCCAAATCATTAAATGCATTTGTTAGGAGGTCTTTAAGCTGAAAGTAAAACAAGAAACATATTATTGTATGAATACATTATCAAACTTTATTTACATCTTCATACAGTCTTCTTTTTTACAGCTAAACTGTATACAGAAGATTTTATCTTACTTTAATTCTATGCAGTGCACTTATATCAATTTCTTTACAATAAAATTTTATACAATAAAGCTTTCATTCATTCCTTCCCATCTATAGAGCACAGTAATAAAATTGTTTCATAAGAAAATTCTACAGAGTGGGTTTTACATTCTTCTTTTAGGACAACAGCACATTCAAAAATGCTGTCTACAATAGAATTCTATAAGTATAGTGGACTCTGCATATATTGTTTTCCACTTTCCTCACAGATCATAATTATATATCATAAAACTCTTTTGACTTCAAATGTAGTAGAGTTTACGATTTCCTCTACACATGTCACGGAATGAAATCCGGAGCACATTGCGGAAATCTACGGGAAAACAAATAGCGTTACCTCCTCGTCGCGTCGCTTCTTATCCTCCTGCTCCTCGTCCTCTTCAAGCCTCTGTGTCGCCGTGTTCAGCTGTATGCTGTCCGAGCCCTGAAACAGGCTCAGGCCTGGGCCCGCCTCCATGCCCTGGTGCCGGCCTAGCACTGGCTCACGACGAACAGCACGCGCGATTGACGGACGCGTCTATTGTGCGCAGCATATTTTTGTTTATAACGCCATAACCTAGACGCAACAAGTGGGTCACGGTGTACACACGATATATCTACGCCGCGGCGGCGGCGGCGGGCCGCTATCGCGTCGCGACGACGAGTATGCAGAACGTGCGTCGCGACGCGCACATCCCTCGGAGGGCACGCGAAAATTGATGCACGGCTGCTGCGAATACTGCGGCGCGGACGTACGCGATTATTTACATACGCCAGTGTATATACCGCGTACATACGCGAAAGTTCGTGCGCTTGTAAACAATCTTCGAAAAATCGAGCAACAGTACTGTAGAAAGCCTGTATGCGGAAATGGGCTCCCGCGACCGTCACTCGCCTTCCATTGGTCAGCTACGATGATTATCACCAGCTATCACTAGAATACGGCTCGGCGCCCATTTTAGCACCTATGCTTGGCGCGCTCAGAGCTAAACATAATCGTCCGTTTATACATATGTAATATAATTATGTTGATATGCGAGCGATGAGCTGTGTTTAACTGATGATAGAAATATAATTTACAATTAATATGAGAAAATTTATGATTCATGATTAAATTAAACGAGTTTTGAACATGGCTTTTATATAATTTATTATTCGTGTTGTTTAATTAATTAATTATACCCATCAGATATTGTTAAAAGTTGACTTTAAATAGATTTTTGCGACTATACAAATATGTTTCGGCAAGAGATAGAAATCTTAAAAGAATCTGGCTAATGTCATTAGTTTAATAGAAAATGGCGTGTTTACTGTTGTGTACATACATACGCTGATTTGTACTACTAAGGCACTAGATATGTAGGTATTCTTATCCGCCATTTTGGTTCCTACTAGATGGAGAATTATAGCGTATATAGTATAGCTTAGTATAATATGGCGTACATGTGTAACATGTCAATTATTTGGTAAGAGACTAATAATTATTTTGATATTTTCGTAGAATTGAGGCAATCGAAACTTTAATTATGTCATTTATATTATACTCGTTATTGTGTGCATTGTGAAACCTTGATATTAATTTTTTACAGGTCTATTTTAAAGATTGTCAGAATTGTCAATGGGCAAATTGAAATGTCCAAATGCCTTGCTGCGTTGCAATTAATTGCAGCAACAGGTCCGAACAAGGATATAAACTGTTCAGATTCCCAGAGGGTTCCCGGGGAGCAACGTGGGTGGAAAATGTGCGGCGTGGAGATAAGTGGGCACCAACGGAGACTTCGCGCTTGTGTGAGGTACATTACTGTTAAAATGTTTGTCGCTGTAAAACTAAGATGAAATATGTAACACTCCTCACATTTTTTCTAGAAACATTTTGAAGATTCACAATTTGAAGCCCGTCGAGCAGATGGTTGGAAGAAATTGAAGCCGAATGCCATCCCAACGTTATTCGATATACCAAATCCGCCATCCATCATCAATTCCACTTCCGCGGAAATCACTGTGCAAGGTAATTTTATCGAACAAACTGACAGTAATCAGAGAGTAAGGTTTTGCTTTTTCCAGAATTGTAACAATAATATTGCTCCTGTCCCTTCCAAAGCAACAGTAAACGAATTTGTACCGGCAGTTGAACATAATTATTCAATTCGACCTCAGGAAACACGGAATGAAGCAAGTAATTCTCGATCCATCGACGAAACATTGGCTGTTCATTCGAAAACAGCGGAACCTATAATATTTCAACAACCGGTACATTTGCATAATTTCATTCATATGCAATACAGTATTGCGAAGAACGGAATGCATGTATGAAGATATTAATAATTTGTGTTCTAATATCTTAGAATTTGGTTAATGCTGAAAACACAATCCATAATATGATAGGACAAGAGCTCAATCCCGAGCCAGTACAAGTAGATGTATCGATAATCCCAGAAAGCGAGGTAATTCAAGAATTATTCATCGATTATGTTTGTTGTTACATGGTCGTTAAAAAATATAATAAATGACAAGGCCCAATTTGTCATGAATCTTAATAACTCTTGAGGGTACTATTTCAAAAAGCATATCAAAGTTTTGTTTCGAATAAACTTTTTATTACCATTGGAATTGATTATTAAGTTACATTGGTTTTTTAATTCTTTTTTTTCCATCACTCTGCGTAACTCTAAAGATTTCCATGCTTCGAAACATTTTTTTTTTATTTTTATTAATCGGCAGGCAGACGAGCTAGCACGGCTGAGGTGTGAGAATCAAGAGTTGCAGACAGAACGAACAAATTTAAAAAAGTTATTGGCAGAGAACCAGAAATTACGTGACCAAATAAACGCCATGGACAGAACAAGACGATCGTTCTTAAATGACGATCAAATAAAAATGTTAGAATAAGGTCGTGTGTCCAAATGGTTTCATGATAGTATTGTAAGAGGTCTCAAATTTAGATTTGCCCTCTCTGTCCATGGCTACCAATATCTTCGCGGTACTGGTTATCCATTGCCCTCGTATGCCACAATTATGCGACGAATACAAGACTTCAAACTCGATTTCGGGATTTTTGAGGACATTTTACAACTACTTAAATTTAAAGTTGAAACTATGGACCCAACAGATAGATTTTGTGTCTTATCGTACGATGAAATGAAAATTAGCAAACAACAAGATTACAATAAAAATCTTGGTAAATTTCTTGGTCGTGCAACTTTGGGTAAAAATCTTGATGATCTCGGCGAAAAAGTATTTGCAGTTGTTGTTCGAGGAGTGAAAAACCGGTGGAAACAAATTGTTGCGTGTCATGTAACTCATACAACATCGATCGATCCCCAACTTTTAAAAGATTTCATGCTCGACTGCATCACATCTGTAGAATCATGTGGTCTTTATGTTGTAGCACTTTCGTCAGATTTAGACAGTAGGAACAGGGGGTTATGGACGTCTTTGAACATCCAGGCTTCGAGACATGGGACTATAAACAATTTTTTGTTTTCAATAATCATCCAATATACGCTATGCCAGACGCTTGTCATGCGCTAAAAAATTTGAAAGCTGCTATGTTGAGGCAACTCATTTATTTACCTGAAGCGTATGTCGAGTTAGAGAAACTTCCAACACATATAGTCGATGGGTCTTATATTAAAAAATTGTGGGAATATGAAATATCAAAAGGGTTAGAAAAGCGCCTGCTACATCATCTTCGAGCAGAAGATATTGAGCCTACGACTTTCGAAAAAATGAACGTTGGCGCAGCTATTCGATTTTTCTCCCTTAAAACTTTAAGCGCATTGAAAACTGCAGTTCAAAATGGAATATTACCTCTGGAAGCTCTAACAACTGCTCAGTTTATTCTCACAATACAGCAGTGGTTTTCTCTCATGTCCTCCAAAGTTAGGAAAACTTCGATCACTTTGCGAAACTGTGACCGGAAATTATTTTCCTGCACACGATTATTGATTTGTTCCAAAATGCTGTATTCAAACAGGGCTGGAAGCCATTGAATTACGGGTTCGTTATTGCAACTTTGACGTTTTGCGATGTTTCTGAATTCTTGATGAAAAATGGATTCGATTTTATCTTAGGGCACCGATTTACTCAAGATGTAACTGAGAACATTTTTTCGCAAATTCGGCGTAAAGAAGGATCTATGCCTAGTGCACTGAAAACCTTGCAAGCGATTAGACTTATCTCTATATCGCAATATGTATCTGAGGTAAAATGCAATAGTTATATGAGTGAATCTGATGAATTTTTGTTAGACTTTTGTGAAAAGAAAAGGAAGACTGCTCGTGAAAGGTCCTCTGCTTGCATTAATAAATCTGTGGATACTTCAGTCGTAAATATTACGTCCTCACTTGTCGATTTCCAAGTGCAGACTTTCTCTCTCAGCGATTTCAGTCAAATTGTGTCCCAGTACGATGCCACTATTATATTTCATATAGCCGGTAGCACCACAAACGCAAAGCATGTTTGTTCCAACTGTCTTGAATTTCTGTCATCAAAAAATTTGCCCGACATCGAGTTTATCAATAAAGCAAAGTCTTACACTAATGGAATGAATCAAGGTGGCCTGAGAGAACCTTGTTTACAAACATTGTCTTTGATCTTTCATTGCGAACATTTTTTCACAGTATACAAAAATTACATTTTAAGAAATTGTAACTTTGCTTTGATTAAACGTTTGGTGGAAAATATTGATATTGTCTTTCCGACGTGTTGCAATATGAAAGAAAAAATTGTTAAACATTTTTTTACTGTCCGTTCTTTCTGTGTAAAAAACTTTTCAGAAAACAGCAAAAAACGACAAATTATTTTTGGAACTGCATCTGCCAAACGAAGGAAAAATTGAATTAGCTTTTACATGATATTCGGCTGTGACAAAAGTGTCGTCCACGCAAAGTAAACTGATATCGATAACAGCGCAATGTACATCATGTTAATGTGCAATTTATTGAGGTGCTTATGTACACATATGTTGTTCCAAAGAAAACAGATAAACTTAGTTTAAGATAATATATATGTATACATATCAACATGTTATGTTTTATATTGTTCAATAAACATAAGAGTATATTGAAAATCATTTTTAATTCATTATTTCTGAGCCATTACAAAATTGATTTTTAGGTATATATAAATTCTGATTGCCTGAAAATTATATAGAAGATTACACATTTTGTTTTGATTTCAGTGATCAGTGAGTTGAAAATTCATGATCTTATATATACAATTTTAAATTTATAATTTCAATCTTACAAACACATTCACATGATTTCATTTTGATAACTTCAATTCGTTTGCATTATTAAAATAATACATTATTTGACATTGTATTTATGCAAATATTCAGCAACTTGTGGGTAAAACGAATACAATTTGAAAATAGCATGCCACCTTTCTAGCTTCTCTTTCATGGCCTGGTTTTCAGTAAATAGAGCTAATGTTTCGTCGATGGATCGAGAATTGCCTGCTTCATCCCGTGTTTCCTGAGGTCGAATTGAATAATTATGTTCAACTGCCGGTACAAATTCGTTTACTGTTGTTGCGGAAAGGACAGGAGCAACATTATTGTTACGATTCTGGAAAAAGCAAAACCTTGCTATTACTCTCTGATTACTGTCAGTTTGTTCGATAAAATTACCTTGCACAGTGATTTCCGCGGAAGTGGATTGATGATGGACGGCGGATTTGGTACATCGAATAACGTTGGGATGGCATTCGGCTTCAATTTCTTCCAACCATCTGCTCGACGGGCTTCAAATTGTGAATCTTCAAAATGTTTCTGGAAAAAATGTGAGGAGTGTTACATATTTCATCTTAGTTTTACAGCGACAAACATTTTAACAGTAAATGTACCTCACACAAGCGCGAAGTCTCCGTTGGTGCCCACTTATCTCCACGCCGCACATTTTCCACCCACGTTACTCCCCGGGAACCCTCTGGGAATCTGAACAGTTTATATCCTTGTTCGGACCTGTTGCTGCAATTAATTGCAACGCAGCAAGGCATTTTGACATTTCAATTTGCATTGACAATTCTGACAATCTTTAAAATAGACCTGCAAAAAATTAATATCAATGTTTCACAATGCACACAATAACGAGTATAATATAAATGACATAATTAAAGTTTCGATTGCCTCAATTCTACGAAAATATCAAAATAATTATTAGTCTCTTACCAAATAATTGACATGTTACACATGTACGCCATATTATACTAAGCTATACTATATACGCTATAATTTTCCATCTAGTAGGAACCAAAATGGCGGATAAGAATACCTACATATCTAGTGCCTTAGTACTACTTGCTCAATTTTAGCAATTTTTAGCAGCCAGAAAACGCCTAATCGCGTTCTGCGACTTCTCCACGGCCAAAGGACGCCTAATCGCGTTTTTTATTTTTTCAACAAATAAAGAACACTTATATAATCACATCCTCCGATTTTCTTAGATCAGAATACTTATCCTTTCATTTACAATAAAATATAAAACCATTGATATATTCGGGGATTGTGCATTATTTATACATTTGTACCATTTGAGAAAATTGGAAGACACAATAGTTCTATAGATAGCACTAGAGACCCTCTAATAAGAGACTGGCCAACTTGACAGTTGCAACCATGTTTCAGCAAAATTCTGCGAGAGAGACAGGAATATATACACTAGAGACTCTCTAGTATATATATTTCTGTCTCTCTCGCAGAATTTTGCTGAAACATGGTTGCAACTGTCAAGTTGGCCAGTCTCTTATTAGAGGGTCTCTAGATAGCACAAACATTAAGCGCTATCTAGCGGTAATGTATTGTAATATTTAAAAGTTGTAAGATTGATTGCTGCCACTAGATAGCAGAAGTTTCTAGTTCTTAACAATGTAATTGTAACCTATGATTGTAGGAAATAAAATATTCTTAGCTGATAAATTGAATACTATTTTGTTGTATGGATTAATTGTTACTCCCCATGTTTGTTAATATTAATTTGGAGTTGTTAACTACTACTAAATGCTAAATGCTACGAATGGTATTGTGTTTTGACATTCTCTGCCTTAAAATACATATACAATAACAAACTGTGATACTAATCACTATCATTATATTTAGGAAAAAAAGGCTATTTGTTAAAGCTGATGTAACGTCCGGTCAGGAATCTTGTGGACATAGAGTGAATAATTTTTGACATGAAAGCAATAATACAGCGAGTCTCAAAGGCTTCAGTTTCAGGTAAAATTATTTGTAGGTCAAATGTTTTCTATGAAGAATACACTTCAAATATGTTCACAATATTAGATTCTTAAGCTTATAAATTTATACCTTTTATATGATAAAAAGAAAATTATGATATATTGGGAAGAAAATAAATATTGTAAAATTAATGTGACATAAAACAGTACGAATTAATTGTGTATTATTTGACAATAATAAGGCTTAAGTGTAATTTTTCAGTTGATGGAGAAATTGTTAATAGCATTGGGAATGGACTGTGTGTGTTAATTGGTATAAAAAGAGATGATGGAGTGGCTGATGTGGAATACATGTAATAAAATAATATTATCAATGCATATAACTAATAATAAGTACTGTTTTTTCAAATGTTTTTAATTTTTGTGTCGTAGAGTAAGAAAGATATTAAATACCAAAATTTTTGATGGTGACAAGGGTAAAAGATGGGGTGCCAGTGTAGTAGACAAAAAGTATGAAATACTGTGTATTAGTCAGTTTACATTGTATCATGTTTTAAAGGGAAATAAGTTAGATTTTCATAGAGCTATGCCTGCCCAAGAATCAGAACCCTTTTATATGAATTTTCTTGCCGAGCTTCGTAAAAAGTATATTCCAGAATTGATTAAAGGTAATGCATTTGCAATTTAACACAGATGTGTATGTAATCTTGCATTTTCTTTAAATATATAACAATGGATTTTTTTAACTGTTAAAAAATTTTAAAGTGTATATTTTACAAACTTACACAGATGGTAAGTTTGGTGCAATGATGGAGGTTTGCATACAGAACAGTGGACCAGTAACACTGGAAATAGAATCCCCAATTAAGTCCATTTCTAATGATGATATTGGGGATGTAGAGAACAAGAAAGTATCCGATTAAGTCAAGAATTTATGTATTATAACAAATAAATGGGTCAATAAACTCATGTCAAGTATAATACATAATATATAACTGTTTATTTAACCCAATGTAATTCTAAATTAGTTTTCTCCAAATTCTGAGTTTAACATTGACATTAATAGATTGTATGTACATATGTATTTCTATGAAAAACTTTATATATCAGTTGCATATTAACAAAAAATTTCTAAATTTTAAAATAATTTATATATATATATATAATCTAAATTTTATTTTTAAATATTTTTTATTTTACCATGTTTATTTATGTTATAAATAATTTTATTTTGTAATGTTATTTTTATTTTATTTGTTATAAATGCTTTGAATTATGAAAAGAATTATAGAAACTAAAATGTTTTATATAAAATTTTTTACAATTTTTGTAATTTTGTTTCAGATGCTGACTGACTACTTAGCATTCAACTGCATTTAACAATCAACAATGGCAACTGTTGAAGAAAAGAAGATAAGTACACAAAGTAAGGATGGCACACCAGAAAAACAAAAGAATCAAAAAGGTACAAACACTCTTCAGTGTATATAAGTTAATAATATAAGTATATTATTAAAAACATTAACATATGTTGCCTTACAAAAAATTTATTTTAGATGAGAAGGTTGTAGAATCTGATGCGGAGAATACGAAAAACATAGCCAAAATAGATAAATCAGAAATAGATAAATCATCCATTTCTAAAAATAATATATCCATTATTCAACAGGTATTATAACTTTTTTTATAAAATAAGTATTGCTATTATATGTTTAGTATTTTCTTATGATCTCGTAATTTTAGTCATGCGAAACTCAAACAGATCCAGAGGACACGGAAACCATGGAACAGCTGAAAAATCAACTAGGTATATTAATGAACCAATTGGCTACCTTATCTGCGGAAAAATCGAAGATGGAAGCAAATTTCCAAATTGACAAGAAGCAACTAAGAAGTGAGCGGGATGAAGTAAGATGAGAAATATTTGTCCTATTATTAAAACTATTCAACTACAACTGCTCAGAGTATTAATGTTTACAGTGTGAAAAAGTAATTAAAGATTTAAAAGACAGATTGAAGAAGGCTCAAAATGTCAATTATTCTGAAATCGAGCAAGTAAAGTGCAAATTAATCATGGAACGACACGAGAGAGAGAAAGAACATGGCGATTTCGTGAAAAAGTTAAAGTACGTTACTGATTTTCACAATTATTTAAAATTCACAAGATATTTATATTATATAATTTGCGAATGTAGAAATATTGTCATATAATATTCTCATAATAATGTTTATAGAGAACTGCAGAAACTATTGTATGACGAACAACGTAGTAAGGAACAATTGGAAGGGCAATTGAAGACACATCTCGCAAATAAAACACAATGCAAAATTCTCGAAGCTGAGTTGGAAATCACCAAGACCAAACTTAAACAGGCCGAAGAAGCAGCGAAGGAAACTCCACCGCTTCTTCTTTCCCTACAATCTGAGATGGCTGTAATGAAAAAGCAACACTTAAATGCGATTCGAGAAGTAAGGAAAACCTATCGAGAATTATTTGACACGTTGGTTAATAAAGAGTCAACTGATAAACAAAGTTAAATAATACATTTTGCGTAGGAGCAAAAAAGAGTCGTCGCCGCAGAACAACAAGCAAGGGGATCGGTGATGATACACGAAGCGAGAGTGGCCGGCTTGGAGGCTAGATTAGCCGAACTCTCCGAGATTGTTGGAGGCTACGACAGACTGAGGCAACAGGACCAATTAGCTATTCAGAAACTGAAGGATCAGTTGGCTGCTCTACAGGACACTGAGTATAATGAAGCTACGATGTCGAATAATCAGCCGGACGAAATTATTTCCAAGATAAAGACTCTATATACTTGCTTGCTGGATTTCGACAATAAAAAGAAGGATTCAGCTTACGTAAAAAGTAAATAACGTTTTCATATATTGATAAAAAATAGGATAAAGATTTGAATAAATAATTTCATTGTACATTTTCGTTTTAGCATTGCTCAATAGTTTGGATTTGGAAGATGAACATCTCGATTACAAGGAGAAGTACGACACGCTTCTACAAGACTTCGAAGATTACAAGCATCAAATGAAGTGCAAATATAACACATCTAACGTGCACATGCTCCGTGGTATTCAACAACAAAGACAAAATCTGACTCTGTCACATGATAAGGATCATGACAAGACTCAATTAAATCTCCTCAAAGTTCACAACAGCAATTTGGAAGAAAGAATACGTATGATTAGCAATGAAATGTTAAGTAAAGAGCGAGCTTTGCAAGAGCAATTAGAACATCAACAGAAGGTATTTTGATCACAAATAATTTCAAGGTAAAAAATTAAAAAGATAATTAATCAAGTTTATGTTCAGTTATTTCAGGAAGAACGATTGAAACTGGAGCACACGTTGCACCAAAAAGACAACGAATATCGTCATAGGATATCCACGTTAGAGCAACAACTATTGCGACAAAGAGAAAGATCCATGGCTCTCGTAGAAGAAAAAGATAAAGAAATATTAACTCTAAAAACATCATTCCGTGCACTATTGCCTAATAAAGAAACCGCGACGGAAAATAAGACACATTTGAACAGATTTGAAAATACAGTTGAGCCGGTTACTGATTTAGTGACAGGATTATTAACGAACGACAGTCCTCCGATATTGCATTATACTCAGGAACTGGCCAGGAAAGAGGTACAAATGTCATCGTCCAGGAAAAAGATTCTCGAATTGGAAGCGACGTTGAGAGAGCAACAGAGAGAAATGCTCCACATAAAAGAACAACAACAGGAAGAAGCTAAAGCGTTGAAGGCACATATCACTAGGTAAACATATCATCAAAATATATCATAAATTTAAAATAGGAATAATAATTAAAAAAAAATAGATTAAATATCATTTGAATAAAATATTTTATATAAAATTTATAAAAAAAATTTATATCACAGGCTGGAAGCGTGCAAATCGAGGGAAGGTGCTAATCTGGAATATCTGAAGAATGTATTTATAAATTACTTAACGACGAATGATGCATCCAGCAAGCGGCATATGTTAAATGCTATTTCAACAGTATTGCGTTTTACACCAGACGAGCTTAGTAAAATTAAACATTAATAACGGATATTTTTACTATCTGTATATTTCTTACATAGAAAAATAAATACACGAGCAAATCAAAGTGATTTAATATTACAATTAAGTTCCTTTCTGCGTCTTCAATTCTTCTATGAGTCGTTTGCGTTCCTCTGCTCTCCTCAAATTAGCTAACACCGAACTTTCAAATTCTGCATCCGACATTCTTCCTTGCTGCGTCTATAACGCAGGGAACATTATACAATGAGATTAATATACATATACAGTAAATTAAGATTCAAACTTCTTAAAAATACAAATAATACGTACAAATATATCAGGTGCGGAAGAAAAACTGACAGACGCGCATGGTTTGCTGGTCAAATTTATACTCGCAGGAAACACGGGTCTTCCAATATTACAACTTGCAGTACTAGCAGTACTGGTTGAAGATTTTTGTGTATCCCATAGAGCGCGAAGTATTAATGGATTCTCGGCTAAACCGATTTCTACTAAAAGCGCTGTTTCCTGAAATTTATTTCCTATTGAAAAATTTTATCATAAAATTATATAGCATTCTTGTTCCATTATCAAACATTTTGTTAACTTACCGCTGCACTTTTATTTCCAAATTCGACCATGGCTCTGCCTTTCTTTGCAGATGACACAACAAGAGCTGCTACATCTCCATACTGCAAAAATAAATAAAATAATAAATATATTTGATATATAATTATATATATATAGCTTTGGAATTAAAGGATTAACAATCTTACTTTTGAAAACATTTTATGCAGATTATCATAGTTGTATCCGCCATTTGTGGAATCATTTTCTTGTGTCTTCCATCTAATTTTAATTCGAAACTCTCCTACTTTATTTTCTGATTTTTTTGATGAACCATGAAGCTGTTCCCAAATTTGTTTTTGTACAAAGGCTACTTCCTCCTCCACTTGTTTGGACCCCTCTTTTTGTAATCTTTCTATCTCAGCCTAAATATATATAATTATGTACATATATCTATATTAAGCATAATAAAGAATATTGTAATAAAGTTAAAGAAATTGATTACATACTTTCAATCGGTCTTCATCAGATTTACTATTATATGTGGGATCTAACGTTCTCTTATAAGCTTCCTCACGTGCTTCTAAATCTTCCTTCAGTTTTCTCCTCTTGGCATCATACACTTTAATGCGTTCCTTGGCCTGTTTTCTGGCAGCGATAACTTTGTCGTATGCAGCCTTGTTTCATGACAATACATTTTAATAAATTAGACTAGCTATAAGACTTTCTGGAAGTCTAAGAAAAGATACGTTTAATAACAAAAATACTAAAGAAGTTTCAAGTATTATTAATATACTTACTCTTGCATTTTCATCTGTTAGTATTTCCAATACTTTTGACAGTTCTTGAAATAATTCAGCTGCTCTTGGATTGTTAGGATTCTTGTCAGGATGACATGTTAAAGCCTTTTTGCGATATGCTTTTTTGATCTGGAAATGCAACATAATATAAAGTATTTTATATTACAAAATATGCATAAACATTTGTAAAACTTTAACAAAAATGCAACAAACATTACCTCTGATACAGAAGCTGTAGGTTCTGCACCGATCAATGCATACAGATCCATTTCCATAATTTTATCCATCGTGTGATTTTATTATTTCCACTCAATTATTCTTAAAATAAATGTTTAATCAACAAGTGATATTATAGGTTATACACGTTCCTACACTGTACACATATATAATGCTAATGAGTGTTTATTTGCGTGATTATTGCATTTAGAAAATACTGTAATTGTGCAATAGTTGAGCAATGTACGCTGAACAATGATATCAAAATGATTAGAAAACAAGTTATTTAATTAGTTCTGGATTTTTTTAACTGACACTTATGATAACTCATGATACATCCGAACCGGAAATATAAGGCATTAATGATGTTACTGTAACTAAAATTGCAGCTTGATTCAAAATTTCGTAGCATTTTTTCTACGATGTTATTATTATTTTATAATTTAGCAAGAATTTTATTAAAATATTTGTTATTAATAACGGCACTGTGCAATGATTTACGAAAAAAGATGAAATATATTCGAAGGTTGTTCAGAAGACACCGCGCTCAATGAATAACAACTACTGTTTTATGAATGTAGCCAATGCCTAGTTAATGTCTTATCAGTTGTCCCTTAGTTATCAAAGCGTATGCATACATCAGTGCGTCATGCATAGTCATGCGTTGAATAACTACAAAAGAATATCGAACACAAAATGATGGCCAAAAATCTATTCCGAAAAATTCCGCGCTTTCAACGCGCTATATTGCAGGTATTATATGTAGCATGAACAAATAATTATTCATTTATTTATTGTGATAAAAAACTTTTCATTAAAGTTATAATTAACGTATATATCTCTAATACATATTCTATGTTGTGCTCGTTTCGCATATTTTAATTGTGTGATTATTTTCTTTTTTGTTCTCGAAAGCAGCATTTCTCAAACTAGAAAGTGAGAATAAAAATTTTTGTGCTACGTCATCTAATTTTGTGTTAATATGTGTGTCTATTGCATATCTACCTACTCTTTATGAGTCAAGTCTGCAGTTTTTGTATATTGTGGAAAAAAGATATACAATTATCAAAAAATAAATAATTATTTAGGATATTACAATAAATATCTCATTCGCTCTTCTTTACTCTTATTTTAGGCAAAACAATACAGCACTTTGATAGGTGAACCACAATTCCTAGGAGTCAACAGTAATTTCACCAATAAAATTCAATTTATCAATGACAAAAGTTATGATCCTATTCCAATATACAGGATTATGGAGCCTTTGCAGAAGATTGAAGTACCCAAAGAAGGAAAGGTTCGATCAAACATATACTATGCATTATTTAAATTTATAGACATTTGTATAGAATTATATTTCAAACATGCATTTAATTTTTAAATATGAATTCAACTTTTCATATTTAACTTGACTTATTTATAGAAAAAGAAAAAATTTTGAGGAATAGAATCATATTTAATGCTCAGTAAATAATGATTAAATCCTGTTAAATAAAATAATGCTAAAATAAAACATTAAATGTTATGTTTGCATTACAGCTGGACGATACACATCTGTTGAAAATGTACCGTGATATGGTGACCATAAATTTGATGGACAAGATTTTATACGAGTCTCAAAGGCAAGGTCGTATTTCGTTCTACATGACGAACACCGGTGAAGAAGCTGTGCAGATCGGTTCTGCTGTCGCTTTAACCTTAGAAGACATGATTTATGCGCAATATCGCGAAGCTGGTACGAAACCACTGCATCCATCTGTTATTATACACATTTAAAGTATTATATGTTTAAAGTATCATGTGGTTATAACAGGTGTGTTGCTGCACCGAGGATATCCGTTATTGAAGTTTATGAATCAGTGTTATGGCAACTGTGAAGATGATGGTAAAGGTAGACAGATGCCTGTACATTATGGCTGCAAAGAATTGAATTTCGTAACTATATCCTCTCCATTAACAACTCAACTGCCACAAGGTATTCATAGTATGTCATATGTGTTACAATATCCATAGATTAAAGAATTGTGATTAAAATTACAATTAGAGGAAATATGTCATTTTACAAATTAATATATTGTATATTTAAATATATAATTAAAAAATAGTGACGTTGTTTCACTTCCACAGCTGTAGGGGCTGCCTACGCCTTTAAATTGGATAAAAAGAATGCATGTGTGGTTTGTTACTTCGGAGAGGGTGCGGCGAGTGAAGGAGATGCCCATGCAGCATTCAATTTTGCAGCTACTTTATCGTGTCCCATCATTTTCATCTGGTAAATTTTTTTAATGACTTTGATGCTTATTGAAAATGTACGCATAATAACAAGATTGTTTTAACCAGTCGAAATAACGGATACGCCATCTCCACATCAGTTTTTGAGCAGTTTAAAGGGGATGGCATTGCAGCCAAGGGTCCTGCTTACGGAATCAACACAATCAGAGTGGATGGTAACGATGTACTCGCAATGTACTATGCCACAAAAAGTGCTAGAGACTTCTGTATAAAACAACAAAAACCTGTTTTAATAGAAGCCATGACTTACAGGTAAATATTCATTTTTAAAAAATAGTTTTATACAAAATTTGTCTTTGCTATACTTCTAAAAAAAAATAACATTTTTTAATATAATTAACAATTTACACATTGTAAAAAAATCTAGACTCGGACATCATAGCACTTCAGATGATTCTACAGCTTATCGATCAACTGACGAGATCACTCAATGGAACAATCATACACCACTTATCAAGTTTCGTGTATATCTAGAATCACTTGGATTATGGTGTCAAAAAAGGGAGCAAGAGTTAATAAATTCTACTAGAAAAGAAATTCTTGGTGTCTTTGGAGAGGCAGAAAAGAAGTCTAAGCCACACTGGAAGGAGTTGTTTACAGATGTATACAAAGAAACTCCTGATCACATCAGGTATGTCAGTTTATAAATATACTGATTAAAATTCTTCCCACTTTCAACAATTGCACCATTTCTATATTGCAGAAAACAAATGAATCTCATGGAAAAGCATCTAGAAGAATTCAAAGAACATTATCCATTAAGTTCCTTCACACATACAAAATGAGGGGAAAGAAATTACCTATTGCACAAATGATATACATAAATTTTGTACTCCTATTTTAATAATAAAATCTTAAACGACTAACACTGTATAAGCATAATTCTTTGAAACTTCTTACTTCTATTGTTTTATATTATCTGCAATTTCTTTATACTTCTCCATTCGATATTCTTTTTTTGCCGCATTCAGCAGTAAATTGTGAAGTAAATTCCGTTCGTGTGGGTTATACTGCTCTACACTTGGATATATATTGCCTGAAAAAATGTTAATTACATAAATGACATGTTCACATAGCTTATTGAAGAATATTTTTGTATATCTCACCTTTGAGTTCTAAAATTGCCCTCTCATAGTGGCCTATAGGGTATACATTTGGTGCTTTGTGAAGTTTTGTAAAGGAGGAAGTATAATTTTGATATCTTGGTACCAGAACTTTAAACAATTTATGTATCAGTTGCTTTTCGATTATCCAGTAGTTAGCCAAGTCCATTGTCTCCTTGTGCGTAGGTCCATTGTGTATTGCTTCAAATATCAACTGCAAAATAATGCTATTATAAGAATTCTACTAGCATGTAAGACAAAAGTGTTATATTACTAAGTACAGATTATGACATCCAAGTAAGAATTATTTAGATCTTTTCACAATTTGTTAAGGAAAGAATCTAGTTTATCTGTCATAATAGAGTATTAAAAATATATAAATAATAACAAGCGGTATACCTGATCGACGTAACCTCTAGCCTCGTCGGCTCGTGGATAATTTAATTCGAGTCGTTCGTATTTAATTAACGCTGTCAGAGTTTTCCGAAGCTTCAGAAGACGTCCCTCTGAACCGTCTGGATTTCGAAGCCGCCGACGGGGTTTAACACTGTATCTTAATTTAGATACCAATTTCTCTACATTTGCTTGATTCATTTTAGTCAGATGTTGCTGTTCACTCTAACCAAAAATCCACTCGTGACAAATAACACCACAATACTCATTATGGAGGATTCATACTGCGTTTAATGTACAGAATTTATCCAATAGAAAAATGTGCTTTTTAGGAACTTTATCTATTATAATATTTCTTCCTAAAAAATAAATTTTCTTATTGGATATCGGATTTCGTATGACTAATGCAGTATGAATCTTGTGTGCGCGGGGATTTCAATTAAATAAAAATCATACAATGTTTTAGATTACTTATATAAGAATTTATTATTACAGATCAATAATTGATCAAAACATTTTTTTAGTAAGTATTTATAAAAATATTAAAAATTACTATTTTAAAATAATGATTAATATTAATATATTCTATATTATAATAATTAAGTACATTATACAGAGCTGTTGTATTTATTACTCATCAATTTTACAGAAAAATGCACAAAAAGTCAAATAACAGAAGAATTAGAGACACTACTTCGCTATGTCTTTATTTATTCTTTTTACAATATAACAGGAAATATATTAAAGATGATAACACACGTGGTGAACGATAATTACCACATCTTCAGCAACAAATTGTGTAGTAATTATTATAAATAATTGCATACCCAATTTCTCTCAATTGTTTATTCACAACAGACGGATGTTGCTTTTTGATGAACGAAAACGTTATCGCAGCTTCTTTACGCACTGATAAAATAATAAAATGCCGCACGACACCACAGCACGTTAATTCTTAGTAAAATTTACCAAGAGGAACGATAATCATATGTAAGTGTAAAGATAAAAGAAAATAGACTAGACCGATGCATGCAGCTATTCTTCATATTGAGCGATTTAAGTTTTAGTTACTTCAAATTTTGCTTTATGCACTTTTACTTTGCAAGAATTATTCCAGTTAGGCGAATAACACATTCGATTTGTGAGCTCCCGTCTAGTAGAAATTGTTAGTTATATTCACAATTTGTGTAAAATTCCATAATTCATAATACACAATTGAACAGGAGACCCAATTAACTTTTTTGTTATTTGGACATTTTTGTGTGTGCTTTGTATACATGTGTGTGTATGTAATGGTGATTTATTACGTAATGGTCTATCGCTGAACAGGTGGTGCCATTGGAAGACCCGAAGAGTTCACACCAGACAAAGCTGTGTTAGGGCCTAAGAGAACTTGCTTTTGTTGTGTACGTTGTAGGTCTTCCATTTGTGCACGTTCCATCTCGAAAATAATTGGTGCGAAGAGAATGGTGGATGAACTAAATATCAGCCATGTAGCTGAACACGAATACGAGTATAAACCTATAAAAAGATATATTTACACAAACATACAATTTATTCTTGTCTTATATTATTTCAAATTCTGTCATATTTTAAGAATTATATGTATTTTCAGATAAAAGCAATGTTACCTTTGGCACATGTGCACAGGCAGGTTCCAACATTGTATCCAAAATTGCGTACTGGTTCAGGAAACATTTCAGTGAGTCCTAATAATCTTTCTGTTAAGCTTTCATCCTAAATGCAAACATTTTATTAATAGAAATCTCCTAAATCTCAATTTATTATTAAGAAAACCATCAAAAATTCCTTATTTATAAGATAATCATACATCTATAAATGTTTGAATTCATCCATGAACTCTAATTATTAGTTGAAAGAACGTATCTCATGTACTTCATAACATAAGCAATAGTTTGTTCATACGTCTGTCTATACTGATAAAACTATAATTTATTCTTTCTTTTAGTTATTATTAAAGGATGCTTGATCCTTGATATTTCAACAAAGTAAAATTACATGTAATAACAAGAACACTCTTTTAAAGCATCCATTTTTCAATACATGCAAAAGATTGTGTTTATATGTACAGGGCAGTGATGTATGATTATCCTATAAGGAAATATTATTTCTCTTTAGTATGAACACTATTGTCCGTACTTCCTCATCATCGTCCTCGTCATCGTGGAGGAGCGATTTCACCTCGGGGGAGCGCCCGTCGCTGCTGCCCATGCCGCTGTCGACCTGATGATCCAATTCCTCAACTGAAGCCATATACACAAAGATATATGTAAACGCGTTTCGTTTGTCGAGTATATTTCAAGAATAACGTGGCCGAAGATCCCGCTAACGGCGACGAGCAAGCACGTTCAGCACGAAGCGCCGTGTACTCTCTTTATCTCCCACGCTACGACGATAGAGCGTGCTCCGGCCAACAGCGCGCCGGTACAACGCGACTCAAGTTTCGGACACGCGCGCGATTCGAAATTGAATGAAAATGAATGGAATGCAAACGAATGAATTCGTACTTTTGCTGCGAAATGAGATCTTCCGTACTGCTGCCCATGCTGCCATTCCCCCTGCGTGCATCGATCTCGATCGTGGCAGATTTTTCTTCACGTTGTAGGACGCGAAGGAGGAAACTATGCGAACTATGTGAAATTCGCGATATGTATCAAAGTTCGCGTAGTTGCGTAACGCTCGCGATAAGCAGGGATGCTCAAATCGTTGCAAATATTTAAAAGATCGCATAAAATACTTATTTATTGACACATTCGAAAATGCAATATATTGTTTGGAATTTTTATTCAGCTTTTATTCGATCTAAAAATAATTCCCGATGTTAAAGATTGAACAATCGTAATCGTAGCAAAAGAACAGTAAGAGAATCAAAATAGTTACTTTTTGATTTTCTCCAGTAATTCAATCAGAAAAAGTGGAGTTTCGAAATGTTGCAATTCGAGAACATCTACGTAGAGCAATGCGAAGTAGTCGCAATAGCGACCATGTGTTTTCCTACGCGGATCAATTGCATAAATCTAAAAACTAGAAAATCTCTATGTCTAAAATGTGGATGTTTCTTTTCTTTCCTTTGATTTACAAATAGAATCACCAGAATGACTCCGGTCGCTTCAAGCACGACAGCATCAATCTCTTTCGCCGGCATAGGATTTGTATTTTCATTTGCATCCACATTCCGAGAATTTGGAATGCCTATTGCGAGGCGTATGGCAAGCATGGCCGCGCCTGCAGCGGAATAAACGTCGTCCCGAGCGCTGCTATTCGCGATCGTCCATACGGCGGGTAATGTTCATCTCGCGGTATCCGATCATCATTTCGTCGTAATGCGGAATCCGGCGCCGGAACACGCTCAAGCGCGGTGCGACAGTTGAAGCGAGGCGAGGCCGGTTATCGCGCGCCGCATGGCGCGATAAGATCGTGCGACAAGATTGTAGTTTGGTCGGATGGACGCGGCGCGCCGCGTCTACTGCGACACTTAGCGGTACTGGTGTTTTCGTATTTTGGTATTCGTTGTCGTCGCCGTCATCGTGCAACGACCGCTCGACGCGATGGCGAACACCGGAGTGTTACCGTTCGTGCGAGGCGTAGACTTCAGCAGCAACGACTTCGGCGTAAGTATTTGTCCTCGGTGATTTAACAAAGTTAACCTTAGAGTCAGGAGAGGCTTTGAAGTATTCAGTTACATATATTTTTGTATTTTTTGTTTAGAATTTTGTGTATATTTATTTGTGACTTTGTCAATGTATTTATATAATAATAGGTGTTTTTAATGTATAAATAGAATTAATATATATCTCTGCTCCAGTACAAAAACACTTAATAGCTGAATGATAATCCACTTTTAATCTGTCATGTAATGTCTCAGTGTTTAATCATGATGAGATTTAGAATTAGTCATACAAATCAACTTCTTATGATAAAGATTATTTTAATATTTTCAGGATGGCAAATTTCCTGAATCCATGCGTCTTATGACTGGAATACAATGGCTGAAATTAGACAAAACAAATTTGACAGAGATTCCAGAGGAGATGGGCAAATTGTTAAAATTGGTAAATAAAATTTAATATAAAATAATATTTAAAATATCTAATAATATTTATATCATTGTTCATATATTTAGTTCAAAAGAATTATAGTGTTATTTAAATGTGATTTAATTATCTGTCATCAGGAACATCTGTCACTTGTCAAAAACAAGTTGGAACGTTTGTATGGAGAATTGACAGAATTGGGATGCCTTAGAACGTTAAACATAAGGCATAATAATATCAAGTCTAGTGGTATACCGGCAGAATTGTTTCATTTAGAGGAACTGACAACGTTAGATTTAAGTCACAACAATTTGAAGGAGGTACCTGAAGGCCTGGAGAGAGCACGTTCCTTGCTCAATCTTAATTTAAGCCATAATCAGTATGTATAAACAAATAACAGCAAATTGTAATTTGCAATTGATTGTAGATATTAAGAAAAATCTAATATGTTTGTTGTTTTAGTATCGAGACTATACCAAATACATTGTTTATCCATTTGACGGATTTATTGTTCTTGGATCTTAGTCATAACAAGTTAGAAACTGTGCCACCACAAACTCGACGATTGGCCAACTTACAGACTTTAAATCTGAATCATAATCCTTTAGGTCATTTTCAATTAAGGTAGGCAAAAATGTTGATTGCATCGGTATCTTCATCAAAACAAACTTTTCCCAATAAGAATTCTTCATTTTCTATTATTTCAGACAACTGCCATCACTGATGAATTTAACGACGCTACAAATGCGGGATACACAACGAACATTGAACAATATACCCTCTAGTTTAGAAACCCTAACCAATTTACAAGAACTCGATTTGTCGCAGAATAATCTACCCCGAGTGCCTGACGCGCTTTATTCCTTATCGAATCTTCGTCGTTTAAATCTCAGTGACAATCAGATAACGGAATTGTCAACGGCGATCGGTGATTATATTGTTGCAATCATCTTGTGTATATAATTTTTTGAGTAGAATAATAAAGGGACACATTTTCCAGAACTGTGGACGAAATTGGAGATTCTAAATGTGTCACGAAACAAATTAAGTGCAATACCGGCTTCTCTGTGCAAGATTTCTACATTAAGAAGATTATATTTAAATGATAATGAATTAGATTTTGAGGGCATACCTTCTGGAATTGGAAAATTATCGTTGCTGCAGGTATTCTCTGCCGCTAATAATCACTTAGAAATGATACCAGAAGGGCTATGCAGGTGACAATCTTTTTATTATTTTTTCTTCATCGAAAATATACAGATTTTTCTTTAATGTAATATTGTAAAATCAAACGTTTTTTCAGATGTGGCTCGTTAAAACAATTGATATTAACATCAAATCGATTGATTACCGTTCCGGACGCTATTCATCTCCTTACCGATCTAGATCAGTTGGATTTGCGGGACAATCCAAATTTAGTGATGCCACCAAAACCGATGGAAGCACAAAGGGGATCGGGCATCGAATTTTACAATATTGATTTTTCGTTGCAACATCAGTTGCGTCTCGCCGGAGCTAACGTACCAGTTCCAGTTCAAACTGCTAGTACGTATTACACTTATCAGATACGAATCAATCAGTGACATAAAATGAAAAGATCTAAAATATTTTATTTAAACAAATACGTTTTTTATTACAGACAGCAAAGATCCAATCGCGCGTAAAATGAGATTAAGAAGAAGGAGAGATGAAGCTGATCAGCTAAATCAGGCTAAAATACTTAAGGTTTGCCTCATTGTCTCATTAATTATATGGCTATGTTTATGCAGAGAAACATATTAATTATGATTGTTTTCAGGGCATGAAGGACATAGCGAAAGAGAAGAACAAAGATAAGGAATGCGAGGAATCGAAAGCAGAATCCTTAAAGTGAGTGGAGCTTTACGCATGTATTATACTATAGTTTTTTTGCGTGAATTTTTTTTACGCTCATATGACTAATTGATAAACAATTTTGTTAGACCCAAACGATGGGACGAAGCTTTAGAGAAGCCACCGCTAGATTATTCCGAATTTTTCGACGAGGATGCTGGTCAAATACCCGGGCTATCCGTCTGGGAGATAGAAAACTTCCTGCCGAACGAGATCGAGGAAGTGGCGCACGGCAAGTTTTACGAGGGCGATTGTTACATCATCCTAAAAACCGGGATAGATGAAGGTGGATCGTTGACCTGGGCAATCTATTTCTGGATTGGAGAAAAGGCGACAGTACGTGTATTTTTAAACTAGCGCAAATAAAAAAAAAAAAAAAAACAAGACTAAGTGCTAGAGAATCATTCCAGATTCGCACACGAATCGTACACAATTAATTTAATTATAATGCTTCAACAGCTGGATAAAAGAGCGTGCGCGGCGATTCACGCTGTAAATTTGAGGAACTACTTAGGCGCACAATGTCGGACAATCAGAGAGGAGCAGAGCGATGAATCGGACGAATTCCTGATGCTATTCGATTCGGGTATCACCTACATCGAGGGCGGTCGTACGTCGTCCGGTTTTTACACGGTGGAAGACACGGTGAGTGTCTAATTCTTTATCGTGATTGAACTTTCGAAGAGTTTAAATTGTGTTAACGTCACGTTTCTTTCTTCTTTTTTTTCAGCCAGCGATCACTCGTTTATACAGAGTACACGCGGCGGGAGCTTCTATACACTTGGAACCGGTTCCAGTCTGCGTCGAATCTCTCGATTCTGGTTACGTATTTGTTCTCGACACGGGGAGTAAGATATTTATGTGGTATGGAAAGAAAGCGAAGAGCACGTTAAAGTCGAAGGCGAGACTGATGGCGGAGAAAATTAATAAGAATGAACGGAAAAATAAGGCCGAAATTATAATGGAAGTCATGAACACCGAATCGGAAGATTTCCTGTCGCATTTAGGCGTGAAGGAGCATGAACAGAAAAATCTACAAATTGTTGTAAGCTCCATTTTTTTTTATGATTTAACAATAAACAAGAATTATTTTACAGTTGTAAGCATAGATTTGAAATTTTACATATTTATTTTGCTTCTAATATATGCAATTATGTTTTTAATCTTATTATTATAATAACAATCGTTTGTTTCTCTTTTCAGGAACATGTGGATCCCAACTTTATGCCTTTCGTACCTAGATTGTATCAAGTCCAACTTGGCATGGGTTATCTGGAACTACCGCAGATCGAGGTTCCTCATGGAAAATTAACGAACACCTTGTTAAACAATCGCAATGTGTATATATTAGATTGTTATTTAGATGTATATGTTTGGTAAGTGTGCTTGATGTTTGTAAAAGAATATGCTTAAGCTACTCTAATGTCTAATATATACACGAACCATGCACATAATTATAGGTTTGGTAAAAAGTCGACAAGATTAGTACGCGCCGCTGCTGTGAAGCTGTCTCAAGAATTATTCAACATGATAGAAAGACCAGATTACGCGATGGTAACGAGATTACAAGAGGGCACCGAATCACAGGTACAAATATATTTATTGGTTTTTAATCTCCTAACTCAATTTATAATTCCTCTTTAACGAAATTTTTGCTTTATGCATTATGTAGATCTTCAAATCTAAATTTACTGGGTGGGACGAAGTTATTGCTGTGGACTTCACAAGAACCGCTGAGTCAGTCGCTAAAACTGGAGCAGATCTCACTAAATGGGCTAAGCAACAGGAAACAAAAGTATGTTTAAATACATTTTATAAGAATTTTCATTTAATAAATTTTTACTTACTAATTTTTTTCTACCACTTTTTCAGGCGGATTTGGCTGCTTTGTTTATGCCGCGGCAGCCATTGATGTCGGCTGCGGAAGCGCATCAACTAATGACAGAGTGGAATGACGATTTGGAGGGAATGGAAGCGTTGGTGTTGGAGGGGAAAAAATTCGTACGCTTACCGGAAGAGGAATTAGGACATTTTTACAGCGCGGATTGTTACGTTTTCTTATGTCGATATTGGATGGTATGTAGATATATCACTATTGATGCAAAGTTGTAAAATTTGTCGATAAACTGTCACGCATTGTTGTTTAAATCAGCCATTGGATATAACGGAGAATGAAGACGGCGAGGAGCAAGATGAAGACGATTATCAGTGTACAGTGTACTTTTGGCAAGGCAGAGATGCAGGAAACATGGGATGGCTGACTTTCACATTTAGGTGAAGATTCTAGATATATTTATCTGCGATTATCTCTGCAAGATGAATGATATTTATAGTATTATCTCTTTCAGCTTGCAAAAGAAATTTAAATCGCTGTTCGGCGAAAATCTGGAGGTTGTGAGGACACATCAGCAACAAGAAAATCTAAAGTTCATGAGTTACTTCAAACGGAAATTCATCATTCATCAAGGCAAACGTAAGCAGCCGAAAACTGCGGGCAATAACAAAGTGGAGTTTTATCATTTGCGAAGTAACGGCAGTGCCTTATGTTCTCGGCTCATTCAAATATCGGCAGATTCGACGTTATTGAATTCTGCTTTCTGGTGAGATGCATATGATACTAAATATACATAACTGTCTCCCGTTTATATTATGTATTTCATCTTTTTCCTTTTTTTTACAGTTACCTCTTAAATGTGCCATTCAATAATTCTGACGAAGGAACTGGTATCGTGTATGCGTGGATTGGATCGAAATCTGATCCCGAAGATGCTCGTTTAATTGGAGAAATAGCAGAGAAAATGTTCAATAATGTGAGTTAAATAATGAAATAACTTTTCTAAAAACTAGGATATTTTGTTTCCTTTTAAGTAAAACAATTCTTGTGTATCGTTAATGAACGTGAATAATTTAATACAGCCGTGGATAAGCCTGCAAGTGCTAAATGAAGGCGAGGAACCAGATAACTTCTTTTGGGTGGCACTTGGAGGGAAGAAACCATATGACACTGATGCGGAGTTTATGAATTACACAAAGACTATTTAGATGTTCCAATGAGAAAGGATACTTTACAATCAGCGAAAAGTGCACTGATTTTTGTCAGGTAAATTCTTAATATAAGAAAATATTCTAATATTAACAATTTTTCAATAATGTGACAAAATTAAATTTTTATAGAACGACAGATGAATAACATTTGTGTTATTTTTTGCAGGATGATTTGGCAGATGATGATATAATGATCCTTGATAATGGAGAACAAGTGTTTCTTTGGTTAGGTACTCGTTGTTCAGAAGTTGAAATCAAATTAGCTTACAAGTCAGCTCAGGTGAGTTTTATAAATTCAGTTCTCGTAGAAATATCGTCGAAAAATATCCCGTTACAAAATAAATTAATTCTGAATAATTAGAGGACGATGCAGAATATTGAATGGATTAATATTTCATTCTTTTTGTAGGTATACATTCAACACTTGCGCGTGAAGCAACCTGAAAACCCTCGTAAATTATTTTTAACTGCCAAAGGTAAGGAATCCAAAAGGTTCACGAAATGCTTTCACGGTTGGAGTTTACACAAAAAGTCGCCACAGTAAAATCGAGTCAGTTTTCACTACGCTTACTGTTCGGAATAGTTTTATATGCAGGCAGAAATAGACACAAGCGCAACATTCTTATATTTACAGGTTTATAATTATCGCGATCTTGTTAATACACTTTGCGTACCGACTAAATAGAAGTCAAATCATCGCAATAATCTGTGTATCTTCGATGCAAGCGATTTAGATCAGAAAACGCGATAATTTTTCATTAAATAACAACGGATCTAACTCGTAAAGTCTACATTTTTGCGTTTGCTTTTTTGCTTTTGACTCATTAAATAATTATTCACTGGCTTTTTTCCTAAGTACATGTTATTACGCATTAATCTGCTTGATGTATATAATTTAATCAAAAAAATGTTTTTTTATTAATACGGGCACTTTTTCAAGTTAGTCTCATTTCTTAATTTATTCGGATACAAGTATAAAAAAATTGTCTCTTTGTACTTGCATTCTGGAATTCAATATTCTCTGTGATGCGATTCTCTTGTATTTTATTTTACACCACAAAAAGAGACTCGTCTGCTTTAATCGTTACAATCCGCGTTCTATGTATTGAACAAGATTTATTTATTTATTTATACACATATGTATTTCCATATTTATGAACTTTCATACTGATTAGACTGTGTATCTACTTTTATTTCTTGCAATTTTGTATTTCAGACAATGTAATTGTAAAAATTTTTAAAAATTATTCAAATTGTGATACAAGTTTTTATCGTTGAATTATAATATCAAAGAAAAGTTTTTTCTTCTTTGAAAAATGTCAATTCTTTTAAGAAGCATAGATTGATTGTCTTTATAGGATAATTCTGAGCAGATTGTTGAAAATCTATCAACAAATTACAAAACTTGTGACTATTAAAGACTGAAAAAGATACATGTAATTATAATCGCATATACGTCTGATTTTATAACACCGCCCGATTGTACAGATGCCATAATGAGAGCGTTTTGTATTACTTACACTGTATTTAACATAAATCAATTTATTTATGGATATAATATATAGATTTATAAATACATAGATTTTGTAAAAGCTCTATCTAATTATCAACAATTATATAAATAAATATTTCTATGATAATTTACATAATCTCAGGTATTTAAGAGCATATCGTAAGTAAGACCTAAATTGTGTAAGTGAAGAGATTCTTCTCTTCCCTTGTTATTTGACGTCGTGCAATTGCTGCTTTAGCATCGCCACGACATCAAGCTTGATTCTGAAAATAAGCCATACAATAATAATAAAATTCCAATATATGTTAGAAGAATACATAACAATTTTTCACATAGCTGTCAGTGATTTTGCATCGATAGATTTCTACAGTTATCATACATCTACCTATATACATCTATCATAAATTAATTAATTACAAGTGAAAGTACCATTAGCGTTAAAAGCACAACTAGTAGCTGAATACTTTCAACAATCACAACTGAATGCAATACTGATTGCTCTACTAGTCGTCATCGTCGTCATCGTCGTCGGAAGGAACGAAAAGATCGTTCTCTTCCAGGAAATTGGCTATATTCTTGCTGATTGTGGCACCGACCAGAAGGCCGAACACGATGCTGCTGACAACGCCCAGGAAGCTGAATGGAGTTCTCTTTGGCTCGGGCAGAATTGCTCCGGATGGTGTGGTTATCGATGACCGAAGAAATGGCTTGGATATCACTTTTGTCGCATTATCTCTGAGGACAATTTTCGCGCCGCGAAATAAAGACGTTGCCCGATGCAACAGCATTCTCTTCCCACCGAGGTTTATTTTCGGTGACAGCTAATCGCGCACTCCTTTTTCGGTTTTCGCGAGCCGGTAAAATTTAGCACATCCCTGACTGAGGTCACTAAACACTATAGTTATACTCGGTGTTAGCTTGAAAAAGCCCTAAAAGTTCTGCAGTAATTTTTTATAGTTTTTCCACGTCCGTCTGTTGGCAATCTAATATCAGTCCATAGGGATTTATTAGTTTTTTAATATTCATATTGGTAATACTGCACCACGTTGGATGGCCGAATTCTCAGCGAGGTGATTCAAAACCTAAAAAATATTTCTTTTGCAAGACAACAGATGACGAGTGTAAATTAGATTAGAATCATGTTCTATGTGATAGGATTAGGGCTGGGTGATGCGAAGGATGTCACCGTTAAAGGGCTCGAAATTATCAAGAAATGCGACCGTGTGTATTTGGAGTCCTACACCTCTATCTTGACAGTACAACAACAAACTTTGGTTTGTAATATGTTCTATTAAACGACAAATTATAAAAATGAAATAACAGTGAAATGTATATGAAATTTTAACAGTAAAGAATCAATTGCGTATCTTTAATCTAAAATATATCAAATATAATGTTTATCACTTGTCATATTTATGTATACTAGGAAGAGTTCTATGGACGTCCCCTTATCGCAGCTGATCGTGAGCTAGTGGAGAATGATGTAGATGAGATATTGCCAAAGAGAGTAGATGAAGATGTTGCTTTCCTAGTTGTTGGGGATCCCTTTGGTGCTACCACGCATACAGATTTAATTCTGCGTGCTAAGGAAAAAAATATACAGGTGATAAGAGACAGAAATATTCGTTAAAATCTAAAATTAGTTTTAGGAAGTATTATTATTTTATTATTTGCACGTGTAATTAATAAAGATTAAGAATAATATATGAAAAATATATAATATATTAAGAATTATGAAATATCTAAGAACTATCTAAGAATTATCTAAGAACATTATATTTTTCATCAGGTAAAGGTTATACACAATACATCAATCTTGACTGCAGTTGGTTGCTGTGGTTTACAATTGTATTCGTATGGAGAAATTGTTTCAATTCCATATTGGACTGAAACCTGGCAGCCAAATAGTTTTTACGAGAAGATAGCTTCTAACAGACAAAGAGGCCTGCACACACTGTGTCTTTTAGACATCAAAGTTAAGGAACCTACTTTAGAAAGTATTTTTAAAGAAGAAAAAAGAATATATGCCTCCGAGATACATGAGTGTCAATGAGGCAGCCAGTCAACTGATACGAATACTCGATAATAAGCTCCAAGATGGTCAAGAAGATTTAGGTTTGTAGCAGTAAACAGTTCTATTAGAGAAATATAATATTTCCAGTCAGTAGCATGAAAATAATAATTAATATTTAGTAAATAAAATTTAGTAAATAAAATATAATTAATCTTTGGCTAATGTATATTTATTCTCGAATAATAATAATATTCTGATTTTAATCTTTGGCAGCGTTCACACATCAAAGCTTGGCAGTGGGTTTAGCGCGAGTGGGCTGTGAGGACCAACATATTGTTGCTTGCTCCCTGCAAGATATGACGCAAATCGATTTAGGAGCGCCGCTGCACTGCCTAGTCATACCGGCTAAAAAACTACATCCCCTCGAAGTCGAATTTCTAATGCAATATGCTCTTGACGAAAGTCAATTTAAAGAAATGACAAAATAAATGTTATTTTTTTTAATCCAATGAATAGAATAAATTATTTTTCACTCAACTTAAAGTTATTATAAAATATGTTAATTGTATCATACTTATTAGAGAGATAAGAAGCATATTTGAACTGCAAAGTCTACCAGTTGCAAGTATATTTAGAAAAGACATTACATAATCAATTAAAAGTTGCATTTTATTTTTTTAATAGTATTTTAATTCAAAATATTGATTTTTTATTCTATTTCTAGAAATTTATATTTATCATTTAGAGATGTACTTTCTCAGAGATATAGTTAATTATAAATCTATTTTTAATATAATTTTTTGTTTCATATTTTTGCAACTTTTATACCGAAATCTAGTTTCTGTCTTAAGAATATTGCATGATAAACCTTACAAAAAGCACTTGTCGTAATTATTGAATGTTCAATATTCTCGTTTATATATCCGGGGGAGTAAAATGGCGATTCACTACATCGTTTCACGGGACCGTCACGAAAGATAGAGAAATACGCTACTGTGTATTGACTGCTTATTTATATACAAACTACATTATTATTCCACTCTCTCCGACTCGGTTCCATATTTTATATATGTACATTCTGCGGCGTAGTCACGTGGCTATACGTCAGAGCCAAGTAATCAATGGACAAACATCGACCACCGCCGGTCGTGACGAGGCTGGTATCGGTGATTCAGTTGTGCCATGGGGGTGCACTCGCTCGGTGGTGACCCTTCTGCCCTTTTGCTTCCTCCAGTAGATCCACCGGTTTCCAGGACTTAAAAGATAGCGACATTCGTGCTTCAATTTATGGTATCAGTTATCATACTTTGACTGGAATCGTATGAACACCCTTATCTTGTATGATAATATTGCACTTCGACACGCACGCATATGTATATGCACATTGTATCTCACATTGTAATTGTTTTTGCAGAAATATATGCTTTAATTAATTATGATAATCTCATTTACATTATATTCACCAATCAATTTACTTGATAATATATCAGCACGACCGCAAATAAAAATGCCTTTTGCTGCACATAATATAACTAAATAAAAAGATTTTAATTTAGAATCAAATAAAAAATGCAATCTTGAATAGAAAAATGTTAACAAACACGTTCAGAAATATTTTATTAAAAATTTGCTGCTAAAAAACTAGAGTATTTTTTTTTTTATATTATATACAAAATGCGGCTTATAATTTAATGAAAAGCACGAATGCGCAAAAATAATTTTAAAAGAGTTCAAAAACGATTGCATTTTCTGTAATCACGCAAGCTGTTAAATAATCTTAATTTTTTTTTTATTTAAAACATTTAGAGCGCAAATGCAAGTTGCCTGGAAGGATCGCGCTAGAGCTGTCTTCAAATAAAAATGTATTCCTCAATGCATCGATGCTTGATACGTTACAATCAGTCGTAACGGAAGGACTGCCGCAAATAGCTGAATTATGTATAGACAAAGAATATTGAAAGTAGCATTACGTAGTATAGCAACACAATGTTGAGCCCGACTCCGTCGATCGATCGTCCCAGACTACATCCTGGCACAGGATACCTCATCGCCCCGCGAGTGCCACGCGGACTCGCAGCCGTGGTCGAAGGGCTCACGAGAGAGGTTCTACGTCATCGTCCTGAGGACATATACGTCTTTGCGGCCCACCACTTCGAGAAGCTGCTAAAGCTACGAGAGCAGTATCACACCGAAGAATACAGCGGCCGCGAGTACAACCATGAATTTAGTACCCGCGAGTTCAATCTGTGGCCCACCAAAGAAACCAAAGAAATCAGAAAGTCTCCGAATAGCAGCTGGTCCTTGGAGAAGGAGGTCGAGATCATCGAGAACCGCAAGAAGGTATCCAATAATGCGGCTGAGAGCCGGGAGAACGTTTCAACTGATAGAGAAAATCGGAAAGCGTCGAAGCAAACATGTTCGAAAGATCCTTCGACCACGAAGAGAATCTCGAAAAAGTTGAAAGAGAACGAGACGACGTCGGAGGCTCGCGCGACAAGAATCATCTCGCATATGTCCGCTCTTCACGGTCCCGGCAAGAATATTCAGACCAAGGATATCAAGCAGGAACTCAGGAAGAACAAAATAAGCGGTGACAAGGCGAAGGCGACCAATGGGGCGGAGAAAGGTGTTCGCGGCGAAAGACGATCCAAGACGAGGGTTTCCAAGTCGGATAAAAGTGCTGAAGAGGAGGCCGACCGCGCCACTACGTCAACAACGACGACGAGTTCAAGTAGAACCTCCGCTCGGAGACCCTTGAAGAAGGTGCGGCGAATCGAGACTGAATCTGAGACCGAGACGGAGCGTGAAGTCGCGGCTAAGTTGGAAAATAAGTATGATAATTTATAAAATAAGTATGCATTGTAATTAATTAATTTTTTATTGCACAATCAATTTTTAAATTAAATAAGAAATAAAAACTTGAAGATTGCAAATTCTCTTTTTAATTAGCAGATCGAGCGTCAAGAGTAACAGTGCGAGCTGCGAGACGATTGCTCGAACCGGAAGCGGGGAGAGGAGATCGGAAGCACGGCTCTCCGCACATTCCTTCGAGAGGAAAGTATCGTCGAGAGCGCTCAGCATGGACCGCATCCGCGCGTACGTGTTGCGTAAGTTCGCGAGTACGGCGAGTCTCGAGGTTCTCCGATCGCCAACGTACGTGGAACAGGTGCAAGAGGTGATCGATCGCGCGGCGCCGATCATCAAGGAGAAGCTGGAGGAGATCAGGAGGCCGCGGGGAAAGCGCTCGAGATCGGTCGATCTTGCCTGGAACGACGAATCGTTTCGCCAGGACGTTCGAGACGGAAGGAAACGCAGCGTTAACGAGGAAGAAGCAGGCGCGAGAAAGAAAAGCGGAAATGAATCGGAAAGTGACGCGAAGAAAGAAGAGAACGAAAGGTCTGTTGGAAAAGACGAGGTAATTCTGAACGCGGAAGGAGAGAAGAAAAAAGCGAGGAAGAGCAGCGGATCGGGCAAAAGATCGAGAAGGCGCAAAAATAACAGCCACGGCGACTTCGAGGTCGTCGATCAAGTCGACAGCAGCTCGAAGCACAGCGATAAATCAGAACAAGAGTCCGATGCGACACGCGATACCTTGGAAGCGAGATTAACCGCCACGCAGAATATCTTAGAAGACATTTCGAAATCGACGTGCGAATTGGGCGGCGCTCGCAAGATTGATTCCGCCGCGAGCGAACCGGCGGAGTCGGAAGTTTCCGATCATGTGAACATCTCCTTGCCGGTCGTAAGACCGCCGTCCTCCAGAAATTCTAAAAGTGCCACCAAAAACGGTTCCGATAATCTGACGCTACCGCCGATCTCGCCGGAAGCTCCAAAGTCGACGAAAAAGAAAGACGATCTGTCTTTGCCGGTTCTGCCGGCAGCTAACGGCAATCATTCCGCTAGGAAGTCGCAGGAGCAGGACGTTTCCAAGGATGCCGAGGAAGCCTCAACGACGCGCGATATTACGAGTGATATAGAAGACACAGCAATCCTTCCTGAAGACGTAATTGTAGATGCACAGAAGGATTCCAGCAATGATCGCCAGGACTTAATATCAGATGTAAAAATTATTGACGAAGAAAAACGTGGAAAAGATGTGGAGGAATTTCCTCGAAAAGATGAGATTTTCACTGAGAAACGCGGAAGTCTCGAGGAATTTGAAGAATTGGAGCAATTTGAAAAAGAGAAGGCGGAGGAAGTCTTTAAGGACAGCTTGAATGTTACACCAGAAGTACTAGATGTGCCATCGAGACCGGATTCGTTGGAACCTGATGACCAAGGTGAGAAACTTCAAGATGACGATCTTGCGCAAGATAACGCGTTTGACGGCTTGAAAAACAAACTGATCGAGATTGAGATGGCAGAACGGAGTATCGAGCAGGCGTTGGCTGGTCAACAGATCACGACGTATGACGGTGGCAAAGTGACGAGTCAAGCAGAAAAGTCGATGACTGACGGCACGATAAATGAAGCGGGAGAGACAGCTAATGAGGTGGAAGAGGTTGCAAGTGAAATAGAAAAATCGACGGATGAGGGAAAAATATTAATGAATAAAGACAACGAGGGAGAGAAGGACGATGACAAGAAAAGAAAAAAATCAGTAAATGAAATAGAAAAAATAGAGAATATAATAAAAATATCAATAGATAAACCGGATAACTCATCGAATAAAACAGAAAGATCGACAGATGAAATGGAAGAAAAAGTGAAAGATAAAGTGACGGAATCGACGAGTAAAACAGAAAATTTAAGCACAACAGAAAAATCAACAAATAAAATAGAACAAATGAAGAATAAAGTAGAGACATCGATTAATAAAATAGAAAATTTAACAAAAATAGCAGAAGAATCAGTGAGTGAAATAAAAAAATCGACAAACAAAACAAGTGAAAAAGAAATATCAAAGAATGGAATAAAAGAATCAAAGCACCAAGCGGAAATATTAGAATCCAAAGAACTAATCGAAGATGAAAAATCGACGAATAGATCTGAAAAATCGACAAACAAGAAATTGTCAAATGTCGTAGAAGAATTAGCAGTTAAAGTTCAAGATACGCAATCTATAAATTCGAGATCATTGCGCAAAGATAAAATTACTGAAACAGTCGTTTGCGAAACGGACGATGATAACAACACGGCGTCAAAAAGCGAAGCTAAAAATGCGCCAAATGAGCTTTCTAAAGCTTCAACGGCCGGAAACGCAGCGATTGAGGGCGAAATTTCAATGACAAATCTTCGGGGCGAGAGTGGCAAGACAAAAGAGCGAAGGAAACGCGAAACAGGCAAATTACCAGCGACGTCGCCGCTTTCTCTAGACATTCCGTACTCTTACGTTCTCAGCGAGGGCTCTCCGTGCGAGATTCCCGATTCCGTGACGACAGTAATTATCCCGGACAGGCCGTGTTCGTCTCCCGTGATTGCAGACAATAGTCAGCTCGCGTCAACGAAAGAATCGTTTATTCGCTCCAATATTACGGATAAGATTTCCCAGGACGAAGCACGGAAAAAGGATCGGGGTGCAGCATACGGCATGGAAGCTTTCGGCGAGCATATTCATCCGGAAGTCGCTGTTCTACCTGTCGACATCGATTTCGTGCGTGGCAAAAGAGGAGTAAGAGCGAGTCAGGACTTACTGATCGCACATCAGGATTTGGATAGAATCAAGGAGGAAGGTGAAGAAGAGGAAGAGAGAGAGGACAAAGGAAAAGAGACAGAGATCCATCGAGAAAAGGAAGATGACAAACAAACTGTCGTGCAGGATAAGGAAAAACTCGCTGGAACGCTGGAAAATATTGCGGAACACGAGAACGAAGAAACCGAGAAAGTGACTGCAGGATTCAAGGATACTGAGGAGATTCCGTCTTCCGATGTTCCCGAGCAGGAATCTCCTTTTGATACCATGGAATTGATACTTGATATTAATTCAGGGGACGAAGGAAAAGTGGACGTTGCCGTAGAGTGCAAGAGCACGCTGGAGAACTCATCAGAAGAGAGCGGGAGTACGCAGGACACTCGCACGACTACGTCGAGCGACGTGAAGGAGAGCACTGCGAGCAACCGATCGGGAGTCGAGAGTCCGAGTACGGGGGCACCGATAGTACCGGAATTGAATCTGGATTCTCTTCTGGACAACACAGTGTCGTCTTTCAAGATAACGGCGAACGATACGGTGACGAGAGAGGACAACGGCAGCGCTAAAGAGAGCGACACCACGATGTCCTTGATCGAGCCGTTGACTTCGGACGAAATGAATCAGTTGATACTGGCCGATGCCGAAGAAGATCTCGTCGCAGAAGAGCTCACGGAGAGTTTATTACGCGAACTGCAGGCGGAAGAACAAGCTGCGCAATCGCTAGAAGCTGATCAATCGTATCGAGAAGAGCACGCGGAATACGAATGGTTGGAGAAAGATCCGTTGCTCGAAACTAATTTAAAGGCTGACGTGAAATCTCAGGACAGCATTGGTTTAAAAGGCTCGCCGGAAGACGCACAAGTTGCTCAAGTTTCGGAGGAAAAAGAGAAGGAATTAGACAGCGAAGAGGAAATTGCGAAAGAATTGATAAGTTCGCTGGATAAAGATATGCAAATTCGCACTTCAAAAGAGGAATCTAAAGATAATGGAGACGATGTTAAGAGCAATTTAAATGTGAACGATAAATCGAATCAATCTGTACACTCAATAACGATTGATGAACCGGAAAAAAAAGAACATGAAGTTTCTTCGGAAAGAATTGAAACATTAGATGATAAAGAGGGTGTCAAGACTGAAATAGTCAGCGAATTATCAAGTTCCATAGCGGATGATAGAGATAAAGATATTGCAATAACGAACAAAGAAGCCGAAGAATCTAAATTGGAAATAAAAGAACAAATAGAAACTGAAAAAGCTGCGCCTTTAGCTCAATTTGAGCAGGAATTGTTAGAACAAAATAGTAGACCGGAAACAGCTGATAAAAAATTAGTCAAAAATGAGTCTGCGAATGCTATCGATAATCAAGAAAAACTTGAAGACAAACAAGCAAATATTGAAGTTTTAGAAAATGAAAGCAGCAAAAGTGTGAGTAAAATTGAAGAATTAAATATAAAGCATGAAGAAAATAACCAAGAAAAGTTGCAAGATCAGAAAGAAGAATTGAATAATCGAGAAGAACGTGAGCAAAAAAAATCGGAAATTCAAGAAGAATGCGAGCAGAACAAATTAAACATTCAGGAAAAAAATAGTCAAGAAAATTCAGAGTCACAAGAAAAAATTGTAGATGTGCAAGCAGAGCCTTTAGAAACAGCAGAATCGAGAAAAGACTCGATAAACGAATCGACGAAAGACAACGATAAACACGAAGAGACTAAGTTAATTAAACATGATGAATTTGTCACTAACGATCAGGTGGAAAAACAAGTGGAAAATGAGAAAGAAGAAAAAATTGAAAATCTTCCAGCGAAAATAGAGAACGTTCCAATTACAAGCACAAAATCGATACAATCGTCAAAGGATCATTCTCGTGGCTATTGGACTATGGAAACGAAATCATCGACTGTGGAAACAGTGGTCGAAGTCAATGATTCGAACACAAGCACAGATGAGAAAACGGAAGCAGTTGCTGATGCACCAAAAATTATTGAAGGCGAATCGCTTGCTCAGAAGAAAGACGACGTCTACTCGGCAGTTTTAAAAATCCAAGCTTGTGAGTAACGCAGTATTTTAACAAAATTATGTCATGGCTTGATAATTTAATTATGCCGCGTTAGCAATTAAATAACTGAGTCTATCTTATTTTTTATTTTTTATGGTAAATAAATTTTAAAACACTAGAAAACAATAAGAAAGTTAAACTGATTGTTATACGCCATTACAAATGATACCACTGCGTTATTAATTCATTAAATCACGACACAATTTAACAGCTAATAAAAATAACAAAGATTATTTAACAAAGGTACCCGAGGATTTTTAGCGCGTCGCCGCATGCGAAAGGACTTGAACTCAAAACCTGTTTCGAACGAAATTTCTTCAGCGCAGAAAACAGCTACGGCAAGTATAATAATTATAATAACATTAATTAATATCAATTAGTTTTGCTTTCTGAAAAATAATCCAGATCAAAAATCAAAATTGTTGAGAATAGTTTTTTAATTTAAAAAGCTATTAATTCATAATTAGATTATTGTTATAATTGCATATAAAAAGAAATTTGTATTAAAAATAATTACAATTATAAGATAAATAAAATCTATAATAAACTGAAACTGTAATAAATGCATTATCATTTTACATTGTTGAATTAAACTGAATTGCATCGCAAATTTGCATCTGCATTGATTTTCCGCCGTTTTGTGAAACCGAACAGCTGAACGCAATATTCTAATACCACGCCCTCCGGAAGCGCATTACGTAAAAGAGGAAACGACAGGTCACTGCTAAACGTCAGCGCTTTCATGATTGCAACAAGCGGTTTTGCATTTGGCAGTAACAGGCTTGGCAGATGGACTCAAGCTTTGTCCCCTTAAAATAATTGCTTCTCAAATCGAAACTGACGTCGACTGCTTCACGAGCATTATTTCTGTTACATCTGCTTAATTTTGCATACAGACTATTTTGCATTCAGAAATAAACTTCGAAAGTTAATTTTAAATAGTTAAAAAAATTTTTTTTTTATATTTCCACTTTCTAATTTTAAAAGACGTCATGATGTAATCAAATTTTACGGATTATTAATTTTTAGGACAATCATTTATTGCCGCAAAATCCTTCAAATGTGCGAGAAGTCAGGACTGGAAGGCAACGTCTTCGGCGAGAGGAAGCTTTGCGGAACACCACTCTCTCGTTGGAGAACGCTTTCGCAACCGGTCGACTTCAGCATACCGGCGAATTTCATGATTCTGTACCGCTGCCATTGTTCGATATGACGAACAGTGAAACAAATTCAACCCCGTCGGACGACTCTTTGAGTAAAGAGGTTGAAGAAGATCCAAAACAATCTGATGTTGCAAAATCTAACACCAACAATAGCGGTTCCACGTAAGTAATTTTCATAAAAAATAGTATGAAATTAGTAGCTTAATAATAAAAAAATTTCTAATAATATAGTAATTACTATTAAGATGCCGGTTAAAGCTGCTGTAACAAATGTCGGAGATTTAAAACTGCATTAAATATAATTCCAACAATTTATATATAAAAATGTATCAATATCAAAAATGTATCAATGTATGTAATTTATATAAAAATGTATCAATAGACAATATATATACTATATATTTTATATTTGCGTAATATAATACTTTTCATTATTTCGCATAGTCACGGCGAACATGAAGGGATTTTTCAGAAGCGCAACGCTTTCACCGATTCTTTTCCGATCGTGATGCATCTGCTGGCAGATGCATCCCGCAATTTCGGAGTCAACCACTCTCGTCCCGACTTTAATGCAAATACTGCAAAAGCGAAGTCTGTGAAATCAGCGCTGGACAGCGTCCTGATGCTGGGTTATCCGAGAGACGATGACAATCGGTATCTGAACTTCATAACCAGCGTCGAGGATCTCGGCTGCAATATGGACTCTCTGCCTTTCGACGACGCGATGAAGAGCTCGAAGAACGTCGACAACGTTCATCTTCCGATGACTTCCGGCGAGGGAAGTCTTAAGGAGCCCCTCGCCCTTCCGGGCACACCGCAGGGCGTCGTGATCGAGGAGGTGACCAGTTTGGAGTCTGAGATTCCATCGGAATCGACGAAACCGTCGACCGCGCCGAGAACCTCGTTAGATACAAATAGCTCGATGCCACTGGAGAAACGCACTCTCGAGGACGAGAAGAACGATTTAGATATGTCGTCAAGGACGGCGGATGCAATCGGAGACCGGAAACACGCGGACGAAGAGCAAAACTCCGACTGCAACCTTGAGAACGCCGGAGGGGGCAATTTACATGAGAATAAAAAATCTAACGAAATCTCTCGCGACAATCACGAACGTACAAATGGCAAGCAGAATGAAAAAACGTGAATAGCTGATAGATTAGAGTGAATCAAAGCAGGAGTGAGAGAGATCTGTGTGATCGATTGATGATTAGTTCCTCTAATTAGAATTGTAACTCGTGCGTGCGTTGTAAGATAATTATCACTATGATTTGATTACATTATTTTCGGCTCTGAGAAACGAAAAATAACACTGTTTGATATTATTCTTAGTACGATAAAACTTTGAGTGCCTTATTTTCGACACGTAGAAACAAATAGATGATATACAAGTAGACTATCTCTCAGGAATAGCTTTAAAATACACACAACACACATCGTCCAGTTTCCAATATATACATACAGGAAACGTAACGAATTCTAGATTTGCAATTTTGCTACACAGTACAAAAAACAAACAATCTCTTCCTGCTTTTACTACTACTACATGATCCGGGGAATCATATCTTTGTATATGCAAAGAAAGCAGCAATAAAAATTACATATGTATGATAAATCAATCTGCTCCGTTTTGAAATATCTGAAAAATAATTTAAATTAATATCTCACTGTGAAGTAATTACAAGATAATCGCAAGTTACAAGTTAAGCACATTTAATGTGATAAGATATTCTCGGTGCTTACGCTGCACAATTAGGATTTATGAATTAATTGCAAATTAATTGAAACATACGAGCTGAGATAAAAATAATCTCATTTTACTCACTAATATCATTTGCACCGCTATCAATATTTTGGGAAGAAGTTGTAAGAATTAAAATGTAATACGGGTACAAGATATAATCATTATAAAGCTTTATCTTCCAAACTAGGTAACTAGGTAACTGCTATAATATTCGTATTAATCAAGAAGCTCTGAATTGGACCGACAATGTTTTGCATTTCGATCACGCGAAATGCAAGCAGCTATACGGACCTTGGTACATATTTTTAGTGACCGGCGCGCGATAGAGAGAGGACGAGTGAAGCGAGAGAAACGGATGGCGATCAGTATCGTGGCTGTTGCGATCGTCCATCCAGTGAGCGGGGATCCAAGGTAAGGGCACGACGTCGCGGTGACGTCACATCGGGCGTCGCGACGACGCCGTCGCCGTCGCGGCAGCCACTCGCCGCGATTCGCACGCAGGCATCATCGCGACCTGTCGCGCGGCATCATCCGCTCTCTCTCTTTGTATAGTGTATATCGGCGAGTAGAGCCGCTTCCGCGTGAACAATATCATCGCTTCGAGAAGCAGTCACGGCTCGTTGATAGTCACGAGCGATCGCTGCCACAGCTTTGTCACGTATATCCCGATATCTCTGAGGTAAGCAAGGTCAGCAAGTGCAGTTGCAAGCTATGCGGTGCGGATAAAAAGCTTTTGTTTCTAAGCATTCCGCGAAACGTGTCGGAAGAAGAACTGATAGCGTAGAACCTTATATTACTCTTATTCATTTTTTCTTTATATTTCGATTTAGACTTTTTATATCGCACTGAAGCATTTTGTAAACTTTTTTTTTAATTAATTAATCATTATTGCATATCTATATCTTCCCTATAATTTTATAAAATTATAGAGATTCCGCAACTTTTGATTTAATTATTAATCAAAATAATGTTCGCGATAATAAGAAAACGATGCGAAAGAGTTCATTCCTCTTCAATTTCAAAAATTATAATTATCATAAATGATTTAATAATAGAAATATTAATAACATTATTTTTTAATCAGAAATATAAAAAAAAAATGTTAATGTATAATGAGACAGTAATTGAGAAAAACGGGCGCTGACGTACGCGAATACGTACGAGATTTATGAACGAGATCGTTATCGATGTCCGGCCGGCCGATCGGACGACGTATATCACTTGAGCGAGTATATTTTCGTGATGATGATCATGATGGGAGCAGAGTTATGCGCGAATATGCGTCCGGGATCAAACGATGGACGCAAACAAATTGGAATGTTCTTGGCCGCACGCGCGCACGGACTTTCGTCGCACTCTCGCGACCATCAATCATCAATCAACGTATATTGGCCTCAGGACGACGAATTTACTATGACGCGCGTGTCGACCGCACTCACGAGACCGAAATTAATGCTGAGCTCGAGCGATATATTACGAACACTTTGCGAGGTCCCCATTACAGCCCTTCCAGCTCAATGCGAACGAATCAAGTTGTTAGCGAAAGAATAAATGTCCAAACGATTCGAGCAAAGTATTACACAAAGCTTCGCGAATGAAATCGCGTAATAATATTAGAAAAAAAGAGAGTGTATTATTAGAAAATAAAAATAAAATGGAAAGAGTGACAGGAAAAATGCTTCGGTAGGTGACGCGTGACTTAGTGGAGTTTCTTTCAGTTTCATAAGTTCTGCTGCATTTTTTCCTTAAATAGATAATAGAAATAAAATAAAAAAATATAAATTATGTTGGAAAAACAAAGATATTCTGTTCAATGTACAACTTAGTAAAAAATTCTAATCACGCTCTTTCCAATTCTCTGAGGCAAAAAGAAATCCATTGTGCTCGCGTTTTACCTTCATTCAAGCACGAAGGCTATGCCAGAGGACGGTCGGTGCTCACTCTCTGCCAAGTTTGTACGAAATTAACCATCCTCGGACGTGCGAAATAAGACGTAAAACGATCGACGTCTCGGAAAGCGAGCTCTCTCGCAGAAATTATCATTGCAAAACGCATGCGCGATAGATCTATCCTTCATTCGAGACGGATAAGCGCGTTCGCCGAGCCACGCGCGCCTCTTTGTCGCGTATCCGTTACGCGTCAGTTTCCCATTCCGCTTCTGGTTAGAAGGACGCGCGATAAGGAGATCAGAAGTGAAGCAAAGTGTTTTGAATCGAACCGGAAGAGCATTTAATATCGTTTTTATTTCCTCGAAATTCCGTCGTGATATCAAGCCTTTGTTGTCTGGAATTGATCCTGAAATATTAGGAAGATCATTGAACTTATTTCGTCCGGGTCGTTATTTATAAATTATCGTAAACTATCTAATTCGTCGAAGACTGCACCGCAGTCTATTTCCATGGTTTATTTTGCAAATAATTCTCTATGCTTGCAATTTTCCGAGTTGGTCCCTAAAATATCCGCAGGAATAAGCGAAGTGGTATCATTTTTGAAAAATCTTCGCAGAGAAAGAGGCTGTTCTTACTTTCCCTCTAACGTCGATATTTATAGATGACTGAAAGTATCCTGCGGCTTGTCCTATTTCCGCCGATGGGATAGCCATAAATAATCGAGAAATCCCGTCCACAAGATCATTTTGTTTCCGCCTTGAAATAAACCTTCAAAAATAATCTAGAAAATCTTCATCTCTCGTGGTTCAACTTCTAGTTAGAAACCGACCACGAAGAAATTGCCAGGAGAATTCTCAAGTCGACCTGTTTTCATTCTCGAGACCGGTCTCTATAAACAAACGGAAAAACTTCAAATTGTTACCACTCTTGGAAACGATCTTTGTAAATAAACCGAAGGTCTATTTTCTTTCCCTCCAAAAACGGATTTTTGTAAGCAATCGCGGAGAGCGCTGAGTTTCTTCGAGATCAATCTTCAAGTTTGTCTGAAGAGCTCGATCGAATATCTTAATCGGGACACGGAGCTTCGCGTCTCAGAACATCATTCATGTCGCAGAATCCGAAGGAGGAAAGCAACGCGATGAAGGCCAACACGGCGGCGACGAAGATCCAGGCAAACTTCCGCGGGTATCGCGTGCGCAAGCAGCTGAAGGAGTCCACGCAGCGTCGTCGTCAGCCGCAGCAACAGGACCAGCAGGATCATCAGCAGCAGAATCATCATCAGCAGGACCAGTCGCAGACAAAGGAGTCTCTTTTGAAAAGACAGAACACTCAAGAGGCGCTTGAGGAGAAATCGGCGACAAAGATTCAGGCGGGCATTCGTGGTTTCTTGGTGCGGAAGAGGCAGCAAGCTGTTCAGGCCGCGGCGACGAGGATTCAGGCTGGCTTCCGTGGTTTCAGGACACGAAAGCTGCTGAAGCAGAACGGCCAGTAGACTGTGTTGGTTGGTCTCTTCCTGGCGTCGCGGGAGAGGCGACGCGGGGCATCGGTGTGTGCAAGAGGTGCTTCCCGTTTATATCTCGTGATTCTGCTGACGTAAATTTAGGGCTGCTGCGGCTGTGATTATGTGTTTGTTACAGAGTTGAGTGGGAGATGTGTTAGCCACTTTGATAATTCAGTATTTTCAATTCTGTTTTTGCTTGGATTTAATTGTTGTTTGTCCATTAAATACATAAATTTTTATTATGTGTGGAAACGCTTAATCTTATCTTTTAATTCATATTAATCTAATTATCAAATGAATATTGTGAGATTAATAATTTCGAACTAATTAATTAGAAATTATATTATTAGATGCGTTTTAACAGATTTTAAATGCACAATGCCTTTCCTTTATTGACTGAATATAAAATATAAGAATACCAAAATAGTTAAAAAGGTTCATCAAATTTAATCAAAAAGATAAATTTTTTACCGTAATTTATTTAAAATTCCGTTTATTAATAGTTCTTGTATTTTAAAACAATTGTGTGAAATAACAGAATATTTATGTATCACATTGAACATTATCTAATATCTTGTATATTCAGGCATTGTGTAATCGAAAATAACAAGAATTTTTCATAGAACAAAAGCATTATTTTCCAGGCTCTGTCTCTGTAACGTAATAGCTCGCAATGATCGCGACGATTGCGTGCTAATATTAATCCGCACTCATTAACTGCAGAAGGAAAATGTAAACAGCTGTAACATGTGTGTCTGCGACATTTTGTCGCTCTGATGAGGCTTTTACAAACGGTTTAAATATAACGTCAAGCTCCCTGAGCCCTTGACCCTTAAATGCTTAGCGTTGAATTCTTTGGCACGTGCGCCGACCTTCTCTATGCACTTATTCTCATACTATGTGTCATTCGTTTTTCAGCATTTTGCGGGTTCGTTCGTGGCTCGGAGAAAATCTGAAGATTTAGACGCGGGAGAGAACAACGAATCAGTCAATTACGTTGATCCACGATGTCTGATACATGTATATTTTCGAGACACTCCGTTAATCGATGATAATTAAAATGTTGTTTTATAACAATCTTTGTACTTTATCATTGTTCTTATTTAATGCAATCTTTTCTATGATAGCTTTCATATGATTGTAACGATAACAAATAATATTACGAAGACAGAAGCAATGATTGAAGGCGATACGATTTTAAAACGTTGGATATATATATATGCGATATAGGAGTTAATTAAATAATTATATAATCTTTTCTAAAATATCCTCTTGTTATTTCATAATTTTTTTATGTAACTGATGCGTCCATTATGATAATTCAAGTAACACAAATTGATGTTGAAGATATTTCCGTATTGTAATTTCGTGTCTATGCGAAATCTTGTTGATAAATGATATTTGTATTATGAACGTAGCATATAATTGTATATAATATATATTTTTTGTTGTTATATACTTGCGTTTAAATTTTATGAATAATAAATCTTTAATCTTTATACCAATTATTTTGGCATGTATTCAATTGATGTCAATTTGGAAAACTGAAGGAAGTCCATTCGAGATGCTGAAATTTATGTTGACAGTCGATATGACTCTTCTTATTTAGCGCATTGTCCATCTTTCAATATATTGTAAACAAGATCATCATATGTATGTTTATTTTCCTAATGAATCCGATGCGTTATCCGATGAGTAAGACAGTTTGCCAATATTTATGGATGGCAGCACATTATGGGAAAGACATATCGCCTTCGAGATGTACAAGATGCTCTAAAACTTTAGAGTAAATTGATATCTTTCAATTTTCCATCAGTTTTTCATTCTCAATTCTTCTTCTAAAAAAATTTCCTATTTAAAAAAACCTATTTAATGAAAAGAAGAGAAGAAATCGAATAAAAATCTGCAGAGAAATTCAGAAACGAGAAAAATTTGATTATAAACATAAAAGTTATTTTCATTTACCATCGTAAACAAATCATTTCATCTCATTTATCATCGTAAAGAAACAATTTCATTTCATTCGTCATTGTAAACGAAAAGGCTATTTTAATTTAAGAGCACCAATAAACAAGTTAATTCGAGTGAGGGAAGGTAAGTCAATATCAATAATGCGCATATGAGTGCAGCCAATTTTATTACACCGACAGCCGCATAAGCGGCTCGAGATAAAAAGATATTGAAAGCGAAACACGGTTGAACAACGAATATGTGAAATCGAAGTAATATTAAATTTGCAAATATTATGAGTACTGTGATCCGTTTCCTATATAATAAATTTTTACTAATATAGCGTCAAAAATTTTTAAGCTATTGATTTAAAAATGAACCACCACTTCAATTGCTGTGCATAATTTTGAATAAGCAATCACTACGCTAATAAGGAAGAAGACGCCGGTAAAATGATAGTACATTGTAGATATATCGAAAAGGATCACAACAATTTGATTGAAACGTTTGTGTCAACGTTTGATAAACAAGAGAGAAATATAGAAAAATGCTTACAAAAACCAAGCATTAGTCTTGAAACCCACTTATCCACACATTAATTTTGTTAGAAATTTATAGAGCCAGTACTGCATTATATTATCAATTTTATTCCATTGTCCGTTACATATAGTGATGTTCGCCAAACATTTACAATCGATCTCTGCACGAAAACTGAGAACTATGTAAAGTACTCATATTTAAAGAGAGTTGACTACAGACGAAACCCATAAATAATCACGTAACACAAACGTTTATGGTTATGTGATAATAAAAGTAATTTTTAAGAAATATTTGTATATTTTCCGTTTTATCAAATAAGATTCCGTTACTAAAAGACAACATATTGATACTATTTCAGTTAACTATATATAACATATATAGATACTATTTTTTAGTTAAACGAGCGCGCTTTATCAAAATATGACACTTTGATAGTTTAAATATATCGACGTTAAAAATAAATATTAAGATAAGTGTAAAGTGCGACAGTAGAATACATAAATAACTGATAAATATGAAAACTCATAAAAGTCAAAACTGAAATTTATGATATTGTTAGTGATTCTTTTACGAGGGCCTTTATATACCTTTTCTCTTTTCTACTCTCGATATTTTCCTCCATCCCGTACGCACTCGGTTTTTCGACGGAAACCTCACGATGGATTCGCGTGGGAATATTGAGGACCCAGTCATCGCCTCGCGTTTTCGCGCGAGGCGCGATTCACAGCCAAGAATCATGAACGATGATTCATCGAGTATCTCACGAGATCTAGCTAGCCGGCGACGCACCCTCTCTGCTCACGCGCCCTCGTCCAGGCGTGTTTCATCGAGGCGTGCGTGTATAAGGGACAAGATAACATAGTAATTAAAAAATCACAGAAAGTGCCAGTAAACATTCGGAGCGCTGTCGTCCCGCGGGGAGATGGGGGGGAGGGGAGAGGCAGGCTCCGACGAGTTATCTATCACAATCGTTAGATACCTAATGAGATTACATCGTAAAATGCAATAAATAATTCGGAAAGTTGCTAATATATATCCACGTTTCTCTTTCTCTCCCTCTTTCTCTCGTTTCACACTCGCTCCTCGCATACGTTGTATCATCCATTCGTCGTCCTTTTTGTCCATCCGGGGGGTGGGTCAGGTTTTCTCTGCTTACTTGGCGACTCTGTCGATGGGAAATCTGTTGAGAATCTCGAGATGACCCCGTGATTCCAGGGTCTGATGGGGCAGACAGGGATTGTCGAAGCATGTGAGAGAGTCTAGACTGCAGCCGGCGCATCGATTGCAACTGCAAATCAGTCCATCGCCGCAAACACCCCAATTCTCGCTCGGCCCACCGCAAATCTGACCGGGACCCTATATTAAACGACGCCGGTAAGACGACGAAAGCACGCAACACTCTCCCGCAATTTGTTTGTCGAATTCTCAGATAAAAATTAATATTAACGAAACGCTTGTCAAGATAAAGACTGTTCATAAAATGTGTATTAATCTTCTAAAATCTAAAATCGTTAAATGTGATCGAATTTCTGTTCTGCGTGTCAACAAATCATGTCGAAATTTTCTTCAACTTTGAGATCGATCTTTAACTCTAAAATCGCTTCAGCATTTTTTAAAACTAGTTTCTTTACAACAGGGTGATATTAGTATTCAATTGTTATAGTATTCAATTGGTACTCACCCGTCGGCATTCGCGAATACCGCAGAGAGTCGATATAGTGGAGCCGAATTCGCACTTATCACATTCATCGCCGCAGCCCATACACATCGGTCTCACTTCATGTTGCTGTCGGATCATGGGATGAGCGTAGCACTTGCCGATTCTGGAACAACACATTAGGCATATATTAATCATTATGATACATAGCATAAGATTTTACTCGTTAGAGTGCTCTGTCAATTTTAATGCTTACAAGAAGATTGAAGCCAGAAGAGCAATCGTATGAATAAGTTGGAAGGTAAACATGGTGATTTGTTGACCTGAAACAGAAATGCGATACTATGCCCTACATTTTTCTCTTTTACCACAAAATAAATTAATCCTATAAAATTAAATACAAGCACAATTTTTATCTAACAGTAAGAAGAAATTATTTATTCTTCAATCGTTACCTTCCTAAATATCAATTTTTTTTTTATGATCTTTCCTTTCACTAAATTTGTATTAAAAGTAGGAAGAGATTATTAAAATGCATGAATATTATGTACGATTTCTGCTATTTATGACAATGTTTCGCGCGGCTGTTATTAAAAGTTGTATAAACTGTCAGATGTGTTTATCAAAGTTGAGTATTTTGCTTTTATTTTTAATGCTTACACAATTTAAGCAGACAGAGCGGAATGTTTTCACTGATTAGCTTAATTAATAATGCCGTTATAATTCGAAACCAAACATTAACGTCATTCCAAGTTTACATAATAAAAAATTAATAATAATAATAAATAAATTTGTCCATAAAAAATAATGTTTTTTAAAGCAATAATTAATAATCTCTTTTCTTTAATTCAATTATCGCAACACTATAAATGCGGATTGTACTTTCCATTTACCGAGTTCAATCACCTCACTTCAATATCTTGACATTACGCAAAGCAGTCCGACACTTCGATCCGGAAATAGCGAGGCAGATACTACTACATGCTGTATAGTTGACTTTTTATCATCAATACGCCATATGTTTTTATGAAAAATTGACGATGTGATATAAAGTAAAGGGCGAGAACAACCTTGAAATGTATTTCAAAATGTAATATAGAAAAAATCACAAAATATAATTATATTTATTTAAAAAAAATATAATTACGTTTAAAACCAAGATTAAAAGATTTTTTTATCCACCAAAAAATTGAATTGTATATTAAGATATGCACTTAAGGCTTAATAAAGCAAATGCGCAGATTTGTCCAAACACAAACACACGAAATTCTCATAGTGCGCACTTCAGTGTCTGATTTAGGCATCTTGAAATGTAACGGATCAAGTGTAGCATGAAGGATCAATCGCGCGACGTTGTTAGTTTTTATCATAAAGTTCAATCTTCTATGATTTTTTGTTATACGTTTTTTTTGCATTCACCCGTTTATGCTACGAAAAACGCTACTAAATCAGTTTACGATAAAGATGATAATAATGAAAATAATAATAATGCTGCAGTCCGATGCAGTGGGCGCGATGCGAGAGCCGCGGAAAGGCTCTCGTGTCGGCTCGTCTCGCGAATTAAACAGACAAAACTGATGTCCCACATCATCAAGAGGGTCCCCACTCTGCATATAGCAAAACGATTCAACCGCAGCCTCTGCGGGGGCAAAGACTACCGGCGCGAACCGATTTATTGATAATACCGAAGCGAAAGAACAGTCAGCATCCAACCGGATGCGGTTCGAACTCTCGCCTCAAGAACGGCAAGTGTATTTTTGCTGCCCTGTATATAGGAATCTCCTAATGCTATTGTCAAGATTGACAAAAACTTAAAATAAGTGTGAACATCGAGAAGAGTCCAAAAGTTCAAGATTAATTAAAAATAATCACAAGATAACAGGCACAGTCACAGGAACTGTGAGACTTCTGTAACCTTACGTCGCAATATTAGAAGTGAGATAATGAATTTTATAGATGATATTTGTTAGCGCGAATGAATAATATGCTAATAATATATAAATATAAGTTTCTTTTTTTATTTCTACGTTTATATTAATTGATCCGCTCTTCTTCAAAACAATGGCAATTACATTTAGCGTGAACTTTGATAATGCAGAATTCATATCGGACAAATGGAATAGAGAAAAACGTAATAATTTATAGATACTAATTGCAGTTTAATTGTTGGTCAGGACTGCCAAATGCGATTAAATGATGTTTTTCTCTCAGTGTCTCTAGCGCTAAACAGAGATGGCTTTCTAAATTCATTGACTGAGTTCATTGACTAGAAACGCATTGTTTTCCGAAATAAAAATAACAAGTGATCTCTTCTGGGCTCTTGTCTGATGGCTATTAATAAACACAAACATTTCGCGCGACTACATGATCCACTTTCCATGAACAAGGCTTCCCTTCTTCCCTCCTACAATTATCCACAAACATCCGTTCATAAATAAGGAAACTACTGGCTGACTCAGCAGTGATACTCCGCGAATCTCGCGACCTCCTTTCCTTTTTTTTCCCTTTTGAGCACGATTGATTTCATATATGTAACAATAAACAATTAATTTTATTTTGTACTGTAATTTTTGTTCACTTCTACTTCTTTCGCATCATTAATCGCCCATTATTTTGTACAACTGTTCCGCTCTTATCTATGTGTGCCGTTATTTTTGGATTTGCTCCAGAATAATAAGCTTGCATTGCAAAGAAACTTTGGTCTCAAAGGATGTAGTAAATATGATGTAACGAGACTGATTCGACCTTTTAAACCCGTTGTTATCTTCTCATTAGATTCTCAAAGATGCGTGATCTTGAACGCGTTATAATTATTTTCCACGAGATCTGTCTGCTTAATTGTTTTCTTGTGTCAGCGCGTCTAACTGTTCTAATATCATGTATAGGCGACGTGTTAGCGAATGCGCATCGGCGTGTTTTTGCACAAATCGCATTATAATAAGATAATGGAACTGCAGATACGGCTGGCGCCTTGTGTAATATTTTGTCTTGCACAGATCCGTCGCAACTGCACGCGGCCTGGTGTCCGATGATCTTTTGTTCTCCACGCGAAAGAGAGAAAAAAAACGATAGACGATTATCTGTAGAGACGATACATTTTCATTGTGGATCGTTTGCGTCGAACCGCGAGTCTTTCTAAACTTGCTGCAAGAGACGGCGTAAAATTAGCTTCCCAGACGGCGACCGGTCCGCGTCGAATCTCCCGCTCGATGAGAGGAAGCACACGCACCACGAGAATTGGGGTCAATGACACGTCAAACATGCATCTCCGCAGATCAGACCTAGTTTCGGATTTTTTTTTTTAATAGTGTACTTGCGAGCTGATTCTAAATACTATTAATACTGTTAAAGAGATAAACGCTGTAAACACGCGCCTGCAAGAGAAATTTTAAAGTTGCCAGCGTTGAATGACTGTCACGTTATTTATATATAAGTACAATCTTCGTGTTAAATAAATAAGAATCGGATGACCATGTTTATCTAATCGCTTAACGCGGTGAACATAAATATATCTTTAGACAATATTATTGTCGACGTAAATGTTAAGTTTATTTTCGTGGCACAGTTGCATCGAAATAGCCTCACGTGATCGTGAAAATCGTCAATACTCGCGTGGTCACCACGCATTCACTGGTACCAGGAACAAGCAGAATCATTGGTTATAATTGTGCTTCCTGCGTTGGTAGTGAATGACGCCAGACAATGAAATCCGGTGCGAGGAATTCTCATTGAATATTCGCGGAGATTCACTCTTTGAATTTAGCCTATTGCGTGAGTTAAGTTTTCCTACGCAGATAAATTTCATGTCATTATTTTACGTATTTGTCAGACGAAAATTTGCGTTCTTTTCAAATTAAAAGATATTTTTTATAATAGATAAAATATTTTTAAAAAGTACCGAAATACCAGGTAACTTTATACGCCAAGATGAAAATAAATGATATAAGTAAATCGAGTGATAAAGTTTCTCCAAAGAGTAACTTAATACTTATGCATTGATGCATTGCTTTGGTGCAAAATTGTTTCTAGTGGCCGTTTTCAGGAATTGATGATCTTTACGGAAAGAATATCCAGATCGGAAGGTGTTCGTTTACAATTTCAACGCGCCGCTTTTGAAACATTACGTCGACAGTTTATAATTCATAGTAGACCGAAAACGTGAATGGTCTCATAGAGGCGTGTGTTTTCCACTCAACCGGATCATGTGGGTGTTCACACGCATTTTACGTGGGCACGCAGAGAAATTCCGTGGGGGAGTTTTCGCGGATCGGATCGCAAACGCGTTCGATGAAACGGAAAACGCGACATCGCGCCTCTGCCTGCTAAGAATAGCCGAGATTTGCGTTGCTCGACACGGTGCCAAATTCTCCCTCTCTAACTTCTTCATCTCCTTCACCCTTCCGTCGTCTTCCTTCCTCTCTCTTTATCCCTCGCCCTCTTCGTCCATACTATTTCTCTTCTTCGCTCTCACTGTGTTCCCTCGTCTCTTTATCTTTGCGTATCTTCCTCCGCACGATCTCTTGGACCCTATCCCTCCCCTCTTTGTCTATTTCTTGTCTTCTATAGCGATCATCGTGCTTCTTCTCTCTTCTGCCCACCCTTTCATTCCATCTCTTCTCTTTCTTCTTTCTCTCTTCCTCGATCTTATTTTCTGTCATATGCACGTATGCACGCATACACCTCGCCCCATCGCGTTGCTCCACTGGTACAAAGACCGACAGAGGACGGTCAGTATCGTACCAGTTGGCATTCGTGTGCGGTCAAACAAACAGCAGCAGCGAGTTTATTCCATAGTGAGACCTCCAAGAAACGCATCCCTCAAAAGTGAATCGCATAATACTGAAGAGCTAAAGGACTTCAAAAGAGTGCAAAAGAGAATTCCGTTTGTTCTTCACGGTTTTCTTGCGGAGGGTTAAATACGTTCTCTTCGTCAACGAAAGTGAGTAGTCTTGATAGTTAGATCTATAGTTAGACTTTAAAAATGAGTCTTTGCTACTATCGATTTTTATTTAAACAATTCGTTCCTTGATTACAACTGCAAATATTGTCGAAATATCAATATTTACTGTTAACCTCGCATGTAACATTATCCATTAAAAGTTTTAATTGATGTTAATATTGTTGCCATTCCATAAAATCACGTTTATTAAATGCATTAAGTATTAAACAAATGTCGCGTTAAAAAAACATTATAATTACATCATTTTGATTTCAGCAAATTGAATCATTCTCCGTGAAAATATTACAAAACTTTATCTTATTTTAGTCTTGCATAGAAAATTATAAAATTAAAAAAAAGAGATGATTAGAGTCATTCGATAATTATTATCAAAGGAATATTTAATGAAAAATAATCAAGAATAGACATGTGTTTCAGAAAAAGTAGAATATTATCGGAAAAGTGAATCGCGGGACCGATTGCATCGAATTGCATATTTAGAGCTTCTCATTGCATGTTTTGAGCTAAATGTGGCATCTGATTTTGCGTCTTATTTACTTCGCACACAAATCGTCTTCCATGTAGACGTGAAATAATAATCGGATAGACACATTCGACGCAAAATGTGCTTTAACAAACACTGAAATATATGATCCATATTTTCACTCTTATTTAATACATCTTTGAAATATAGAACGAATAAAATGTAAATTCTTTTATTATTCGTTTTTGAATCTTTTGAAAATAAGAATTAATCGTATAAAATTTGTATAAATAAAAAAATTGTATTTATTTTTAGTGTTGCAAAAATTGATTGTAACTTGCGATAAGCTTTTACTCATGCACCGGAAGTGTCGTCACGTGTTGACGATATTAATATGTTCGCGCGTACTTCTGTTTTCAAATTTTCGATGAATTAAACGTTGAGCAAACATGTTTACCGTTAATATCAGAGAAACGCTTCGTTTCGTTTGCATCAAAACATTGTTAACCGTAAAATGTAATTCACGAAATTTCCGCCAAATGTGCCACGTTGTTTCTGCAATTTTCATTGCTCAACGTGTCTCATCGGCGAATCATCTGATGGCATTCCTCTTGACATACAATGTTGCGAATGTTATGCAGATTTTTGCGAAAAAACATTTAATATATAAATAAAATTTAAAGAATTAATTCTTCTAAAAATTTATAACAATAACTAATAATCCTAACATAATGCATAAAAATTACAATTTATAATAAGTTAAAAACATATTTACAAAACTATTTATTAATTTAATTTACTAATAAAATTTAACTAAACATTAAAAATATCTTTGCAGTTATAAAAAGTTTAAGGATTTGACAGAAACTTCGTAATTTAGTCAGACAGATTTTTTTCGAAAGAAAGAAGACAGATTTCTGTGTATCGAGAGATAGATTAAAAAAAAAATAAATTACTTGATTATTGTCGATGCTCGCAGACGCCAAACAATATACGGTTTTTCCGCTTGAGAAGCAAACGCTACACATACCAGACTGTGAATAAACATACAGAAGGAGAGAAACGGAATGATCGTTATAAATTGCAAGTTCAAAACGGAAGCGTCGTTTTTCTCTCAAAAGAGAGGGAGAAAGACACAGTCTTTGTGAAGAATTTTTCGTGATCAGAAATAGTCCGAAGCGTTCAATATAGACAAGCGAAAGACTGCGGGAAACGAAGATACAGAAGACTTAATATTTACGTAGATAACTTGCCAAGAACGTGTCGCGCGATGATGCGAATGATTTTTGGCGGCAAGTTAATTATTTGTGTTCAATGTAGTTCTTCTGACATTTAGATATTATTATTAAGCAATTAGAAATCTACAAGATTTATTAATTTTTGCTATTAATCACTTATATTTGTCGTTGTATTTTCTTTGTCGGTCGTTCCTTAAGAATTCACGTCACATTGAAAATTCTTGGAATGTCCGATATATTTTTGTAGTATATAAAATAGAGGCGATAAAACATCCCTTATGCGTAAGCCTCCCATTTTAAAATGTGACACTGACGACAAAGAGAAAATATTTTGCAGTCATTAAAGTGATATAAGATTTTGCGCTCTTCGTTTTACGAACTTTATCGAGATTCTTTGCAATAAAATATTTTCCTCAATAATTTTTGCAGTCCAATCTTTTATATTTCGTTGTTCTTGCAATTTTGTTGATTTTGCGATATTTAATTAATCCAAACGCATCACAGCTTTTGGATTTAATTTCTTCTAATCTAATATATAATTATCAAATCAAATAAGATAGCTATGTAAGCCCAGAGCAAGGTGTTGGGTGCTCAAAAATTAATTAAACCATTTATAATATCAGACGTTTCGGCACATTTTTATTATGGCCATCCTCGGTGAAAATTAAAATCCCAATAACATTTCCTTTTTTTAGTAATATATAATTCTTAACGATCTTTTTACTGCAATGTTGTAAACTAAATATTTTATCGTTTTTTTGGAATCAAACACGAATTTTACAAATGTATCTTATTTAATTTCAGGGTGATCAGCATGGGCATGATAGCGCGCGTAAGACGTCGCGTTCGCGCGAATTCACTGACAGTTGATAAGGAAAAAACAGCACAAAGTGTCTGCCTTCTAAGTGCGATTCTTCTGCTGCCCTATTGTCCGCGAGGTCCATTGCCACTTTTACCATCGCCTGCGCCGGTTTTGTACTCGGCCCTTGTCTTGCCGGTAGTTCTAAGTGCGAATTATAGGTACCCGGTTCCGACTCTCAAGACCCTCGCCGAAGCAGTCAAAGGTATAAAACATTCCGATCTTTAAATCTTTTAGAACAATGTTGCATTTAGATTTTATATTTTAGCCTTAGTATTATTATTAATATTTGTCAAAAGACTTACACTTTAATTGTTTCAAAACTAAAGACGATTTCTCGACAGTGACTTTATTAATACAACGGTTTATTCTTAAGTTTTGATAATGAAAACTTTAGACTGAATAAAAAGACGAAGGAACTAACAATGCAATAGTAATAGTCCGCGATATCTTTTCTAATTCGTCGTGAACCTGTGCCTTGTAAGAAATTACTGTAGGTCGTCGTGCAATGTCGTTGGTACTCACTTGAGCTATGAAATTTTCTCGTTACTCGCGGATGTCCCGTCTCTAATCAATGGACAGTCCTTTTCGTACGAACGTCAAGACACTTAATGCTCGACTGGAGACCGGCCGCAGTTAGTTTTATAGGTACCAGAGACCCTCCTGTCTTGATATCCCCAACGGGGGGGTAGAATCCTTCGGTTGTCATGTAAAATCCCACGAAGTCGCCACTGTCCTCCTCCTCAGAAACCGTCTCCTTGTCCCGTCCTGCTGCCATGTCGTCGGTCACTCCTCCTGACTGACGTTTATTAATATGCAAATCCTCTCTCGTCGGCTCTCTCTCAAACTCGTTACTAAAAATGAAGTCGATCGTTCATCGAAGCCACGTCGATTACGTTATACTCAATTAACGGTGGCTGAAGGAGGTTCTCTCTCTCTCTCTCTCTTTCTCTCGTGTTTGCACTCATCAGCATCAGCTGACAAACTCGCGATTATCAACGTAAAGCACGCCCTGTCAGGTTATTTAGCAACTTGTCATCCTCCGATGAGACCCCCAACGGGGGGGTTGGCCGTTCGTCGATCGAGTCCACCTCCGGAAAATCACTCACGACGATGCGCTCGTATCGTATCGCTCGGTCGTACTTTGTTCTCTTTCTTCTACAAAGTGAACGACGAGCATGACGATGAGAAAGAACGAGTAGGAGGGAAGGAGAAGGAGAAGAATCTCTTCGCGGCGAACGTATATCAATATGTTCTTGTACGTAATAATAACGAGATGTCGCGTATCAGCGCGTTTCTTTTTGCTCGCCTCCGCATGCTCGCAAGCGTCAACGATAATCTTCTCTGATAATTACGAGGACGGCAGCGGCTATAAGCGTTTTTGTCCGACCGACGGAGAGTCGACGGAGAAGGTACAGGATGCAACTTCGAGCATTGCTCTCGCCTCTTCGTCACGTGCTCGATTTGTATCCTTCACATATGATTATTGGGTGAACGGTGAATTTATACTTTGCTTCATGGTTGTCAGCTGGTTGATATAAATAGCCACACATTTTTGTATAAAAGGCAAATAAGGCCAATAAGAAAATTGAAGTTATTAGTCTGCGTTACTTCATCCTGTCGGCGTGCTGGTTTGTACGAGATATCATGTCAGGTCAATTTATAATTTGGAAATTTTATTAGCGTACTTAATACACACACGACATGAAAAATTGCCTTTCAACTCGTGCTCCTTAAGTTAATCGAGTGATATGCATCGGGAAATTTTCTTCAAAGTGTTGTAACTTAAAAGTACAAAATGAGTTAATCGCAGTACAAAATGAGTACAAAATGAGTTAATCGCTTCATAAACATATTCCAAATTTGGCAATTGATGCTTTCAAATTTAATTAATTTTAACGTTCGACAATATAAGAAACTTTCTAAAATATAAGAAACTTGAATAAAAAATCAATCTTTCGTTCGTAAATTTTATTTTTTGACTCAATATTTTATTATACAAAAAATTTAAAAAGTTTTCCAGATCTTTAAATTAGTGTTCTTTAACTTGTAAAATATATCAAAAGCATAAAATAAAATAATATTTTTCATTATACTAATTGTCGCGATGTCACTGTTGAAGGCGTAGCCAAGAAAGCCTGGCATCCCCTGAATCGCTTCCTGAAACGGCTTTATGCGCCGGTAGATCGCGCGGAGAATCTCTTCCTGAAGATGCGCAATCTCTCCGTTATGGCGAATCAAATAGTGTTCTTGATGCTGGCTGACAAGGTGTTGCTGCCGCAGCAGAGGCTGACCTGCCTGTACACGCTCATGTTCTACAACGTAATAGCCTACTGCGTGAGCTACATCAAGGAGCTGATTCAGAAGGAGGACTGGTCGCCGTACGTCACTCTGACCGAGCGATCCAAGATCAAGCATCTCGCGATGTCGGCGACCAAGATCGTGCTTGAGTGGACTAAGGCAGTGACTTTCGTCGTCACGTTGACCTTCATGCTTCTCGTGTTCGGATTGGAGCAGGGTCTCGATCATTACAAGTGAGTAATTTAATTATTTGAAATCCTCTTGACACACGTATAGCAGGTAAAAATGTTACGATCATCTCTTGTCAAAGTTCATTTGTCTATTTGCTTTCCTTTTAATTCTTTATCTTATAAAAATTGATCCTGATTTGCCATAAAAATTCCAATTTTTTTCGGTCTCTTTTATTTTTTAATACTTCGACGTCTTGCAGACCTTCATTGATCTACACAGTAATAACGTGGGTCTATTACTCGGCGACGGAGAAGGTCTTCGTGGAGATGTTTCCAACGATCCTAGGCTTCCTGCAGCTGGAAGCGTTGGAGAACATCGAGAACTTGTACGCGCCGGTGATACTTCGCTGCTTTACGATCGCTATGTCGGCGTTTTTCAGCGTTTTGCTCCTACCGTCGGCCCCCTGGAGGTTCCTGATGGTCGCCACATATCTCAATGTGTATCTTCGATGGAAGGAGCTTATGCAGAATTCAGGCGCGGTGTTGCGCCGAGAGCGCCAAGTGTTGAACCGTTATCGGAAGGCGACCCTCGAGGAGATCGAGAGGTTCGACGACGTGTGCGCGGTGTGCCTGTGCGGCATGACGAAGGCCAGGGTGACGCCGTGCCATCATCTCTTCCACGCGGACTGTCTGCGACAATGTCTGAAGACCAGCGACAATTGTCCCATGTGCAAGCGCGAGCTTAAATTCGATTGAAGGCGACGATAAGAAATCTTTTCTCCGTCGCTTCCAGGCATTCGTGAGAAACGCGTTATTAAAAATGAACAAGAAAGAATAAATGTCTCATACATTCGAAGATGACACTTCTGTCCATAAGATTTAAGACATCCATTATGTATCTGAGTATGATAATATTTACGACGTCGTTTGTGCTTAAGAAATTTACAACGTCTTTTCGTGTCTTAAAAGATTTAAAAGAAAAAAAATGAGAAATCTATTTTAGACACCGTATTGTCCGGGATGAGATTGATAAGAGGGAGAAGCTTGCGAGAATATTCGATAATATATTCGTAATGCTTGGAATGCATGTTCCTTTAGATTAACATTACTGTGATATAGGTCAGCAGCATCGTAGCTTAAGATTATGCCGGAGATACATTTTATTATCACGGTCAACTCGCGATTGAGCTGATATGTAATTCGTAACTTTAACGTAACTGGCAAATGGAAATACGCTTATGTACTTTGTACTATCTTTCATTAGTGTGTAGTGTTCGTGTAGCCGGTCGGAGAAAATTGCATTGTTTATATATATTTGTAAAGTATTCTTTTTCTGTGTTGTGGAATGTATTGTACAACCTCTGTCTCCAACTTCTCTATTTTTACAAATTTAACAAGCTTGTCATTTCTTATTTTACAAAATTATTTTGCGGAATTGTTGATAGAATTAACAGAATTTATAATGGTATAAAGTTTTGTATATTGTAATTTTTTCTTTTGTTTAAAGTCATGGTAAACTTAAAAGACCATGCACGTGGTTATGATGATGCAATTAATAGTATTGATTAAATAGTATTGAAAAATTTCTTTTTGTAGAGTAAGTTTCTAATTTCATACTTCATTTTTCTGTATTTATGCAAAATTCTTTTTTTTTTTTTTTTGTAGAAAAAAAACGAAAAAATATAATTCGAATGAAAAATATTATAATATATTATCTTCCTGTACTAAAACGTTTATTTGCTATCGTTATCTCTATTCTATTAAGTTTATATATAATATTATATATATAATTATATTAGAATATTATTATATAAATATTATATATATTATGTTATTATATATATATATATATATATTACATATATTCTTACATTAATTATATATATAATATTATTAAATATATAAATTCATCTTTTCATGAAAATCTAAAAATACACGTCTTTTTTTTTTAATTTAAAATGAAAGTTTTATGATACATACTGAAATTCGTTCTTCACTACAACATTAAACTTTCATTCCTCTCCCTCAAATTTTCGAGTAGTGTCTATATATTCACCATCAGGACTATCGTAATTTTCTATTGCTGGTGTTTTTAATGGACCTTTAGCTGTATGTGGTAAAAGTCCTAAATCCATCTAAAAATATAAATTTATGATTTTAAATCATATTTTATAACAGATTCTTTATGCAACTTTTTTAAATCATCCATTTTTATCTTTTCATCAACCAAAAAATTCAAATTCAAAAAATAAAATATTCTTAGTATAATTTTTTGAATAAATCAAGTAATTACTTGTATAGCTTCTTGATATAGTTCTTCCGATTCCACTCTAAGTTCGTCAAGTGCCTTTTGTTGTGAATAAAATATAGAATCTATTATCTGAATGTTAGTTAAATGTTGTTGAGTTTTGTATTTAGTCCACTCCTTTTGCAAGAAAACTCTAGATTCCACTTCTTTTTCTGATAGTGGTGGAAGCTTTCGCAATCTTTGTCTAAAATCAGTTTTCATACTATGAGTATGTTGTGCTACTGAATATTATAAATATAACAATATAAAAAATAACTAATAAATATAACAATATAAAAATTAACATATTAATTATTTAAAATAATAATATTCCAATATATGTAAAAACTTACTCTTTTTCATCTATTAATTTAAGTGGCACTTCTATTTCGTCAATTGGTTTTAGTTGTTTAGCGATTTTTTCTAACCTACGAATCTGCTTTTCTATCTTCTTCTTTTTTCTTTCTAATCGTGCCCTGACAACCGCGGGATCTATTTTTTTCTTTCTCTTCAATGGTTCTCCTCTGTAAAGTAAATTAACATTATAGTATTAGCAAAGATATAATCGAGTTGGTATTACACTTATTTACAATAAAACTTACAAAAGCGTATTGCTGACTTTGAAGTATAATGGACTGGTACATGCTGATATATTTCGAACGCTGGATACAGCATGTACGGATAATCTGAAAATAATGAGAAATAAATTTAATAAATCTTTATTTCTCTATCCAAGGTACGACACAGACATTATAGATAGGTTATCTTTCGCATGCAATTTAAAAATAGTTGATTGACAATTATTTAAATACTATTATATAAATAATAAAATAAAGGTCATAATTACCGTGAAAATGTAGGTAATAAATTAATAATATTCATCTTCATTAAATAACCGAGGTAACGTTTGAACAACGTTATCAAAAGGTTATGTTTCTTGAAGACAAATCACTAGATGATAAACAGCAGCACTACCATCACAATTTCACTGGATACTAAAATTTCTATGTATCATATGGCACGTGACGTTCAGTTTTCACGTGCAGCGTCACGTTTCGGCGTTGCCTAGCAACCGTTTGACATTACATTGACGCGGATATCATGCACGTTGTCAGTCAAGAATGATTTTAAAAGAAACAGTCTCATAATGACGGACGAAGTGCGACCAGAAGTGATAAAGAAAACGCAAGATTTGCTTGGAAAATATTTTAAAAAACCGCCGTTAACAGAGAAATTGCTTCGAAAACCGCCGTTTCGTTTTCTTCATGATATTATAACAGCTGTAATGTATCTGTCATATATTCGAAGCTTTTTAGTGTAATCATTTTTTTTAAATTTATTTCCTAACGTATATTAAGTATTTTTAATTTATAGAAATATTTTCAAAATATATAAATTTATATAAGATAAATTCGGTTAGTTTAAGATATCTTGTATGTAATATTGATTTCAGGTCATTAAGGAAACGGGCTTCTTAGAAGGATTATTCACCGAGGAAGAGTTAAATTCAGATAATATAAAAGATAAGGAAACAAAGCTTGCCTTTTTGACAAAACTTATTGATGTTGTCAGTGAGTATTTCATTTTATTGTATCACCATATTAAATATGCATATGACTATATTTTCTTTTTAGAATTAATTTCGGGTGCTAATTTAACGGTCAGGGCAAGTAAAATTATTTCCGGTCAAGAGCCGACGAAGACAAATGAATTGCTGCAAGCTATTGGGAAAGCTCTTGATAAAAAAGTAATAAATTTGACTTTAAATAAAGAGTGTCCATTAAAACAAATTAATAGCATATCTATTATTTGTAATCTAGGTCAGTAGTGCAGAGGCAATTGAACATTATAAGAGTTTGGATAAGAAAGCGAAGACAGGAGCAAAGTCCAAATCCACAACTAAAGAGGAAGCTGTGAAAAAGTCTGTACCAAGACAAGCTTCACAAACAAGGAAGTCATCAGAGAGAGATAAGATCTCTGCAGAGCGAAAGAAAAGATCGTCCAGCACAGGAAAAGTAGCGGGCGATACAAAACGTGCTGATGATAAGGCCAACAAAAAGAAGGCAAAAGAAGAGAATGATAAAAAAGAAGAAAATACAAAGAATTTTGAAGCTATAGATATTCCACCGGCCGAGGTAAAAATACAAAATCATATTAAACATTTTCTAAATGCTCTTATAAAATTTTTGGAATAAATTGTGCTAACTTATAAATTGTGTTAAGCATTAGAGTAAACATTTTTTCTTTAAATTATTTTGTAACTCATATTTTATTTATTAAAGAAAGATAAGAAAGAAATTCTTAATTCTAAATTTATATGAACTCTTCATACACTTTTCAAATATGCTTAAATATTTATTCATTCATTCAATACATCTTATTTATCATTTAACAGCCAATTGAGAACAAAGTGCCTGCTTCAGCGCGAAAAAGACCTTCGTCTGTTAAGACAAAGCAAAATATCGCAGCATCAGCGCCTGTTATTGAATCGACAAAAGAGGAACAGGTTCAAAAGAGAACTTCTTCTAGTAGAGTAAGACACTCCGCGCAAGTGAATAGCTTGCGTGAGCAGCCAAACTTGTCTCCCGAAATTACATCTTTTAACAATGAAGAGCAAAATAAGTCAATAACGACCAATTCCAACAAGGAAACCAAGGAAAATGAGATATCAGATGAAGTGCGGCAGCGAAGTGCTGAGAAAAGCGATCAACCAATATCAGAGTTTACAGAATCTCAAGTCGATAATACCGAAACGACGTAATATTCGATTTTATAAATGTCTTGTTGAAAATATCTAAATATGATAATAATGTTTAATTTGCTACTTATTCTAGTGTTTTGCAACAATCGGACGCAAGACCTAAAACCTCTTTAAGACCGCCTAGCGCCAGACCTATCAGTGCAAGACCGGCAGCTCCCAGGATGAGAGCAAAGGCAGAGCTGATTGTCAATGAGGAAATACAGTGAGACAATTCAATTCATTATCAAGAATTATTCCGTTCAAATTAATTGCGAAATATAATTGCAGGACCCCAGTGGGAAACATCAGCGTCATTGTAGAAGACGCCGACTTGAAAGATGACGATGATGCCGAAGATATGGTAGTTATGGAAACCAAAGGAAGCAGCGGTGATTTTTTAGAAAATGGGGATTACAAGATAGATAATCAGCTAATGCAGGAGCATGGGCATCTCGTAGCGCAAATTTTAGAGACTCAAAGGGAATTGGTGAACACCGACAATGTCGATGTGTTGCCGAAGAAAGTAGACATCGTAAGAACAATTGAAATATATTTTTATATCAATGAGTATAAATTTTCACAAAAATATAAATCAATATATTTAAATATAGGCATGGGAATCGGGTTCGAAACGCGACAGAGAAACAACGGCTAAGGAAATCGATAAATTACGGGGAACTATACAGTTGCTAACACGTACGACAAATCCTTTGGGGAAACTGTTAGATTATGTACAGGTAGTGATGGTTTACCACACATATATAATTATACACTTTAACCACACATATATAATTATACACTTTCTACGTCTCTTACGGAATTATGTTTGATATCAGGAAGACGTAGAAATGATGCAAAAAGAACTATTAGATTGGAGGAATCAGTATCGCAAGTTGAGCGAACAATTAGAAAGAGAACAAAGGTATATACGCATATACTGTTGCAATAATTAAACTTAATACTACTTATCTCAAAAATTAATGTGTAAATATTATGTTTCAGAGAAACGGAAGAAATGATAGAACCTATGAAAGAAATGCTGAAAGAAGTTGAAAATAACATAAAGACCCAATTAGATAAAATATTACAAGTAAAAGCGCAAGTATTTAAAAATAACCAAAAAATTCGGCTGTTACTCAATGGTAATTTATAATCATAATTACTACTGTATATTAAATTGTAAATAATTTTATAGATTATTGAAAACGATAATTATGATAGTTTAAACAAAAATTTATAAAAAAGATCAAATAATTTTATTTATGTGTTATGTAATCATAGTTTTTGACTATATAATATTTGTATTTTTTTGTAAATACGTATACATATCACACAAATATATATAACTTTTGAAAATTAAAAATGTTTAATGTTTTTTTTTAACTTTGATGATTATAAGATGTGAATAGAATCTAAAATTATAATTAATAAATATTTATGCAATTTATATTAAAAATTATATTTATCTCATTATATTATATAATTATATATATCTCATTTCTATCATTTGAAATAATTAATATGCTTATTATAATATTTAAACTTACCGAATTTTCTTTAGTATTAGAATTATAATTATTTGTAGCTCTAGTCCTTTTCACATTTTAATCAACTTCATATTTATTCTGTAATTCCGCGACTTTTTCCTCAGGTATCTTTTCAAACGTTTTACAGTATGAGAACATAAACTTCAAATCTAGATTTAAATTTATAAAATTAATATTTTTTTAAAGTAAATAGTTAAAAAAAGATAATATACATTGCTTTACAAACCTTCCTTTTCCGAATTGTTGAGAAACATAACAAGTGTTCTAAATCTCTTAATATCACTGAGATCTTTTAGATACGAAAATATAGGTTCTTCTCGTTTTATGAACTCTGTCTTAAGTATTGTTAAAATATCACTGAAAATATTACTTTCCATTGAATCTTGAAATATTGTTGATAAGCTGCCTGAATACTTCGGTAAGCAACCTATTTGCTGTAAAAACAATTTTGTTTAATCTTTTGAATATACTTCATATTTAACGTGCAAAAGAAGACTGTTACTTACTTTTATATATTCGTATCGAAGATCAGATGAAGTATATTTTCTCCAATTTATTATAAATTGGCATGCGGTTTTTGGGACGGGAGGTAGTTCTATACTTTTGGTAAAGTTTTTTTCCAGTTTAGGTTTCGTAACAATTTCTTTATGTTTTGTAATAGTATCAGAATGTTTAACTGACAATTCTACAAATTGATGATGTCTACTGCAAGATGCTTCAATTTCTTCTTTAAAAGGTTTAGTTAAATCAGCCTCTTGCACAGGAATTCTCTTAAATGGCTCCTGATTAAAAACAAAATATAGTTATATTGTTATGCATATCCCATGTGTCATGAAAAATATAAGTGTTTACCTTTGAACGTAAATGAGGAGGCTTTGCAATAGGTTCTACAATTGCAACATTATCCTTTTCCGGTAGCCAATCTGGAATGCATGTATCTTGTTTTGATTTTGTTAGATTTATAGTTGTTGCAACTACTTCATTCAAGTCATTCTTCTTATTTTCATTTTTCTTAGTATCAGTTACTTTTTTATTAGATTCTACATTGCCTAACATCTTTTCACCAATTTTTTTTTCTATTGGAATATATTTAACTGCGTCTTCTCCAGATATAATAATTGGCTGAAAAAGAATAAAATGTATAAATATCAATTTAATTTCTTAATAATAAAAAATACTTAATGTATTAATGTTAGGTATTATTTAATTAAAAAATACTTACTTTTGAATTCTCAAGATGCTTATTAACTTGATTAAGCAAGGCTTTTGCTTCCTTGTTAGAAGGCTCCAATGTTAAAATTTTTTCTATGTCTTGCTTTGCCTCTCTGTATTGTTTTAATGCCATCCTGGCTGTTGCTCGCCTATGATAAGCTTTTACATAATTTTCATCCATCTGTATTGCAGATGAGCAATCTGCTTCTGCTGAATACAAGCTATAACATAATACACCAGTTAAATAATAGAATACATAAAATAATAAATAATAGAAATTAATGCAATCTGATTTATTATATTCTTAAGATATAAAATTTACTTGTCTTGCTTCAAGTAACAGAGTGCACGATTGGCATAAAAGATAGCATCATAAGGAAAAATTTTTATTGCCTCGCTATATGAAGTAATAGCTTTGTCCCATTTTTTTTGTTGCACAAAATCATTGCCTTGTTGCTTATGCTTTACAGCTCTATTATAATCCTTTTCTAATTCCTCCTTAGATAAAGGTTCTTCTACTGAGTCATCAGATTCTTCTTGCTTATCTAATTCTTTGCATACTTTATCCTTAATTATAATGCACAACATTAGTTTATTGCAAATATTTTTTTTAATCTTACATGACAAATTGCATAGTATATAAGTAACTACTTACGGCCTCAAACTTATCCCATGATGTGTAATCATGTGACTTTATTCGCTTTGAATTTTCAGTCTTGTTTCCTTTTGTCACATTTTGTTTCTTAGTCCTGCTTCTGATAGAAGGCAGAGCTTGCTGGAATATACATTTTATATCATTTAACAAGTTAAATAAGTAGTAAAAAATAATAAAGTTGAAGTTAAAGTTTAATTCAGCTTAGATTACATTGATTGAAATTTACAGAAACATATTCGTTATAAAATTTATTTTTGGCACATGTATTAACAAATATATTCATCTTTTTAGTTACGAAAATACCTGTTCATTGCGTTCATTTAGTAGTTCTTTTTCTTTCCGTTTCATTTGCTCTTCCCAAATTTTCAAATCCAGAAACTCACTCTGCAAATCCTCTGAATTATCTTTCACTTGCTTTTGCACTAATATTGACTTATCGAGTTCCATGTTACAAAAAAATTCACTGAATTGTTTGATACTTTCATGTGTCTTGTTTTGTCTCGTTGACTCACATTCATCTGTGTTCGCCGACTTTATGTCAGGTTAGGCCATGTGATGAACTGCGCAATGACAAAAAAATGTAATGTTTAATAAAAGTACTTTATGTTACCTTCAGATAGTAATAGTGTTTTATTTACCCACAGTGCTTGTTCATACTAAAAGTTTATAAGTATATTGTAAGATGTCGTCGCAATACACTTTTTGGCATTGTTTTAATTAAATAATTACATAGTTGCAAAAACAGTTGCATTTCTGCAGGCGTATTAGACATGATTCAATAATGTTCAAAAAAATTCGAGGATAAAATTACAAAAATATCTGTAACACTGAAAAAATATCATTTTATAACACAGTTTTCAGTAAAAATACAAAAGTGGTTAAAAATCTGTAAAGCCATAATCAATTATTTAAATTATAAATAAAATACTTGTTATGTTCAATTGCTATAAACTTAATCTATAATAATATTTTAATTCTGATTATACAAAATTTTTGCAGAATACTCAGTCACTAAGATTGCTTTTCATTATCATAACAACCTAAAAGAAAAGTCTGAAACATATCATAAAAACAACTAAATTAATTTAATTTTTCAGATATCACTTAAAATTTTTAAAAATGCTTTTTAAAAGTTCTAGAAATTTTTAAACTGTAGTCTTGAACTCCAATGCTTCAATTCAAATTATATGAGTTAATAAAACTATTAATTTTTTTGCATCTGTCGCGAAAAAAGTTAGATGAACGTAATGCATTTCCCTTCTAAAACGATGATTACCAGAGGGAGATTTCGCACCTTCATGGGCACAACTAGGCGCGGTGGTATGCGCGATTTACGTGTATGAGCTTGACATTCGGCCCTTTTTAGATTTTGGGTAACTGCCATCAAATCGCGATCGTACCCAGCTGCAATGTTTAATATCCCGCCGACTATGCAACTATTCCGCGCGTCTCAATTCACTCGCAACGACCAGTTCACCGCCGACGAGCGCCAAGTACGCACTTGTGATAATGCCTCTTCACGGTTTTTTTCGTATCGTTATCCCTGCTCGTTTTCTTGCGACTACAAAGAATTTTTAACATGAGGTCGTCTTGCAATCTCCGGTCTCGTCAGGTGAAAATTTTTCCGGTGCAACCTAACCTAACCTACTTTGATTCCGGAATCTGAGAAAAGTTTCTGAAGAACTTTGAAACTTTAGAAGAATTTTGAACAATTCGTCCTTCAGAAGCGATAAATCATGAGCTGCGAGAAGAATTTTTAACGATGAATGGAGAAACGAGAAAATATGTACATTCGAGACATTGATAAGTATTTATGCATAATGAAAGGAAAATATTTTGCCTATATTTAATTTCATCAGAACTGTGATAATAAGCGATGAAACATATATATGCTGTGCTATAAAGAAAATAAAATCCAAGAGACTGTTAATAATTTCCATTGCTATTCCAGTTTTGATAAGTGGAGTGAATATTTATTCCTGGTAAATTATTCTATTTCTCGTAGAAGAAGATTGAAGAAAACTGAATCGAGAATCGATCACGGCCGCAAATGAAGATGTTAAATTAACTTTCGTCGTATATACCCAAATTGGCCGCTGCTCCAGACAGCTAGTTTTGTAAATTACATAACCGGAAAGGACGTCAACTCTTGTGCCGATCAATTTCTTTAATTTAACGTGACAACGCGCGAAGGCGAATGCTGTGAGTGTATATTCGTTAGTGTGTGCGATAACAAATTTTTGTGCGAGGAAAGTGATAAGCGTACGAGTTATGATTGATGAAATGTGCTTCATGGTGAGTCAAGGCTGTCATATCATTAATATTTTAATGTCTTTTGTAAATATTAAGAAAAATTGCCTTGCGTAAAAAAAACACTATAATTAGAGACTTCTTAACATAAATTATAGATACTTTAACCAAAATTTGAATGGTACAAGATAAGGTTGAATGCGCGAGCACAAAATATACGCTCACGTGGAAAGGCATTATTAAAACAAAAATAGTTTTTGATCATTCACGCATCGCTTCCGTGAAGTTGTAAATATTTATGAGGATGTTTACTTCGTGCATTTATTATCTGCGTGACATGGTCAATACTTAAGTAGGAATGTCAGATTTTACAATCGCATGTTACGTACAAATGATACTGTTGACTCAAATGTTACGTAGAAATGATACAGTTGACTAACCAAAGTGCACAGAAGTGAAATTTTTTATGAAATGATAATGTAAGTCATTTATATGTGAATAATCTATAAAAAAAAAATAATTTTTTACTTTACTAAATATCATTACTTGCATTGAAAAGTGTTGGTCAATATGTATTTACAATTTGTGTAATTTAATTATTAAATTTAAACGTTTGGAAATAATAAGAAAATTATAATTGAAGAAATTTATAACTGTTAAGATATAACCATGTTTGTTAAAGAAATGCTACGTAGATATGTGCCCAATATTGGCCAATATTCAAAATTCTTTGCTTTAATTTTCTCTAGCTGCATGCTTAAGATTAAATAATTAATTATTTTATTAACAGCTCAATTAAATATAGTTTTGTGAAGCAGTATAATTAAAAGAATAATTTTTTCGTAATTTTTAGGTACATATAAAATTGACAGTAACTATTTAATTCACAATATAACATTAAATATATTTCTATTGTTTCTTAATTAAATTCTTAATTTCTTAATTAAATTTAAAAAATTATTTATTAGAAGTTTTTCACTTCTAATAATATTTGTGACATTTGCATTTTAACCACAGTTGTTTGAGAAATAAATTTTTTAATAGGAAAACTAATTACCTATTCTCGAAAAATTCTTTTCTGAGACAGCATTTTGAAACTACCTGTAACGTGATTGTGTAGCCATAATTTTATCCTTTTAACAAAGCACTATATTAAACACGATAAGTTCGATTTTTAATTAAAAATCGGGTGGATAGCGCAAAGGATATTTTCCCGAGAAAAATTTTTGAATTTCGTATTTCGCCAATAGCGACAGTTTCGGTCGAGGGTATTTTCGGTAAGGTCGCGTGGAAATATAGTGCATCAGACGATCTGTCAGACATGCCGACGACGTTGTTACATATGCGTATTATTAACGGCGTCATCGTGCTCGCAATCCACCGGCACCTGGTTACGGCGCGAATGACTAAGAATGAAGCTATTACATCTTCGAGAGAAGTATCCACTCATAGGACTGGATACATTCAAGACGTAAATGAGACTAATCTCACTCGCATTTGTAGCCAAGAAATCCCACGTGCGCCAATAAACACAATGATTTCGGGAAATGTGAAAAAGAATATGTATATATCTACGTTAATGGTGAAAAATCATGTGTCGTAAAACATCACGTTATCTTTTAGCATGTTCTAATAAGTTTGTGACGTACAAAAAACAAAGAAAAAAAACCTTGATTATCTTAGTATCAAATTATTTTTTTATGATTAATTTACAAGTTTAGCAAAAATTTAGTATTACGATACTCGCAATGGTTTGCGATACATAAATATAAATAATTTGTAGGTAATGTAACTTATATGATTGCTAATCAATGTTTTTAAAGTTATATGAATAATATCAAACAACACAAATATATTATATATAAATATACAAATTACAATAATACAAATTATGAAAATACTATGAGAATTTTAAACTATCAGAATAAATTTCAAAGTACATTTAACATTTTATGTAATTTTATAAATAAATCTAAGAATCTCTAAGGAGAAAATACATACAGATCATCGCATGACGTTTTTATCGCCAAGAAAATCTTAAAAATAATTTTTTCTCATTAAAACTTCAGCTCAAGAAGTGAACAACGGTAGCAAAACTTGTAAGAATAATGATCTCTTAAATATTTTAGATATTTTAGAAGTCAAATAATAACAATAAATAATATAACAACGATAACAAATGTAATAACAAGAAATAAATAACAACGGAAGTGCCAAACACGTGAAAGTAATTGCCTCTATATCACTCTGGTCGCACTTTGAGATGCATCCTCGAGGTGTCGATCGACAAAGTGCATCTCAAAGTGTAACCACAAAGGTCGCGCGCCCGGAAATCTCGTGCAAATTGTATGTTTACCCAGACACTTCGCGGTTACTTCGACGCCCAAAGTTATATTTACCGTTGCCGCCGCATTACTGGCGCGATTCCCGAGAGGAACATTACTACTAGACATTATTTACGGTCAGTCTAAAAAAAAAAAAAGAAAAATAAAAAAATAAACGCGGCCACGCCAACATTTGCCGTTTGTGCCGATGACGTTCCGCTTATGACGCAAACGACCGTTTTTGGCGTCATATCAGTGCAATCTGAAACTCTGTCCTAGCTCACAGTTATGACGAAATATGTATGGTATATAAAGCACATGATACGGATTCCAAATTTCAGCCGTAATAAAATTAATATAGCTTCAGCGAGAAACGTTTTGTGTCATAAATAAAAAAAAGTAGACTTAAATAAAGCTACATTGAGACACACACACACACAATGTGATTACTGTATGTTTTTTTAACATATTTAAACCATAATTAAAACTTGATTTTTCTTCATGACTGTATGAAATTTATATTCGTCATAACGATTCATTTGCTGATTAGATGTTTGAATAATTTAAATACTTTAATATTTAAATAATTTAATTTACTAATATATATATAATGCAAATTTCGTAATAAAATAAATTTATCTATTGTTTTAGCTTATTTTTATTAAGCAAAGTCTTTTTTATGATAAATGTTGATTCTAGGTCTGAATCATTTCATTTTTAATCGTTATTTCATGAATTATTTCTGGCAAATGATGATGACGCGAGTCATCATAACGATCGCGAGAAAATCTTCGACGATTCGTTGTTTCTCCCGAATTAATTTTTCCCAACAAATCGCTCTACTCGAACGATCCGGTTTGGGGTCACAATTGCTTTTAAGAACGTGTGGTTCGTTTGGACAAGATTGAGATTGAAAGTGATATACGGCGCGCGCCGTCGCAGAAAAGTTACGAAACTGCATTTTACAATGGGACAAATTAATTGTCTACTGGCACAAATAGCGCTAAAACTGTGGTGACGAAATATCTCGTTGCATTGCTAGACACAAAAGCGTTGAAATAGTTACGTCTGCTGGCAAAAATTAAATGTTTATTTGAAAGTTCTATGTAATACTTTAGCATATAAATGATACTGTAATGTAATATTTCACATTTAATAATAATCACACAAAATAATAATATTTAATATGCTCAGAATGTGAAAAAAAAGTAATTGCCTCCAAAACCATAATTTTAAATAATTGTCCATCAATTTTCAAGCCCATTAATCAGCTGTTTGATTATGTCTGAAGATCGAGTTAACATTTGTTTGTAATTGTTGTTACATGATTCGAAAATGATAAATATAAGAACATATAAAAGTGTAGAATACATTGGAATGTTATTTGTGTTAATAGCTTACAGAAAAACGACATTTCACCACAGCTATTTCGAGATGGCTCGTGCTTGGAATAGGACACAAGTTCATTTCTATGCAATAGCCGGTTCACCTTAAATTAGAGATTATATAGCTAAAAAAACATGTATGTATTATTATTAAAACAATTTAAAACAAGATTTCTTTTAAGTATCTTCTTCTATTATTTGGTTCTATATAAAATAGTTTAGAGAACGAATTATTATTAACTGAAAGAATTAATATATTTGTCAATTCAGTGATAAAATAGATAGAGTTTTATATTGTAATAAAATTCCTTCCGCTTATAACGCCTCTCCTAAATATTTCAAAAGCTGAATATTTTACAGTTTGTAATTGCGATATAATTTTGTTTGACAGGCGAAAACTTCTGGAAGTATGAGTAGTAACGTCCTCGCAAGCACGTTGTTCTCGAGAAGAAACTGGCACGGTGCTCCTAAATGGATAAAAGATGACAGTCTCTTATCAATACGAAGTCGCCAGTTCCACCAGCGGTGGATTCACCAGGCTTCTGTTTATGTGGCGTGGTTCCCTGTACAAGCTGATTTACAGGGAACTGCTGCTCTATCTCATTCTTTTCGGTATCTTATCCGTTCTTTATCGCCACACTTTCACCGATGATCAAAAAAAGTAATTATTTTAATATATCACATTCATTTAATTCACCAGAAATATTAGACACAGAGAATAAATTTATTTTAATGTGAATTATTTTATTCGCATTCTTATATTCATCTTTTGACGCTGACTTAATTGATCTCTTCATCGTCGGCTTTTTGAAAATTATTGTAATCTGTAACACATTACAGAGAATTCGAGCAAGTTGTAATTTACTGCGACAATTTAATCAAACTGATCCCGTTGAGTTTCGTCCTCGGATTTTACGTGTCCTACGTGGCGCAGAGATGGTGGAAGCAATATAAGGCAATACCATGGCCGGACAAGTGAGTTTTGTAATAATTAAATAATACACTCTAATTTCTTGATTAAATGTCCAAATCTTCAACAGCAAAAACAATATATTTCTTTTTTCTTATGAAGCTTGCAGAATAAGCAGCATCGAGCTGCTTTAGCATTAATTGCTGAAAATGCATTGTAATTTCTTTTTCTATAAATTTAATTATAAATTCTCTATTCTCTTTTTCTGCAGAGTGATGCATCTCGTGGCGCTCTATATCACCGGGAGTGACGAGTACAGTCGAATGCTGCGCAGAGCTCTGATGCGATATCTGAATCTTTCCCTGATACTTGTTCTACGTTCCATCAGCTCGGCGGTGAAGAGACGATTTCCAACTCTTGATCACGTCGTTGATTCCGGTAAATCCTTACGGAATGGCTGTTGTTGTTGTGATGGTAATTAAAAATTAACGAGTCTGTTAAAAATTAACAGGCTTCATGACCACATTGGAGCTCGAATTGTACCAGTCGGTGCCGAGTAGCGAATTTAATACCTATTGGATACCTTGCACCTGGTTCATTAATCTTCTCAAGGAGGCACGCAAGTCCCACAGGTTGCCCGACGCGCAAGGCTTGAAGCTAATTATGGAGGTGCGAGTAAACGTGTTAGGAAGAACACTCTACGTGTTCTTCCTATCTTCAATTATTTAACATTTTCAAAAAGTTGATGGATGTTTTCTTTATTGTTGCAATTAAATGAAGAAGAACTGTTTTTCTTTCTATGCCATTATTTTATATAAATGTCAACAAAAATATATGTTCTAAAATGCTGTTAAAATGAAGGCAAAAGAAGAATTGAAATCATTGTAAAGTTGATTATTTTATCGAATCTTTTTTTAACATTGATATCAAAAATAAAAAACAATTATTTAATTATCTTATCACTTGTCTTTACATCTTTTTGAATACAACATTATTTCGGATATATGTATAATTTCTATTTTCTGTGCTAGTTTTCATGCTTGTTTTATGGAAGAAATACGTAAACGATTACAGTGTGATGGCACATAAATACAATGTAATCAATTGTTCGGTAGCGCGTATGCTCGCACAATTATCGATGGACATAGAATTTACATAGGTTTTACGAGTAACTATTGTTACAGTCACGAGCCGTTATAAAGTCGACTGGAAATAGTCGTAAACCGTGTTGCAGTCTATCAAGTGCGATTTAATTTTTTGCGATTAGACAAATGTGTGTCAGGCGCGTGTGCTCGCAGGAATATTGCGATCGGAATTGCTAGGAATAATATTTTTCTTTTCTGTATAAAATATGTATGATAAATTTTTCTAAGAAATTTTTAGAAAAAAAAAGTTTTTAAATATTTAAAACAGCGGAATCTTTCTACTTTAACTGCACCAATATCACATACTTCCAATCGATATTAATTATATTTTTTCAAGAAATATGATAATTGCTAAAAAAAATTACCCGATATAATATCCGTTTTATATGCAATAACAAAGATTAGTCTTAATTGTTCTCTATTTTTTTATATCAATCTTAAGAAAAAAACCTGTTGTGCAGGAATTCAATGAATTTCGGACTAAATGCGGCCTGCTATGGAGTTATGACTGGGTGTCGATTCCTTTGGTGTACACTCAAGTGGTGACTCTTGCCACGTACAGCTTCTTCGCGGTCACTCTGATCGGCCGACAATACATCGATGGCGACAATAGGCAAATTTTCCAATTAAAAATAGACAAATATGTGCCCCTTTTCACAATTCTGCAATTCTTCTTCTTTATGGGGCTGTTAAAAGTAGCTGAGCAATTGATAAATCCTTTTGGCGACGACGACGAGGACTTCGAGTTGAACTGGTTGATCGATCGTCACACTAAGGTAGAAATCAACTAAGACTTGCCTCGAAAAATTTTGGAAAATTGTAAAACACCGTGTTTATGTATGTCTATGCGTAAATGACAGGTATCGTATCTTGGAGTAGACACGCTAATGAATCGCTGCCCGCCGCTCGTCAAAGATATCTTTTACGACTCCGAAAATATAAGTTTGCCGTATACGGAAGCGGCTGCATCGTATAAGAAGAAGACCTATCGTGGCAGTGTGGCAAACATGACGTTAGTATTTTATATATGCAATTTGTAGCAAGAAATAAAGTGTTTCATAGCCGAAACAAATTAAATCAGAAATTTGTAAAATCCGCTTTCAAATGTGAAATTATTTTCAAAGTTTGTGAATTATGAGCTTTGGTGAGAACTTTGTTGAAACATATTTTAAATATAAATAAATTCTTATATTAATTTTTTGTCGACTTTTCAGGGTGCCTGAAGAGAAACAGATGATGTTTTTGCCCGGCATTTTGGAGGAGGAGGAAGAAAGTAATAATATTCCGACGCCTCGCACTTCCACTGCCAGTTTAGCGAACCCGATCGACAGTCCGGCGAACGAAAGACGGTAGGGTAATTACAGAGTGTATGTTTTTCTAAAAGTTCTCGTTTAATTAATCGTTCTTGTTCCAGTTGCAGGATAAACAACCTCGTTTTTTACAACGATAATGCGATATGGGAACTCTATTAAGTTAGACTCGTTTGTTTCAGCCAGATCAGCGGGTCCCATGCAACACCTGCGAAGATGGCTCGCAATTGTTCCGAAACGATTGTACAGCTGGATAACCAAGAGCAACCGATCGAAATGGAGCAGCGGCACGTCATAGTCGAGGCCGTCAAGAAGTTCTCCTCCCTCGCGAAGGGCTCCGCATCCCGTATTGATTTTCGAAAGCCCTTTCTTCCAGGTTTGAAATCATCCAAGCCAGTGCTGCAGCCTTGGCCGAGCGCGACGAATATTTCGCATCCTTTTCTATCAATGGCGATTTCCACGTCGATAGAGGCTGGATCTTCCTTGAAAAGAGATTCGTTCAAGAGCCTATGTCGTCAATCTTCCGCGGAGGAATCCGACGGACGGCCCAGTGTCTCGTCGCAGGATGAGAGATATCAGGACGGCGTCGTGAACTCGGCGTTCGCCGAAGAGAGGCTGCACGACGTTCCGGACATCTGCGATTGCGACGGCACGGAGGAAGAACACGATGCTTTGGAATCCGATCTTTCGCATCAATATCAGTGCAGGCAAGCCTGCCAAGAGCTACCGATCTTGGAGATGATCGATATGTCTGTAATCGGCGGCGAATCAAGTCGTTCGAGAATCAATAGTTGTCCCAAGTACCTGATGGCCAGGAGCGATCGATCGCCTGATAATTCTAGGAAGAGAAAGGGTATCCAATGGCGATCGCGAATATCTGGCGAAAAATTGAAATTCCGTAGAAGAACTACTGACAGTATACCTACGGTGGACACAATTCTAACCCCGACCAGGAGCTCGCCGAATCTAAGCAACTTGGAGGAACAGATGAAGACTGCGCTAAGTGTCAAGACAGATCCCTCTTGCAAGCAAGAGGATGAGATTTCTAAGCTGTGAATTACGTAGTGTATCGGTTGGATTGATATTTTTAGTTATTTCGATGCTGAGAGAAATCTTTTAACTTGTGTGGCAATCTCGAATATGCCGAAATTTTCTTAACGAAATTCTTTCGCTTCTTCAGGAGAAATTTTTCAGTGCGAAAGTTAGATTGCATGTTACGCTCCTCTCATAAACGTTTTTCTTCCATGCGTTATGATAAAATTTAATAAAGTTGTGATCCCCTTTTATATGACTGTAAGACGATCTTAGCTTGTTAAAAATTGATAAAGATGAGTGTTAAAAAGATTGATAAAGATTGTTAAAGATTGAGTACTATAAAGACTATAGAAAATTGCGTTTTTGCTGAAAAATTCTTGGTTACTGCGTACTTACTGTGTTTCTGCACAGAGTTGTCTGAAATAATAATTATATATCGATAATAATATTCTTTAAGATGATCAGTGATACAAAAAATATTGTGCTTATATTTCACTACATAATTACAATTGTGAGCAAGTATTAATACGCATTCAAGAATAGCGTTATTTACACATATTTATGTACATATTGTAAATATTGCAGAATATATTCTAATGTATCATAGAAAAAATAAATATAATTTCAATAATTCAGTTGAAAATTCTTTTGTTCTCTTGTCTTTTCAAGACTTTCCTCACATTTTATATTTCTATTTCTCAATTCCTTCTAATTTAAACTTGGCTATTTTCATTATGCAACCATATTTTTTTAAAATAAATATTTTTTATTATATACTTATCGTAAATTTAATTAATTTATTGATAATTGTAAAACTTATTTGATCAAAAATTTATAACTGCGAATTGCTTATTAATGTGTTACCATATCCTGATAAGAGTTGACACGATGTTGAGAAATATACAACACAGATGGTGTTGTACATTTTTCACGCTGCTTCCTGCTTTCTATAATTCTTCTATGGTTGTTTCCAGCAGTGTAGCCAGATTTGGCCCGGTTTTTTGCGCATGCGCGACGCGGCGAACGCAGTGAAGTGTTTCAGTCTAGTAAATAGGTATACCATATAGTACTCGTTCATTTTAAAAATTATTATTTTCTGAAAAATCAATAAAAAAATTAAATATATTTACATATATTTAT